AGCATGTACTTACCGAAATCGACTTCGACCTGGCCCGCTGTAACCGTGTTTACCAATCAGATGACCAGAGCAATGCACTACATGCGACTACTGGGCGGCTCTGACATGCGGCATAGTGAGTGACTTTCTCATAGCCACCATTGACATTGCTTATGGAACTTGTCCCCCAGCTACGGACAGACCGGCTTTTTCCATATTCTTGGCGCTCTCGATAGTCCGATAGTCTCGAACGCAACTTGTTTGGCAATCCCAACCCTGCGGACGTTCTTTGGATTCTCGCTCAGTGACATAGCGAATGGAACACTGACAACGATACAACTTTCCTTGCTGCAAACACATTCCGACACCTCTTTCTGACACCATATGTCGCACTCACACTAATGTCTCAAGATCTCAACACCAATATTCACTCCATCCTCGAAGACTTGGATGATGTGCGAGAATATGGCAAGAGTTATCATCGCCTCGGTGAAGATGTCGATTACAGAGACGTTGGTCGTGCCGCAATCAAGCCACACCAAGCTTCTGATTCGGCTCTGAATCCAACGGTGTTAACCCAAGATAGTTTCCCGAGTCGAAGCAGCTGTCTGAAGACTCCCAGGAGCCAGGTCCATCGAAGCGGCGCCGAGCGCTTGAAGCGAGTCAATCAGTGCGAAATATCACCTATTTTCTATCATTCTCACGTTGCGACAGGATGTCGATGACGCAAAGCCCGACGAGGAAGAGCCACCAAAGAAGAAGGCTCGCAAGAAGAACAAGGGGGCTATCATACCGCTCTCGTTGGAAGATTTCCCACCAGTGAGTGATATTTCGTCCTTGTTTTTGCGGTTTCCTATCTTGTTATCTCCCCAGCCGCCAATCCGAGTCAAAACAGCGAAGAGAGCTCAGTCGTGCCGCAAGCCTCCCCCTGCAAACCCACCGACACCCGGAGCACATGTATATGGTATTACCTGAGCCAAGAGTAAGAAGAAGTGAAGTCAAGGAGTAAAGCTGCTACGACATGTAATGAATCAGTAATAAAAAAATTAGCCCTGTGTGATATGCCTGCCAATGGGCGATCCTGGCTTGAGACAAAATTGAAGTTTATCCTGTTAGGATATATAATTAAGAACTGTAACTTTACACACACCCCGAGTAGACTCTAATGGTTGTTATTTACGCATGACATTGGATCCAATTGCCCTATGCGACGCCATGCAGCGCTCACAAATGCGTGTAACGATCGCGTCACGTCACGTCACAGCTTTGCTCCGCCCACCATGGCCCTCTTTTTCCCGACCCGCCGAATGCCCCGAAACTCTCTCCTGACTCTTCAAGACGCTCATTCAGTGGCCTGCAATGCACTTCGACGCATTCCAGTCCTTGTAGAGGTCTAGAAAACGCGTTAAAATGCTGGGGAAGGCGACGCGTCATTGTTTGGGGAGGGGAAATACACGCGTCAAACGCGTCTGGGTGGCTTCGGTGCGTGGCCTGAGCGTCCATATTGACGTGTCTCATGTCTTTGTGGGTGTGGTCGGGTCTTTTTCCGCCTGCCCTTACCAGACCTTGGAATCGCAGAGTACTGACCAAGCTCCCGCTACCTCGACAAACTCTGGGGCCACTGTTCGTTGCCAGGTGCCGCAGTTATCTCGCGCCATGTGATTCAGGCAACGGTTGCCCAACCTAATCGATGGGGCTTCCCAGGTGTGTCCCAGTTGCTTGTACGCGGCAGCGCTGACACATCTCCACGCCAAATACCGACCACCATGCCCCTTTCTCGCCTCTCAACCATTCCCGCCTCAACATCTGGGCCCCCCCTTCGGCGTAGTTTCTGCGCTCCTCGGTGACGATGCTGCGGCGAGATGGGAATAGCAGTGCGGGTTTGGACAGATGATAGGTGCGTCACTGACTACTGAAGGGAATACACCCTGACTTGTCCTCAGCCCGCCTCAAGACCTACCACCACACTCCGCTCCAAACCCCCCGCATGCAAACACCTTCCGCGCTTCGCCGAGAATGTCCCAGACCCACCGACAACAGACTGACGACGGTGGAAGAATGGCCGCGCCCGGCCGGCCGGGCTGCAATGTGAAGGGAGGGAGGGTCCGCGAGCACGGATGGCTGGGTGATGAATGGTGGGTGTGGATTCCGGTGGTTGCGGTGCTTAGTCCTGCTTTTCTTTAGTTCTTTAGTCATATGCTGGGTGTATGTAGACTGCTAATATACAAATATATTAATGTAATTGTGGCAAATGGAGGATTGGAGTTGATTAAGTATGCCGACTGATTGCCTTGATAGCTAACTCGTATGCCAGGAAAATGTTATCAGCCGGATCACAGATCCGAGTGCTACATTTTCTGAAATTTTTCCGTGGCAGAAGATTGGGAATCTTCTGACCCAGAAAATTTCCAGAAGATTCTCAGAAGATTGATGGAAAATTCCAAATTTTCCGTGACAGAAAATCCTCGGAAAATCTTCAGAAGATCTTCAGAAAATTCCAAATTTTCTGTGCATTTTCTGGGGCAGAAAATACATTAATGTCCGTAGTGTGAGCACTTGTCCGACACACTGCAAGGACGTCGACTGAAGCAGTTGTTGATGATAATCAGAGGGGAAGGAGGAACAGGGACACTACCTATTGCTGATTCTATGCAAAAGATGCTAGCAATTACTTACCAGGCTAATGCAAAAGATGTCAGGCCCCTTGTATTTGCTGATTTTCTCAATGGAACTGATGCATATGACTAATGTTTTGACATATTATGTCAGATAAATCACCTTTTCTTCAGGCCGATGACTCGGTATATAATATTGGAGACTTGATAGGACAGAAACAAGGAAATAAATAATGGCTTAGGTAAGATTGATCTAACAGAATTCAGCTATCAAAAGCAGTGATGGCAATCAAAAATCGTTCCACATTAGTCACAATACCTTATTGCCATCAATCCCATCAATGATATCATCCCCCAGGTGCTAAAAACACAGTAATATTTCTTTAAATAATATATTCTAGGCCCTTGCCATCATCTTTTGCATTAGCCTGGTAGGCAGTGGCCATCATCTTTTGCATAGATGGAGCTATATGAGCTGACAGGGAAGACGGTGCTGATAAACACAATCTCAATGATGTTTGAGAGCCGAAACGCAGCAGAGCTGTTGGCGAAGACAGCGACGACCGGAGTAGCCGCAAGTTTAATTGGGGGGCAAACTGTCCACAGTTGGGCAGGTCTGTCGATCCAAAAAGCGTCGGGCACCCCAGGGGCTGAAACAAAGGCCAAACGCAAGAGAAACATATTGGCCACCAAATACCTCATCATTGACGAATCCAGCATGCTCACCAAACGTCTCCTTCGGGAATTGTGCTTCGTAATGGGCCAAGTCAAAGGTTTCTCTGGCGAGGCGGACAGTGGCGTGGCCTTTGGTGAAGTCGATGTCATTTTATGTGGGGACCCACACCAGTTCCCTCCGCCTGCAGATCCTACTGGGGCTTTGTACCACTACGACGACTACAAATCTCAAGGCCAGACTTTGGAATATGTCATCATTGACCTAGGAGATCCACCCAGCAGGAAGCTTACACCTTTCAGTGCGTATGTGGCACTCTCTCGTAGCCGAGGAAGGCAAAACATTCGATTACTGCGCGGTTTCAACACAGAGTTGTTCACGAGGCACCCATCCGAAAAGCTACGGGTGAAGGACGAAAGGTTAGATCGATTGACCAAAGTAACTCGGGCACGCGAGCTAAGGAAAAGGTAGGTTATAGACCGAAGTGGGGAAATGATATCTGACATGCTACAGACAGGAACGGGCGCGCTAACAGGGACAAAATATAGCCAGTGGAAGCGGGAGCTGAAGATATATTTATCATAATTCATGTACAAGAAGTGGCGGTGACGATGTGTTTACAGTTATGTATAATTGGCAGTTTGATGCATTTGGGAATGCGATCACTAAAAGACTGATGAGATCAAATGATTCGTACAAAACTACTTAACAAGGGGTCGCTAGCTGCGCAGCGGCCGTGAACCTTGCTTTGCTTAAAATAAAATTGCATGGCAGCATAGTGTATCAACACAATAAAAAGTGTAAGCAGTACATATTTAACAATTTCATGGTATGCAGATACCCAAGAGATGGACCTTGAAAATACAGGAATCATTTGTAATAGACTTTGATCTTAGGTGTCTGTGACAAGTATGGGGAGAAAATGTGGTACTAATCCAAAACCAAGAATGTAAGTGGGCATATACCTGGAAATATTGATACTTACTAAATGAAGTGAAAAAGGATTGAATGCTGCAATACAAGATCTCATATTGATATGATAAAAGAGATTATTATGAAGTTCAATCTATTGACAATATTAGAAGAGGTGAGACAGTGTGTATGTATACTAGTAGAAATGAAAGGCTGATAGGTTGTATTTATTAATGACTACGCTAGTGTATACACTGTGTTACAATTGATATGGCTAACACTGACTTGGAGGTGCACTGGAAGGGCTCTTCAAGAGTAGTGGAGATAAGATGGTAAATTGGCAGCTGCAACTTGAAGAGTGAGTGGGGACAGATGTTACTACTAGTAGTCTGGTGCTTATTGAAAAGGGACAGTGCTGTTGGATGGTACAGTTCAGAGCAAATATGTATCTGAATGGTGGAAGACCATAGACAATAATAAAGTATACTAGATACTGTGTTTCACTTAGCACTCAGGAGCGGGTAGTGGATATGATGGTAAATCAGTAATTTGAGACTATGACATCATTTGTTGACAATTATTTGGAAAAAGCACATTGATGGGAATTATGGGAATTTAGACCGGGTGGGACCTTGCAAAGCAAGGTGATGGGGTGAATTAAAACTGTGGGGGACCTTGCCAAAGCAAGGTGACTCTAGTCGCCATCCCCGTACACATATATCGGCACAAACACGGCGTCTGTGCTAGGGTGTGGGTTTAATGCAGCATACAGTAGACATGGCATTCGACGAGACGGGCATACAAAAAGAAAAATGAGCGACCTATGCTTTGACTTCACCCTCCTCGACAGCGATGAATGCGGCCCGTTTTTCTTGAATGCGAGCAGCACGACGTTCACGCGCAGCCTTGAGACACTCAGTATATATGATGTAATCGGATGAAACCAAACCTTGGTTTTGACACGACGAGCATCGGCCTGGTCGCTGAGGACCTTGGTACGACTCTTCTCCGCCTTCGCCTTGTGAATGTACTCCATCAATACGCGCTTATTTTTGAAGACATTTCCTTTGGACTTTTGGTAGAGGGAGTGATAGCTGAAAGGAGAGGAATGTGAGTCTAACCAAGTAACGAGCAAGGAAGGAAAGCACGCACAGGTGCTTGTCGATCTTGCCGGCCTCCCGGTATTTCCGCAACAACCGACGCAGAACCCGCTGCCGCCTCATCCACAGAACCTTTGTCGGCATACGAGCCTCTGCAGTACCCTTGCGTTTACCCGGTCCCGTGTGACGACCTTTTCTCTTCGCTGCCAACAATGCCCGAGTCCTTGCGCGAGAATGGACGGTCGTGGGCTTGACGATGATATCTCCATCTTTCAAAAGCTTCTTGATATGCGTCCTAGAGTTCGCATTTCCGATTTCTGCTTGCTCAGCGGGGTTGAGCCAGATTTTGCGTTGACCAACGCCCTTCACGGACGCGGCGAGTCGTTTTTGGGATCGCAAATTGACTGAAGAGTGTTAAGGAGGATTGAAGAGCTCAGATGTCTCACGTACCCATCGAGGGTGTCTGTAGAGGGGGTCAGTCGTTCGGCAAAACCTGGCGCAGGTCGTCGCACCTTGAAAGTGATAACGAAGTGACGGTCACGTCGATTACTAATCATACCCAGAACCACGTGCCACAACATGATACAACGAAGGACTTTGTGCGATGGACACCTAATAAATGTACCCAGTATGAATATACCCAGTACGTACATACCGATTGCGAGAATCATACATATGTTGTTGAACATACTTGCTCCTCCTGTGTATATCAAGTCCCAATGACCTCCAATCATTGTCCACTATTCTTGTCTATCTTTCATCCCCTTCCTTCTGCTCTCCGACACATACAAACTCTCTACTACAAACTCTCTGCTCCAAAGGTTTTTTTGGCTGTCGCCCTCGCCCTCAGCTCAAATTTGATGTCCGTTCTTGGAAGATGTTGGTTGACGCGGAAGTTAGCACCAGCTCTCCCCACAACCTAACATCTAATTGACACTCGAGTGGGGGTAAGCAATGCATGTATCGAAAGATGGGTGTCCTCGTTTTGCCTCGTCGCGCTCCTCCTTGAAAAGCCTTGTTGAGGCCAGGAATCTTTGCTTCTTTGATTTGTGCCAAGAGGATCGTCGCACACCAAGACATTTCAACAATCTGCTTATCTTTCCTTGCTCTTCCTCCCGACTTGCTCTATCGTCCCGACGCTCACTAGGAAGGCATTTTACGCCCTTTGAGGAGTAATTGGGAGCAGTACAGAAGGCTCAGGGTACTCATGTCGTCCAACTCAACGTCGATCCGCTTGACACAGCTTGACAACCAGCGGGAGGCCATCAGTCCACCTGGTCCTTACGACTTACTTAAATACAATCTGGTTCTTTGGTTTTGTCCAGCTCTGGCCTCTCCCCGACGCGTCAAGCATCATTGAAGCATGCCTGGTGTGTCGTTGAGCGACCGACCACGATTGCCTTCTGAACACACTTTAAATGAAGATGAAACAACAGAAAGCGGGGAACGCGGAAGTCTGTTGGCAGACAAAGAAGCAAACGACTTATCTCACTCCACTTTCCTGCGTCGCTCCCCTTCCATCATTTTTTCGACTCTCTTCTACATCGCGCTGGCGCTGTACGCATGGGTCGTGACTTGTATTCTGGCACACAAACCGATTGGCGTCAAACAATACGGTGTCAATATTGTCAACAAGGACAATAGTGGCTGGGGGTGGAGAGGGGCAAAGGCCTATCATGCTCTCTATGTCAACAGCGAGAAACATTTCAGAACTGCCCGCCTTATTCAGACCATTGTCTCCGTTTTGACCATCCCCTTGACATCTGCTGTCTGCGTGCGTGCTGCAGTAGTTTTCTTGCAGTCAGGAAGGGCTAGCCATGTCACAATGCGTCAAGCTATCACTCTCGCAGATGAATCATGGACCGACCTTGCAGTTATCGCTCGTTTATTACTTGGCGGCTGGAAGCGCTATGGGTCTTCTCTCTTGCTTTCGGCTATGTTCCTACATGCGCTAGGTGATTAATCTAATGTCAAACTAGTTTGTTAGGTCCTAATATTAGCCAGGCATTGCTATATCGCCACTACAGGAAGTATATCTGACAACGAAAACCATCCGCACACCGACGTATCCTCAAATGATGAGGAATTTAGTTGATATTCCCGACCAGTTTGACTCTCTCAGGAGGAGCGATACCGACTACGGCTACGTTACTGCCCTGACACGATCTCGACTTGCTTCCACAACAAACTCCCAACCTCAAATCAATCTGTGGTCGCGCGCTCCGGACTGCAACACACTCACACAATCCAAAAATTCTTTATTGTGTCTATTGAATGGCAATCAATATATCCTCGGTAATATGTCGTTGCTCAACGACCCATTCTTTTCGCAGCTACCAACTGGTTTTTCAACTGGTCTCATAAAACAATTTGCCCCGCGAATCAACTCAACAGCTCATCGCGAGAATATCACGGCTGCCGATTTCCCCTCCAACTGCAACCAGATACCCGACGCTCTATGGCTTCGTTATGCAAATACATCGTCGTCAGGCGCCTATGCTCTTGAAGTTTGTATGCCTGGGAATATGACCGCCACCCCTTGGAAATCCACGCGTTCGCGACAGGATTTCCGAGAAGAGTTGTATCTCAACATCACGTTTTCTGGTTTTGAATGGCTGTCGTTCGGTCGTGCAAACGGCTCGTACTACACCAAAATCACTCTCGATACCACGGCAGGGTACTTTGAGCTACCCAACTATATGAATGGGGGTGTGAACGGGCCGTTGATCAACGACAACCCGAGTAATTATTGCGACATCAGTTGCACGATCCAAGGACCATGGGGCTCAAAGGGCCAAGACCCCATCTACGACCACAATATTACCCGCCGCGCTCCCCTGACCGGCTCACCGACTGATACTGCCCAACAACTTTCCCGAACACGAAACAAAGGCCCGCTTCTCATCATCACTCTTGCCCTCTTTGGGATGGGCTCTTTCATCGACAAAGCCCAAAGCTACCAGTCTTACTTCAGTGCTGCGAAGAACAACAACGCCACAGGCTTCTGTCTCGATGCAGTTCCATTCATGCCGTTGCTTCATGACTGGCTCAACCAAGAAAATGTCGGAAACAGTCTAGACCCATGCCTTCCATACCGTGACAATCCTTCGTTTATGGCGGTCTATGTTGTATATTATCTGTGGGCGTTTCTCTACAATGGGAATGATGGTTATGCAGGTGAAAGAGTTCAGAACGCCTTCACCTCAGCGGCCTTCCTTGCGAACCAAGCTTGGATGTCATCCATAATCGACGGAACTCTATGGGTATCTTACGATCTAGGCGCAGAGACACGGGTGCCTGTTATTTCAGACAAAGCTATCCTCTTCTTGTCAGTGTTGCTGGGGGTCTACCTTATCAGCCTTCTTGCCTTAGCTACCTATGGCGCGTTATCTCCTCATTGGACATCCCGGTTGGACTCGTTCGCCATGATACGCATTGGCGCTTCACTCGCCGATCGTTTCCCATTGGTGGTTGTAAAGGATATATCAGAATTGAAGGTTCTTGACGAGACTCCAGGCTGGATTGGGGATGCAAGTGGGGGGATGGGCAACGTGGGGGAACTTGGTATCGGTGCGGATGCGCCGCTTGTAACAAGACGGAGGTATCGGTGCTTCGAAGCCGACCATGACCATCGGACAGGCAGGTAATACATACTAATTTACTAATCACTGCCATCAGCAGATGCGAAGACTACTTGGGGCTGCTTTGTGATTAGATTTGGCATTTGGCATTACGCATTTTGATGCGCACTTGACTCAGCGACACCATATGAAACAGTGCGGACAGATTGATTCTGGTGTGAAGGCTTGGAGCGGGTCGGTTTGGGCGGCGGAGATTGTACATGGAACATTAGCGGGGAATTGTAACATGTTCCAAGCCTCCATTTTGCGTTGTCAGTGTTGAAACATACGAAAGGAAAGCAACCATGTCTATGTGCGGCAATGGCCGACTCGGGTTATACGTGAGAATACGTTTATTTGTGTGTTCAGTTCGTGCTACTGGCGGGGAGCCAATATACTGAATTACAGCTGGCCCCCGTGGACAGGTCAAGGACAGGTGAATGACCAAGGGGCATCTCCCCTTTGCGCTTACGATCGGCACAGTTTTGACATAAAGACTTGACTGTGACCTCTGTGACTGACTGCCTTCCCTGCTTTTCCCATCTCCATCACCTTCTCGCCGAGCTCCTCCTCGAGCCCCTCCACCCCCGCTCGTTTGACCCTACCACCACCCTCCCGACAAAAAGCAAAATGGGCTGCGTGCAGAGTGCCGGTGTTGACGAGGAGGCTAAGGCCCGTGAGTGGCATTCTCCCTAACTACCATTGGCCCTTTTCACGTCTTTCGCACTCACTCCTGGTTTAGGCAACGATGAGATTGAGAACCAGCTGAAAAGGGACAGAATGATGGCTAAGAACGAGATTAAGATGTTGCTCCTTGGTGCTGGAGAGTCCGGCAAGTCGACGGTGCTCAAGCAGATGAAACTCATCCATCTCGACGGATACAACGCTCAAGAAAGGGATGCCTACAAGGAAATCATTTTTTCCAACACTATCCAGAGCATGCGGTGCGTTAGCCCCTCACTTTCTCGTTATTGGAGTTGCTGACCAAGACCCTAGTGCCATTCTTGAAGCAATGCCCCAGCTCGACATTTCTCTTAGTCCCCAGAACGACGCTCGCCGGTCTACAATTCTGTCGCTTCCGCCACAAATTGAAGCCGACGTGCTACCCCGCGATGTTGCTGACGCAGTACGTGGTCTTTGGAGAGGTCAGTGTCTCTTGAGCCACATCTAGTGGCGCCTTGCATCAATCCCTGATCGTTGACAAATTTCCACAGACCCTGGTGTAAAAGAGGCAGTTCGTCGCTCTCGCGAATTCCAGCTCAATGACAGTGCGGTCTATTATTTCAATTCCATCGACCGTATGTCCTCGCCCGACTATCTGCCAACCGACCAGGATATCCTGCGTTCCCGTGTCAAGACGACCGGTATCACTGAGACAACTTTCAAAGTATGTCGCTCTGTCAGTTGTGCGTGGGAAAATGCTGACATTGCTTAGGTCGGGGAACTGACGTACAAGCTTTTCGATGTTGGCGGGCAACGTTCGGAACGCAAGAAATGGATTCACTGCTTCGAAAACGTCACGGCGCTCGTCTTCCTTGTTTCCCTCAGCGAGTATGACCAGATGCTGTACGAGGATGAGAGCGTGAACCGTATGCAAGAAGCGCTCACCTTGTTTGATTCCATTTGCAACTCGCGGTGGTTTGTCAAGACAAGCATCATCCTGTTCTTGAACAAGATCGACTTGTTCGCAGAGAAGTTACCTAGGAGTCCTTTGGTACTGTCATTTGTGAATTTCCTCTTCTTCGAGCTGACCAAATACCCTTTAGGGCGATTATTTCCCTGATTACAATGGCGGTGACAACTACGACGCGGCATGCGACTACCTGCTGCATCGTTTCGTGTCGTTGAATCAAAGTGCAGCAACGAAGCAGATCTACGCCCACTATACTTGCGCCACGGATACGCAACAGATAAAATTCGTCCTGAGCGCCATTCAGGACATTCTGTTGCAACTCCACCTACGTGAGTGCGGTCTGCTATAGGTGGATTACGTACTAGTCCCCCCCCATTAATCTTGCTCGACACCCTACAACGCGCATTACATACCACCATACGTACATCTGGATTTCTTTTTCTTTCTTGTGGATATGGTGCTCCTGCCGTTGCGACTATCGAGCGGCGCCGTCGGATTGTTGTTTATATCATAGTCTTTATTTTTTTTACCTACGTCTCTCTCCCTTGACATGATGACAAACTTTTATTCAACACAGAATAAAATTCACGCTCGTTGCCCTTTTGAGACGATCGACTTCTTCTCCCACTTGAGCTTCTAATAGTAGTCGGCCCTGAAGACTGCCACATGACTAGAGCTATAATTCTCCTTGTGGGGCGCGGAAACTTCGGGTTGGACTTGTGACCAAATCGAAGGAGTTCTTAAGGATGTGGGATGGCTCCAGGTTTGTTAATGTTCCTCGCCCTTTTCTCACTCGCAGGGTTAGTCGCGGCAGGGTTTGGTGTCGGTGTTCGCAAGGGCCAGATAAAAAATCTCGTTACATTCGGCGACAGTTATACGGATGTTGTGAATACCGGCGACGCGGCGACTGCTTGGCCTGGTGAGCGACCGTGATTTTAGGTTGGAGGAATTGGACTAACAAACAACACCAGTTTACGCTGCTGGGTATGCGCATGTCCAGTTACACCCCTTCGCTCGCGCAGGTGCGACCTGCTCCAACAACCTGACATTTCGGCCATTCCCCTCAATCTTCGAAAGTCAATTGCCGTTGTTCTTCTCCGAGGTCGCAAACGGCAGTTTGAAACTCCCCCCGGACAATACGATCTATACGTTGTGGGATGGCACGAACGATCTCGGAGTCAGCGCTCTGTTAACGGGCGGTGCTGCGCCAAAAGTCTCGTTGGTTGATGTGACCGAATGCCAGCTCAACTGGGTCAAAACGCTTTACGAACACGGAGCTCGCAACTTTATCTTCCAAAACGTAGGGTCCATGGAAGGATGGTAATTAACTAAAACGATTTGTCAGATGATCCCACTTCAGCTCACTATCCTCTATAATGTAAATTCGTACCCGAATCGCTACTGGGCTTTCGAGCGCAACACCACAGAATGGAGCGTATTTATGACTGAGCTGACGCTGACGGGAAACAAGCTAACAGAGCTTATGCTGCAAGCGCTGGTGCCGACCCTTCATGGTGCACACATCGGTGTGTGTGTCTACAACAAAGATTAACGTTTTTAACCAAGACATCAGCACTCTTCGACTCGCACTCACTTTTCCAAGATATGTTCGATCATCCAGCCAATTATTTCAATGGAACGGCTCCTCTCAACGTCACGGGTGCTTGGAATGCATGTGTGTCTCCGCTGGGAGGCGGACCACTCACCTGCACAACCGCTCAAGGCACAGACCGTGACAGTTTCCTGTGGTATGTTGAGACGGAACAATGCTTCAGCAGATGATTGACCCACTCCAAGGGAGGATGAACTGCACCCAAGTGAGCAGGCAGATCGTATTGTTGCGCGGGAGATCGCGCTCGTACTTGAAGGAAAGCAGAGTCGTTGGGCGACATGGTTGAGTTGAAATGATCAATTAAAAATACTTGTTCAAGTACAACAACAACGGTGGATATGGTTTCTTTCTTCAGAGTTGATGAGTCAAGAACATGATCGTTCAGGAAACTAGAGAACTTACATCGTTCCTCTACTGCACAACCCTACTCGGAAGCATAGAGCTGTGTCCATTCGCGCGACACTCGTTGAGCATCCTTCTCATTCTCCTTGTAGTGTTTCGCCACGTCTGTTGCGAGCGGGTCGTCCGGGTTCGGCGCACTCAGGAGCGCTTGAACTGATAAAAGGACGGTGCGGATTTGCAGTGCCGGAGACCATTTGTCTTGAGTGATTGGAATTACCTCAGAAGATATCCACTAGCGTATCTGACGGACCTTTCAGAATGTCCAGACAAATTCGGCCCAGTTTATCTGAATATGGCCTTGGGCTGAGGGTGAAGGAAGATAAGGTGAACGCGACACACCAATGTTGGGATGATATATCTTCGTCAGAAAGCGCACTTTTGGTGGTGCCATCGGGTACTCCTCTGGGAGGAATAGTTCGAGTTTGAATATGCCCTCTGCATCGAATTGACAAAGTGGTAGGAGGCTTGAAAGGGCATACGTTGGAACGGGCTACCATCGGGACCTTGGATCGTCACGTCAAAGTACCGCAGGTTGTCATCGTGTGGGACAGCAGTGATTCCTGGCGCGGGGTCGGCCACCAAGCGCTCGGTTTCCTACGAATGTACAGATCGGAGATGCAGACAATCGAGCAATGCAAGACATACTTTGATAATGCGCTACTCGGATAAGGATGATATAAGTTACACTTCTGTCGTCGTTGAGCTGTATACCTTCGGGAGGGCCATGGAAAGAGGAAGAAGGCGGAGGAAGACCAGAAAGGTGGATGTGTAACGCATGTGACTTGGCTTCACCAATACCTTGACCTTTGGCGAGTCCAGTTCGCTTTGGGTATTAGGTTTGGTTGAAATTGGTCATGGTGTGTCCAGCAACGATCTATCTTCAACGCCATTCAAGCTCTACCTCTGCTTAGTGCCAAAGCTGGGCTTGGCTCACTCCCGTCGCGCAAAAGGCCCGGGAACGCTATAAAAAAAAACTGGACAAAACGCACTCAAATGACTCATAACTTGTGTCGCAACTCTGTAAAACAAGAAGCACGTTCCAAACAGGTAGGCCAAATGGCAGTTTTGTCGCCCATATGATATGTTGGTGCATTTGCCACCATAGATTCCACAAGACCTGTCAGTAAGAATCAGCTTGCTGGCTGGGATGAGCGCAGATTTGTTTCGTCTGGTAACTCGGTCGGAATTACAAGACGGTCAACGGACCTCTGGTGTCTCTCCATCGTTTTCCACTGCGATCGCCGACTTCGTGGCTTGTCTTTTCTCTTCTTCCCATCTATCAGTCTAGACCAACTAGCAGCCTGGAATCATTTTAAAGATACCAAGTTAGTTGCTCTTGGATGCATTCAGAATAAGTGCAAATTATCAAAGGTTCGCGTTAGAACGTTGCTCTCTGCGCAATTTGACAAAGGGTCTGGAGTAGCGGCGTCCCTCACATTGTATGTTTGGTCAAACATAAAGCAGCGATGGCGTTTCTCTCAAGTTTCTCTGATCCTTAAGTGCCCCCTTGACTTACATAGATGGCCACGTTCTCCGAAATCTGGCGGATACGGTGAATATAATGGGCATATGCATGCATGCTGGGAATGAATTATTCTCTGTAATCTTTGGGTCCAGATTGTTTGACAATGCCGGAAGTGATGCGGGATGTCCCATCAATGTTCTGGCACGCAGTACTTAATCCGCTGCAGAAAGATCCTCATATATGTAGGCCTCATACATACCCGAACGTGTTTTGTGGAAGCTGGCTTTCCAAATTGCTAGATCACCACAAGACCTTTATGTAAGTGCGTCGTATTCCGCAGGATTTCCCCTTCATTGACACCTTTCGATACATAATATTAATAGTGCCGCTGCACAGGCTGTCTTCATGTCATTTTTTTCTTGACATTGTCAATGGGCAGGGATGCATGGCACTTCAATGGAGTGGACCCTATGCTAACCACGAGCAGATTATGGTTGGATTCCAAAAACTTGACCGATTGCTGGCCGGATGAAAGGGAAGCTGATTTAGCTACCATTCGAATGCGTTCACTGTGGGTGTCTGTATTCACCCTACACGTGGATGGATAAGGGCGGCGCAGACACCGGCAGATATGGTGACAGAAACGTTTATATTAGCCCCGATGTTCTTTGCTGACGAGTTATGCCGCCGTCGATACTTGCGAAACCGTTGCCAATAATGATCTTCCTTTCTGGTCCAGGTTGTGGCCAACAAATGGTCCAAACCTTAAAATAATGGTGTTCCTGGGAAAATTCCTTGCCGCCCGCCGTCCGCTCCGCTGTCAAGTGCTTTCTTTTCTCTTCCCCAACAACACACGCCGAAGACTTGAGGCTGGATTACACCACCTCCCACAGCAAACTTCGGATGGGAGTGGACATTCACACATGCCTCGACTATCAATAATTTCGGGCGGTTTGCCGCGGTAACAACTGATATGTGGACGCGCCGTCTGGGTATATGGTGGGTCCTGTTGTTTGTTTGTTTTTCTTTCATCCAACCATTACGCAGGGAGTTTACGACCGGTCCACGAAACATTCGGGTCTGTAAAAGAGACAATCCAACCATGGCTCCAGGTGTAGAAACCCTCACGCTCGCGGCTTGTGCGGGTGGAGTCGTCCTTGCCGGCGCCGGCTTTCTATGGCAGAAGGCCTGTAAAAAGCCCCCGATCTGGGTCAGCCAGCTAGATCAATTGGGTCAGCCAAGAGATAAGTTGCTCCCTGGCACAGTGGTAGTCTGCGGAGGAAGGTACGCCCACAAAGTGGCATTTATAGCTCTGCCAATCATTCTTGTGGCTTTAGTGTGGCCGGCATTGTAGCAGCGCGAATATGCGCTGATCATTTCGAAAACGTCCTCGTTGTCGACCCCGACATCGAAAATCCTGGAAACAGGATACTCCAGTGGAATGCAGCGCACCGTTCATCTCCCTTTTCTTGCAGTCGCGCTATTCTGACTTTCCCTCTAGTTTATCTCTGTCTGTTCGTTACTGGGGCTCGTCGTCTGTGGAAAACCTTTGACGATGTCGTCAAAAACGTTGGTGGCCGGATTCTTCCGGCCGACCTCCAGATCCACTATTCTGGGGTTGAATTACCAACGCCTCACAAAGACTACGCCGCCGGTGATTTACCTGATACGCTTCTCCTGCGACGTCCTTCTCTTCAAAAAGCCCTCTATTCACTCCTTCGTGGCTCACCCAATGTTTCCGTGCTACCGGGAACAGTTCGGAGCTTCCAGCCAAGCAGCGACCGGTCTGTGGTCGAATCCGTAACCGTTCGCAAAAGCGACGGGTCGAAGGAAAATTTGAATGATGTAGCTCTCGTTGTTGGTGGGTTCAGACTATTAGATCTTAGATAAAACTTTGACTTACCATCTCGATTACAGACTGCACCGGTAGACTCCAAGGCGGTTTCAAGTGGCTCAAATCCGCTGGCTACAATATTGACGACAAGATCAAATGCTCATATGACCCGAATCTGCGGTACATGACCTGCGCTTTCAGCGTTTCTCCCGAGCTGGAGGCCCGTCTGCCTATCCCCGCAGCTCAACGATCGACTCCGATTGCGTATGTGTATGTTCCACATGACGACACGCAGTCTTGTTTCTTGGGGCTATCAATGAATGACGGAAATGTCATCCAGATCCTGTTTGGTGACACTGGCATGGGGTATTTGCCCCAGGCATCCAACGAGCTTCTCCCCTTCATAGAGCGTTTTCGCGGGCAAAAAAAGCCACTTCCTCCTTGGCTCACGGACACGGTCCAGATGCTCGTTGACGAGGTGGAGCCTGAATTCTATCCAATAAACCTCAGTATGATCAAGTTTCCTTATCTCATTGTGGCATTCAATTCCCCTAGATATGTTGACGTTTATGCAGTACCACCTGCTCCGTCCCCGAACTCTTCCTAGCAATTTCGTTGCTATCGGTGATGCCTTTCTGTTCTTGAATCCTGTTCATGGGTACGCTTCAACCAGTCGTCTTGTCGTCGTGCAGGTTAATCTTGTTTGATAGCCAAGGATTTGCAAAGGCCATGCTCAACGGAATTACTCTGAACGCATTACTTCATTCCCTTCCGCACTCATCTCAACTTCCAGCCAACTTTTCGACGCAATACTTCAATGACTCGGCGGATCCCATGAACGCATTATGGTATTTTGTCAACCCTCGATCCTCGCTTGATTCATTCACCTGTCCACTAGGGATGCAACACGACTACATGATTACGGTTCCACTAATTGTGTGCCTATGCCTGGTGAGACGAAGGAGACTGGCTGGGTTAGTCGCTGGCTGGGCGAAAAATTAATCTCGTCCTCAACCCGAGTGCGTTCCGTTTATCTCTGCTCTCTTTCTGCGAGGCTGATCGAGCTCTTAGGATGACGAAGTTGCTTCGGCTCTGTGGCACGTCCGTCAGATGCTTGCGTCTGAGAAGACCCTGCTCGCGCCAACGATATTATGGAAAGTATTGTTAACGCCGTCGATGTTCTGAGTCTTGTTGCGCTGGACGCACCGGTAGATTAGCGTTATTAACTTTTCTCGGGGTTTCTAGTTGAAGATTGATTTGTGACCTGCAATTGACTTGCATTTCCGACGCAATGTGTCAGTTTCAATAAATACCGTTATGATTTATCGCAAGTCATAGTCTCTATTTTAGGTCGCAAAACAATGCCGATGGTACTAATAAAAGTGAAATTGGGAGGTATTCGATCAAGTCTGAGCGCTGAGCACTATACTTAGATCGAAGAGAAATCCAAAATCTCGAATCTTCCACGTGACCGCGATTGTGGTTTGAACGAGGTTATGCTGCATCATCATGCATGAACGTACGCGCGCGTTCATGTTCGATGTTTTGATAGCAGCTGCTTATTGAAATCACGATTACAATATTAAGATTCAAATAATAGATATCACGCCCCACAAATCGTTGTCTCCGAATCCGCGATACGAGTCCTAGGATATATCACCAGGGGCTCTCCAGTCAACGTGAGCTTGATTTGTCCCATCGAGTCTGCACGCAAAAGGCGACACGAGAGCACCTCCAATAACTCCTCCCCAGCAGCAAACATAGGTACCACAATGTCCGTCGCCACACCCAGGTTAGTTAGAACGAGAGACACATCGCCCTTGCGTATATTCAGGACTTGGGTTCCCAGAAGATGGTATGTTGAGACGGCATATGTGAAAGGCGTGGGGCTTGCAGCCGAGATCAAGAGGCGTCGAAATGCGTTGAGTCTTGTGAATGTTGGGACAAGATTATTCGCTGTCGAGTAGTGCGTATGCCAGAGTGCTTCACGATTGAGTGGATCATTAGCGCCGGTGAGCATCTGTTCTTGACCATAGTATACGATGGGAATTCCGTCAGAGAGTATGTTGAGGACAGCCAATGTGCGGAGTCGACCAGGGTCTGTTGTGATGCTGCCTAGACGCGGATTATCGTGGTTCTCCATAAAGGTGCCAAAGAGAGAGACATCCTGAATAATATCAGTGAGAGGGAAGGGAGAAGACAAGTACCATCACCTTGCATTGAGATCGCATGTGTTGAGCCACTTGAACGAATGCGGAGAGATTACCGTTGGGGGAGGTGAATGCCTCGGTCGCGGCAACTTTGAAGGGGTAGTTGTGCAAACCATCCATCGAGTCTTGATAGGGACAGACAATGCTACAACAGTCAGCGCAAACAACAACGTCAGAATTAGCACAAACTTGACATCGCTGGCCCAGACCTCTCCTTGACAATACACACCGACTTCCCCGCAGATCCTCTTCCAGAAAGACATCGGAATGTTTCGTGTTGCATCCAAGCGAAGTCCGTCGATCTTATATTTGCTCACGACGTTCTTCGTCCACGCGACCAAGATGTCGGCGACTTCTTTGTCCTCTGTATTGAGATCAGGTAGCCAAAGGTAGCCATTTCCCATCCAACCCTGTGCAGTATTTTCAGTCGAGTTGAAGACGAAGGCGACAAAATTAGCACACATTTTCTATCGAGGGTTGGCTGCCCCAGTCGATTTCGCGCTTGGGGTGATAGTATCGCTCGTGGTTGAACGGAATGAGGTTTTGGTATTGTATTGTCTCGCCGGGATTGGCAAAATGATTGAGGACGACGTCGAGCATGACGAGCATGCCGCGTTCATGTGCTGCACCGACAAGGTCGATAAAGTCCCGCTCAGTGCCGAATTTGAGGTTGAATGCGTAGAGATTGCGCGTCCAGTAACCTGAATGTTATGAGTGAATGGAACACGATTTTTCGAAGACGACACACCGTGATATGCCTCGCCAACACCAGTTCGTCCATCTGACTGCTCGACAATAGGGCTCACCCAGATTGCGGTAAACCCCATTCGAGAGATGTAGTCCAGGCGGCTTATGATCCCCTTCCAAGTACCTCCACAAAACACTCGTTCATTCGGGTCGCAGGGAGCTGTTAGCGAGCCATCGGGACGGGCGAAGCGGTCGGTCATCAATTGGTAGATGGAGTGATTTCGCCATTCTGAAGCAGTGGCAGCGAGAGAAGAGTAGAAATGTGTCGTGAAAACGAGAACGAGTGCAAGGAGTGTGCGCATCAGCTGCAAGTCGAGGACGGCAATGTGTTCTGCCGCCCCCTTGCGGCCTGATCAGTGATGGCCGCATCTGCAGAACGCCGCTGTTAGAAACTCACTATCCTCGGCTCAAAGTATCTTATTCGTCAAAGACAAGTAAAAGTACTAGTAGTACTAGTAGAGCTCGGAGGTATAATCATTTTGTCTATTTAGATCAAACAGCTGTAGCTCGAAATATGGTTCTAGGAGAGTTGTTTAGAGCATCCAAATCGGGCAAGTATATTTCCAAATCGAGGAGAGTTAGTTGCCTATGATATAAATACCAGGGTTCACGCGTTCACGAACAGTGCTGCCCGCCAGGCTGGTACAATTCAAACATGGACGCTGTTTTGTGGAAGGCACTGGAAGCTGACTTGCCAATGGAGCGATTCAGCGCATTAGTCCCGCTTTCGTGGGTGAGCTCGCTGTTACCGGTATATATGCTATGTCATGCTATACATGCAAAAATGCAATCCTGCAGCACTAGGTGCCTAGTGTTAGTTACTGTATCAAAAAGAATGATGGTTGGGCTGATTGCAATTCACTCGAACTGGCGCACGGCCCACCAAAAACTGCTTCCACTCGCAGTTATCAGAGCAATGTATAAGTACTCAAACGAAGGCATACATTTTATCTCCAGGATCATCCATGGATGAGTTTGCAAGATGAAATGTCTGTTTGCCTCGGATAAGTCAATATCGCATTGAAAGATGCAGCTGAATTTATCGCAAACTTAGCTGGCCGGCTGTAATGTAACTTACGGGCGATGGGCGATGGTCGAAAGTGGCAGTGAATCGTTTCTCACGTGACATTGACAGGCCAAATTTGGGCTCTTGCGACGACGACGACGGCTGCAGGTAAATGTGATCGGCCTGAGCAGTCAATATCTAACGAGACTTGCAGGTTTTATGCTGCCCAATGACTCTGACTTGCTTCGTTCGCGTCCCCGAGCCAATACTGGCGCATTCTCTTTCGGATGGCGAAAATCGCAACCAGCAACGACGAGCCCAGTAGTGCCAGTCCACACTCCAACTACGGGACCAGAGCTTATACAAGCTCTAACGCCTCCACAAGTCCCGAGACTTGCATACGCCCGCTCGTTTGCGTCAGTCTTGCAGACATTGTCTCCACTCCCCGCTCCCAGCGAGCTGAACCCAATCCTCGCTTCCCTTTGTTCCGCAGAACCAGCGTCGCTTAGGTGCGCTGGATTCGACATTCTCTCCGCTTACTGCGAGAACCCAGAATGGAAGTCGTCATCCTCGGATCGGGTCTCCTACTTCTCGTTATTCCAAGGTCAATCCGTGGCAGAAATATGGGAACCGCGTTTCAAAGCCCTCCGCGCGCTGACCAAGACCGGAAATGACACTGTTGGCATTGAACTACTCCTTCTCAATGCTCTTAAGACTTGGATAACCGACGCATTCGATTCCATTTTACATGATCCTGTTCTGGAACGGTCAGACAGAGGAGAGAGAGGGAAAAGCGTGGAAATCATGTCTGACTTCCTCACTCTCTTGGTGAAGAATGAGGACTTCAACGCCAGGATCTCCGATGAAGCCCGTGTCGGCGTCCTTTATTTCTATGCTAGCTTGGTGGAGAAGGCGATGTCGGTGGCACGGTCTTCTATCTCGTCCCCGGCCCAAGAGATGCCTTCAAGCCCTTCTCGACCTCTCTACGGGCATCGGCGTCACCCGTCATCGACATCCATGACTCCCTCTCAAACAACCCATCTGACCCCAACAGCCAGTGACAAACAGCCCTTCGATCTGGCTCTCAACCTCTATTTGACTCATCTTTCCGACCAGCTCAAGTTCCTTTCCTCGCAATATCTTGATCAAATTATCCCGTTCCTTTTTCGCGCTCTTGCTTATTGCGCAAATCCGCTTCCTCGACTGAGCGTTGAGAAACCCTATCTTGGAAGCCCCTCTGAGAAGAGCCTGAATGACCTTCTTTACTCTCTGCTCACTGGACCGTATAGGTCGAAATGCGCGCTTTTGCTTCGAAGGCATGTTCTTCCCTCTGAAGTCGACCCAGAAGGCATCGCTTCTGCTCCACAACATTCTGTCTCGACTGCGTTGGGTGGCCTTCGGACGCTCCGGAATTACATTCGAAAAGCATTATATGTGCGGATGGCTCGGGCTGTCATCGAACGCGAGTCGCGAAGTGGTTATTCTCATTCAGGTGCTCCTTCGCATATGGACATTGCGGGGTCACTCATAGAACATGCTTGGCCTGCTTCAGGAGCCACACAGACTGGTTGGGATCCGGAACGGTTCGGTCGTCCGCTAATTGCAGGGGCAAAAGCCTGGGTTTCATTTGTGGCCCAAAACGAGCCTTTACGCGAATCTGTGGATCGAATTTTGGACGAAATTGCCGGCACATTGAAGGACGTCTTATCCGAAGTCGAGGCCCGCGATGAAGATATTCCATCAATGTCGCGAGAAGAGGCTGCCGCTGTAGGAAATACATTATTTCAACTTGTTGAATACCTGCGACCTCTCAAGTAGGTTGTCCATCCTACAAAGGTGTCAAACGCTAACTTGATGCCGTAGAACGGAAGGCGGTAGTACGTATATCATACCACTCTCGCGACCCGGTGAAGCCACAACTCCATTCCTTCGCACACTCACCGCTCTGCTCACTCGGGAACACACGATGGAGCTACAGCCTCTGTTGTCTCGTACTCTCCTCCATATTGCAGATAATCTATCCGACGCAGAAACTGCCAAACTTCCTAACATCATGACGGAACAAAACGATCTCACACCCATTTCGCCTGAATGGATCGAGAATTGGGGAACACTACTGCGACACCCTGCGCTTGTTAGTTCTCAACGACCGCAAACCAGAAAATCCATCATGAAGACGTTGAAAGATGTGCATGAGAGTATCGTTGATATGCCTTCCTATCGACGACCACTTGCGGATTTAGTTGTGGAAACATGCAAGCGTATTTCCGAAAATGCGGCTTCCGGTGATGGAGATGACTGTGATGAGTTGTGGAACATCCTAGCACAAGAGGTTGTCTTCAAGATTGTCGAAGACCACGAAGAAAAGAATGCAGTTGCAGTGGAAACATTTGTGACCGAAGCGTTCCAGCTTCTTGTTACAACCGCCTCAGGAAACATCGATTCAGAAGAGGATGATTTCGAGACTGCGTCCATCGTAACAGCAGGAACCCACTCACCTGCGCCTCCTCCGCATGCTGGACTTATCACCCCTGCAACTGCCGCATCGCCCGTCCTCTCACGTATGCAGAGCGAAGCCCATACTAACAGTCCTGTCCGAGATGGGCTGCCTTTTGTCTCATCTTTCTTTTCTTCCTTGACCTCTGCGAGTGTTTCGCGGACGCAATCATTCCAACCATCGACACCGGATGTCTACGACTCGGGCAGAACCTCATCCCCTCCTCGAGAGGCCACTCACGTGACTTGCGATCTTAGCGCTGTCTGCGCCCTTATACTCATATTCAGCCAGCTGGTTTTTACGCCTCATGCTCTCAACCCGTCCAACTTGAAGGTTGCCGTTGACGTGTTCGAATACTTGCTTCAACTGCTCCAGGACGCACGTTCAACAAAGATTCGGATTACCATTCTGCAGTTTCTGATGCGTCTACGTGCAGACCGCGACCATCGGCTGTACTTTATGTGGACAGATGGTGACTTCCATGGCCTTGCGGCACAGCTTGGCGGCCTCATACAACGAGTTTTGCGACCCCTCGAGCCGCATTCTTCGTCTGATGTAATTGCGGAATCACGGGTTGCTCGTCCACGTATACCTCATGAACGACGAACACGGGGACGAGGTGGTGCAGCATCTGGATCGGGCACAAGTCGGAGTCGCTCGCGTATTGGTAGTGCCTCTCGACCGCCACCAGCGAAAGCGATCCCCCCTGTCTGGGGTATCCCAGAATCTTTTCCGTTCATTATAGCGGATGCAGACACACCCAGTGAGGGTCTGATGCTCTATGACCCTACTAGCGCCGAAAACAGCGCGTTACTCCCAATCTCCAAGTATCTTATGACCATTAATGATATCTTGGACAAGGAGACCAACTGGGAGGTGCTGTCATATGTGTTGGTACATCTCCCCAACCAACTTGCCAATAAGCACATGTTCTGCGGGCCTAAATCCAGATTAATGTGCTCTAAACTGCTCAAGACGTTATGTCGAGGAATTCTTGAAAATTCATTCGGGTCGTTGATCGAAAGGTGGCCGACTGGTATCAAAATGCGAGACGCGCAAGGCCTAGCCTTTCACACCCTATCGGTCCTCGTGGGTTATCAACCCTGCTTCGATATGAACCAACAGCATATGCTTGTGGAGGTTTTTCTTCATGGACTAGACGGGCAACCAGCAACAATTAAATGCTGTCTTCATGCTTTAACGTTGGCTGCGTTTGAGTTAACGACCTCGATGACCAAGTATCTCAGTCGCATTTTGGAAAAGCTTTCCCAAATCATGACGAGTGCTGATGTCGCCGTCCACATCCTGGGTCTACTCTCCATCGTGGGATCTTTGCGACCGCTGTATGCGAACTTCACGGAAGCTGACTTCAAGATGGTGTTCGGCGTGGCCCTGCGCTACCTCCAACACCAAAACCAGACTCGCGACGAGCCGACAACAGGCTCCTGGGCGCTTTCGGAGCACGTGCGCATATTGTCATACTATATCGTCTATGTTTGGTTTCTCGCGCTCAAACTTCCGGACCGTCGTGCCCATGTCCCATACATCTCGCGCCAGTTGTTCATTGCCAACGAGGGAAACAGCGAACTTGATGGTCCAACCGAAGTTTGCTTCGATTGGTTAGAGCGATACACATTTGCGAGTGCAGACCCGCGGCCAGCTTCATCTCTTCTAGGTGATATTGTTATGAATCCATCGGAAGCGGAGGATGATGCTGTCTCTGAGAAAACGTGGATGATGGGTCACTCGTTTTTGACGCTGCGAACACTTCGTCGTCGGGGCTGGTTCGAAGTCTTATCCAGGCGGCCCTCTGGGTACACGAAGCTCTTATGCCGACTGGAGAATTTACCATTGGTTGAACCTGGTGATGTCGACCCTGATATTGTTTCGGTCCCAGCCGCGATGCTCATGGATCACGAGCCCTCCCGTGTCGAAAATCCACCTCCAGACGATAATATGGCCCATCCAAACGGCCATGCCGATCCGGTAAAACTATTACTACTCATGTGATTCCGAGACATACTGATTTTCCCTTTTCTCTTTTGCAAGTCGAATGACGCTCGCTCAGCTCTAACAATGACAGAAGCTGTGGACTCGACACTCCCTCCGCCAGATCCATTGACTGGATATGTTTGGAGCGGGACGGCACCATCTCAGCGAAGAAAGCAGGTGGAGATTGATCCTGCTTTTATCGCTCTGCAACTTTCAGATCGCCAAAATCCCAGTTTTACGCGACACCGGCTTGTCGAAAACTCCCCTCAGTTGACTCGAGCTCTTGCTATGCTGGATCGCATTCCTGTCATAGACACGCATAAGGTGGGAATTATGTATGTTGCTCCTGGGCAATGTACAGAACGCGAAATTCTGAGTAACACCCATGGATCGCCTGCTTACACGCGATTCCTGGAGGGCATTGGACGGTTAATCAATCTTCGCGGTCAAGTCGACGTCTATGCTGGTGGGTTAGAGCCAGATGAAGATGGAGAATACTCTTACGCCTGGTGGGACGACATCGGCCAAATCTTATACCACACTGCTACGATGATGCCTAATCATGCTCACGACACTCATTTCACAAACAAAAAGAAGCATATAGGGAATGACTTTGTCCGAATCGTATGGAACGACTCGGGCAAGCCGTACCGCTTCGATACCCTCGGAACTCAATTCCAGTTCGTCAACATCGTCATTGAACCACACTCCGTTGGTGCGATTGCCGCCTTCTCTAATAACCTACACGAAAACGAGTACTTCAAATTGACTGTGCAAAGGGCCCCCAACATGCCTGACTTTGCGCCTGTTGGTGCCTTCAAGCTCATTTCCGCAAAAAACCTTCCGTTGCTCGTGCGTCAACTCAGCTTGCTCGCCGACTGGTTTGCGGCAGTATACTCCAACACGCAAGAAGACACAGAACGTGTCGAGATCAAGACCAACTGGCATTCACGGTTGGATCACATTCGGCAGTTCCAGTCACGTATGCCGCCACAAGAGCAGGAGGAACTCAAAATGGACGATGCCTTGAGGCAACAAGCGTATCGGGACTTCACGACTGCATTTTAACTTACTCATGGAACTGTACCACTGTGTCACTTCTTGCATTTGTATCAGTAGCTACCACGTCATCAGATATTTGTTGTAAACATCCCCCAAGTCATACACCCCACTGAACCAAGACCACTTCTTCCCTCCAAGAATCCCTCGTTTCTTTACCATCAGCATCTAGGGAGCAATCGTTCGAACAAGAAAAAACAAGGCAGGTTCCCCAATCCATTCCCCGAGAATTTCCGCCCTTCAGTTCTTGTTCTACCAGCTTTCTACGCTCATCATCGGTCATCCTTTTATTCTCAACATCACTGGATGTGGATGCAAGTAGATTGATGAGATTCGGCATGAGCTGGCATTCGAAGACGCGTTTGGACTGGCAAACGGGACACACGGGGAGCGAAGCAGGATCGTAGACACGTTTGGCGGGCGGGACTACTGTAAAAGCAGCTTTAGTGACCGGGGTAGGTGGTGAGGGTGGCAGTGGGAAGAGAGAGTTGAAAATCTTGTCTGAGGCGTAAGGGAGTGGGGTGCCATCAAGTTCATATCTAGATTTGTTAGACGAACTTGCAAAAAAAATTGAGATATGCTGATTTACCGGACGCATTGTGAGCTGTTGTGCGCTACGCGTTTAGTAAATCGGTCGAAGACTTGGTCAACGTCGAGGGAGTTTTCGTAAGCCTCAGACATCCATGAAACGTCTTTGCCCTTTTTTGATTCGTTGTCGTCTAGAGAGTCAACGACTTGGACTCCCGGCGGGAGTTTGGATTGTGCAGAAGGACGGATGAATTCCGATTCAGTGTTGAGGTAAACGGGCTTGAAGCACGGGGCTGAACGCCAGGGCGAATCTTCCAAAGTAACAGAGGCTAGAACTGGAAGCAGCTCGTCGTCTGTTTCATCGCTTTCCTCCTCTTGTTCATCCTCCCGGGGTTCCTCAGGCGCGGTATCACCAGGCGCTGGTGATGTAGCGCCACCGAATATCTGCGTACCCAAAGAGAATGGGTTAGGACCAGGAATGACGGCACCAACTGAGAATGGATTTGCTTGTGGTTTGGGCTTTTCGATCTTGGCCTTCTTTTTCTCATTCTTCTCCTTCAGCTGTGCAGCAAATTCGTCGTTAAAACGAAGACCTCTCCAAGCTCGGACGCTGGAGCTGAGATGAGCCAGGGTAAAAAGTTGTGGTGGTTACACTTATACCTTCCTTCCTTGTTTTGGCATGCTGGGGCGCTGCAGCCCCAGATATAGAGCGCTCTGTCTCTTGGGCTATCTTCGAATGGACACCACATTTGGACGAGGAGCTCCATGGGGAAGCCACAGACTTTGCAAGTCGATGATGCGAACGGGGGCTCATCGATGGGAAGGAAGGCCTTGACAAGTCAATTCTACACGACAGTACACGTCAGCCATAAACCGTACGGGATAGCCGCCTATTCGTGAGACGACCGCATCCGTCAAGTCCGACGCGGTAGAGATGTCGTCGCCAGCAATGCCCAGCAGAGTGGATGTCTCGATTTCCGCCGACCCGTCCTCGTCCTCGTCTGACCAGTCATCATCGTCTTGTTGGCGAGACCTGTAGAGGGTAATCAGAATCGCAGCAACACAAAAGGAGAATAGAAAACGGAGAGAAAAAAATCAGAAAAGCATGAATGGTATTTTTCAGAGTGTCGTCAATGAAGCGTCCTACACCAAGGACTGGTGTAGACAAGCATTCGGACTCGTCATCTAAAGAGCTCATCTTGAAACGAGAGAGGAACCAGAACTTACATAGAGGTGGTGGAGGAAGGAAAACAGAAAGTGTGTGACGTAAGTAGACTCGACCTAGACTAGAACATTCACCTGCGGCTCGCAGTCACCTTCCTGCTTTCTCTGTCCCACCATCACGATGTCAACGCTCAGTAACTGGCTCTGGGGCGTGTCTCAACTCGATGAGGCTGTTGGTGAGCCGATTTCTTCCCTCAAATCCACTAAGATTTGACAGCTTTTCAGACAAAGCGACCTCGGAGTTGCTACCAGCTGGTATGGAGGACATTGCGCTCAACCTCGAGATTTGCGACCAAATTCGGTCCAAGTCTGTGTCAGCTAAAGACGCCATGCGCGCCCTGAAACGGAGGCTAAACCACACGAATCCAAACGTGCGGAATCTGGCGCTGGGGGTAGGCAACTGCTGTCTGTATTACTCTGTTGCTTACTTGCATTTACAGCTGACCGACGTATGCGTCAAGAACGGAGGGGACTTGTTTCTTGTCGAAATTGCTTCGCGGGAGTTTATGGACAATCTAGTCTCCATTCTCAAGATCCCGATTCTCAATCTGGAGGTCAAGAATAACATCCTGCGACTCGTCCAGAATTGGAGTATTGCGTTTGAGGGCAAGCCAAGCCTGAGCTATGTTAGCACAGTATACAAGACGTTAACTAGTGAAGGTGCGGTGTCACTGCAACTCCCGTTGACCCTCCTTGTTCATTAGTGTTACCGCATAGGCTTCAAGTTTCCACCGAAAGACCTTTCCCTTGCCAATTCTGCCATGGTCGACACCCAACAAGCACCAGAATGGATTAACTCAGATGTCTGTTTGCGGTGTCGGACACCTTTCTCGTTCACCAACAGAAAGCATCATTGTCGTAACTGCGGCCAGGTGTTCGACCAACAATGTTCATCCAAAGTTCTTCCACTACCCCATTTCGGAATCACGCAGGATGTCCGTGTTTGCGATAGTTGTTACCCCAAGTTGACCAAGAAGAATGAGCGGAACGACACCAAAGGCCATAGACACTCTGCAAGTTTACATGGGACGAGGAGTCGTGCTGCTCGTGATGCATCGGATGCGGATCTTCAACGTGCAATCCAACTTTCTTTGCAGGAAGTCGGTGCTGTCAACGGGCGTAACCGGGCTGGATATACCCCATATCAGCCGGACCCGTCTTCTTGGCAGTACTCAGAACCGCCCATCGTCGACCGCTCAACTCATCCAAAGAGCCAAGCCGAAGATGACGATCCTGATCTCAAGGCGGCAATAGAAGCCAGTCTTCGTGAATCGGCTGCGCCACGGCCGAGTGCACCGATGGCTATCGAAACTCCCCGAACGGAGGAACCCACTTTTGCCTATAAAAATTACTCGCAATCATATCCGCCTGCCGTCAACCCACCTCAACCAGTTGCTCGTGTGCCTTCCCATGATCTGGCCCCGTTAGAGTCCGATGCAATCCTGACGTTCAGCCAGACTGTGGAGCAAGTCCAACAGCAAGGCGTGAGGGACATGTCGAGGTATCCGGCAGTAAATCAACTGTATGACAAAGCAAATAGTCTGAGGCCCAAGTTGGCTTTGAGCTTAGATGACGCTGGGCGGAAAGAGCGTAGGTGTTTCCCTTAGCGTGCTTTTTTCGATCGTTAATTCAAACTCAGAGGTGCTTTCGGAGATGCACGACAAGCTTTCACAAGCAGTCAAACTCTACGATAAGCTGTTGACAGAACATGTCGTTCAGCCCCGTTGGCAATCTCCACAACCAGCCGTCAATGGGCAATACGCGCCATATGCTCCCCAGCAGCAACAATGGCCTCAAAGTGCGCCGCCACAACAGACGGAACAATCGCACTACTATGCGCAACCTCAACAGCCCCAGTTTACGGGGTCACAAACACAGTATCAGGCACAATATGCTGTCCAGCAGCCACAATATGCCCCTTCGCCCCCCGTTCAACCATACTCTGCTACTCCCGCTCTACCTCCCGTCCAACAGCAACAATACCAACAAGCAGGTCCCAGCCAGTCGATGACATTTGCCCCTCAACCACAGGTGGCTCAATCATCAGGACCGTCGCTGGCTACTTATACACAATCCCCTCCACCACCACCGCAAACGTTGCAACACTCATCGCCATCGGCCCAACCAACCGCTTATTCATTACCGCAATCGCCGGTTCCAGCTCAACCCCAATACTCAGCTCCCCCACATAGTCACTCGCCTACGCTGTCCAGACATAACACTGTTGCTGCATCGTCATCACCGTCAGCGACAGCTGCAACCTATCTTTCCAGGAGCAACACGGTTGCGGCTGGGACCCACCATCCGGTAATGCAACGGCAGCCGTCTGTTCAGCATGTCTACCAACAGCCAACGCAACAATACCCGACCGTTTCTTCCCCTCCTCCAGCACCAATCCAAACTCTGCCTGCATTTCCGGTAGCCCCCACATCGACGCCCCAGACATATTCAATGTACGCGCCGAATATGATCGCGCCGACCACGATCCCGACACAGAAAGAGGCGGCGCCGTTGATCGAGCTGTAGTTACACGTAGTTACCTTTATTTGTTTGTTTGCTTTCAACAACCTTTCGACTTTGAAATTGTACTCCAGCGAGGGCTCACAGCAACAGATTAGATTAGATGGGGGTTGATGACATCAGCCTGTCAAATCGAGTTGTTTTCAACGTTCACCTCTTGCCACCGTCTCGCCTCTGCCTGAAGGCTCAATCCCGCTATCTCATGCTTGAAGGACACGTAGCTGGCTGGCTTTGTTTCTACGACTCGCCGAGGTGGACTTCCAGTCTGCATTGACGAAGCCTTAGACTTTCAAGTTCAGTGACTGATGGCAAACTTGAAGCTTGAAGTGCGGATATCGTTTTTTTTTTGACGCCGATCGTAACAGAGGCATAAAACGCGACTCGCCCATTGGAGGGTTGCTTCTCCTCATTCAAACTATCGTCATCCCACCTCGCTGCGCTCTCTTTCTCCATCTATCGCCCACCACCTGCCTCATACGATGTCGGCAATCTCCTGCTCCTCTGCCTCTATGTCGGCTGTCGCCACCACCACCATCACCTCCGATGAAGGGTGCGTCCATTCTTGTCTCGCCTACTCCAATTTCTTGAATTAGCCGCTCAGGTTTGCCAAACTTTTGGGATCCACTTGTTACCGGCGGCTTGTGAACTCGGCTGTGATTTACCTCCAAGATCGTTCTCCTCAGTCTACAGCGACTCGCTTAACCTCCATCACCAGCAGCGACTGGCAGGCCAGTCGTGCCTACAAGAAGAAGTGGCCTACAGAAGTCATCGTCCGAAAAGGAATAAGGAAGTTTTGTAGTATCGTATGTCGCGCACTGCGAGCGGCGGGCTATCACCTAGCGGGACCCGGAGAGGACGAAGTAACTGACGAGTTTTTATGGATGTCGCGGTACTGACGATTGTAGCTCATCTTGGCGGTTCTCCATGACGAGAGTGTCCTGTGCGCCTTCCTGTCGCTCATTGGGGGGAGGTCAAGACGCGCTGCAAGTTGTCTCTGCGATTTCGACCACGTTGCCGCAGTACTTTGTATGGCAAAGGACACAGCCGTGCGTCGGAGTTGTCTGAATAAGATCAAATTGGGCCTCTCGGATGTGTTGGGGAAATTGGCTGTCTATATCGCCAACTCGTTGATATCGAAGTTAGTCTTTCTTTTCGATCCGGATAAAACTGATTGATGTTCTAGCGAGACGGCGACAAGGCGCGAAGCAGCGTGGAAAGCAGCGCAAGTGTCGGCGAAAGGGCGTCGGGAAGAAAAGGCGCGTCGAACAGCAGAGTTCAAGGCCCTTGAACTCTCGATCGAGGTCGCTTTAATTGCCCAGCAAGCCCGAAATGAGGGAGCGAGGTCTTCAGGTTGTTTTGTTTTGTTTTGCTTGATGTCCTATCTGACGCTTGCAATTGCATAGCTGGTTTGCCGCCGCCGCCGATTCTTCTCAACCAACTTGGTCAAGGTGCGACACTCAACGTGCTTCTATTCATGGCTGACATACACTCTTGGTCATCTAGCGCCAACCTCAGTGCCACCACCGCTCCAAGAGCAGGAACCAAACTTATTATGGGTGGAGCTGTTCGGACCACTGGAGTACTCAACAAAGACCAACCCGGGGCTTGGCACAGACGAGTGTGATCGCGCTCCACTACGTCCCATCAATACACGATAGTGGCCTCTGGAGGTGTCGACAAGGTATGATGATGTTAATCAGCTGCAAGGTTGGTCTGATATTTTTATAGGAAAGCGATGAGAGTGGTTGTTAGGCTTTTGGAACGCATAAGCAGGATTTTTGAAAGGGACAATCGATTTGTTATAAGACAACTGTACATTTATCATTGGATGGCTTCCACAACCGTACTATAGTGAATGTTTTGAAGAGCAACATAATGTCACGACTCGCTGGGTTTTCCCGAGCTAGTTCTTGCAACTGGAGAACCAAACAACGACCCGAGGCGCAATGTCGTAGGGGTCGTTCGCGGTCATTGGCAAACCTCTTCGCGCAGAGCAAACATCGGAGACATTTAGACAGATGAATCGAGGAATTGTGAGATGGACGCTCTTCTCCATAGAAGCATAGCGCGACGGACAAGAACGTCTATCGCATTCCCCGATTCATTCACGACTCTGGATGGGACCAGTTGCACCAGCTTCTCGGGATTTGGAGCGTGAAATGCTGCTTCAACAAGTAGTCGGCGGCTTGCTTTCCTATACAAAAAGGAACTAGAAGCAAATCAGTAAACACCAAGTAACGTGGGGGGTAACGAACTTGGCGAACGGCGTCCGTCTGAAGTGAAGACTGAAAGGGCCGTTTGCGTTATCGGTAAAACCGTTGCGCAGAGCAAAACAGCGGATTGAGGGTTCATGAGACGGACTCTCTGGATAGAAGCATGACGCGACGGACAAGAGGGTTTATCGCAGTCCCCAATTCGCTCACGGCTCTGGATGGAATCCATTGCACCAAATTCTTGGGATTTGGAGCGTAAAATGCAGTGGCAGGTGTAGTGTTTCCACGGCAGAATGCATGAAGGAACTGTGAAGGGATGAATAGAGGCACAATAAAGTAAGCTGACCAACTTTACACCGCTCGCTCCCCATAAAACTTGAGCGCTTGAGCAGTTGTCATGCACATAGAACCAAACAATAGACTGAAGGCAATGATCCCTTCAGTCCACTTGCGTTGACGGCGGACCTGAACGCAAAGCACACATGCGAAGGTTGTGTGAGAGTAGCGCTCTTTAGAAACAAAAGAGCACCGCCCGCACGCCCCATAGTTGTTTCATTTGGCTCCATGCAACACTGACATGCAACAAGTTCTCAGGATTCCGAGTCCGACTGGCATGCTAAAGCAATGTTCACGAGCATGCTCGATGTCGGCTGGGTTGGAAATGATAGCACTGGCACGACGAGTTGCACAAAGCCGTTTTTCGTTGGGGCGCAAGAGTCGATTCTTCGAAAGAAGTAGAACGGTACTTCGTAGGTAGTGGTTGAGAGGAAAGAGATACCAAACGTGACAATCGTAGTCACCTCTCGGAAGTTTGACTCGTTAAGTTGGAGTGCTGCACTGCCAGCCGCAGGGCGATCACTGTGAAACTGCGTTGCGGCCGAAGAATCAGAGCGCCCAGCTGTGTTCAGCCTTTCGGAGAGCTCGATGACTCGGGAACATCATGCCTCCGCCAGTCTGTGTCTGTCAGACGACTCAGACCTGAAGTGGGTTGACGCAAAACCTGTGCTGTGACACCAACAGTCACCATTCACGTGATCGCGACTTGGTCCGTGCGCTGGACGACAGCGACAAAACGTTGCGCTCTCCACTGTGTTCCTCATACTTACCTTGATGGCACAGTTCCCTTCACCTACCTGGAGCTGTGGGCTGCGGAAACTCTCCATTGCACGGCGACCCTGTCCACACAGAGAGCGTTCGTGGTTTGTATGGTCCAGGGCTTCGGCTCATGCACCGTCCCAATATTTTCCAGTCCTGCCACGGCCACTCGGCTAGGCGGGCCTCTTTTTTTTATGACGTTCCCAAGTCCTAACCCTAACCTTAACTACTCGTTACCACAGCGCGTTGTGTACCAGTGCTCGGAAATGCATCTGTTACATAGCTTCTCGTTGAACTCTCATTTTTCATATCGAATCGGAAGGAGTTGTGTTACCATACAATCTTAAGCTTGTTTCCTCACTACTCATTACGCTTCCAGCTCTCGCGCCATGACAGAGTCTTGAACGCTGTCGATATATTTTGTCGGCTCGAGCATATTCTTGACGATGAAGCGACCATCTAATTCTGCATCAACAACGCGGTTAGCAAACACGATACCACTCACTTGGCAAATCGTTTCCTTCTGCTCTTTGTTTTGCTTCTGTTGCATCGCGACATATCCCAGTTTCGACATGGCGCTTCACAAGTCTCCGAAACGCTTCTGCCTCATCAACACGGAGAAACCATCGTTCGTCCAACAACTTGGCAGCCTCAACCCACGGGTCAACCGAGAGGTAGGTGTAGAGGCCCTCGATGAGGACTAGCCGATGATGGGCTTCAACCCGAATGGCGTCGAACGTCGGGTCCTTCAGCGCGTGCGAGAAAGTCGGGGCTGTTATGACAGCTTCTGGGGTGAAAGGCTGTCGCAGGGCCTTGACGAATGCGACATATCCGGCGACATCAAATGTCCAGTGAGCGCCGCGCCGTTCGTGGGCTAGCGATGGGTCGGGAAAGCCGTCGAGGGCAGCACGAGTGAGATGCCAGCCGTCTAGGCCGATGAGCAGAACAGTTTCTTCTTCTAGTAGCGTGTGGATGTTGTGGACCAAACGGTGGGCGAAGGAGGATTTGCCAGCAGCTGGGGAACCAGCGATGCCAACAACGAGTCGGTCAGTCGGTGGAGTTCTGTTTGCTTTGTGTTGGAATGAGAAGATGGCGCCACAAGGACATACTGACGCAGTCTCTGCACAAGCTCGATTGCGAGGGAGGTGGCGATCTCTTCCATGGATGCCTATGGATGCGGATCTCAATGGTCACAGGTAACAAACATTTCTCTTGGTCCAACTTGAACTCGTCACTATTCAATTTATGTAGCTTGGATTAACCGGAATACAACTGCTCTCTGGAAGGCCATTTACCAGTCAGATTTTTTAGACCCCGAATCGCGTGGGGAGCTGTCATCGACTATCATGAGTAGTATTTAGCAAGAGACTACTTATGTACATCGGAGTTGGTATCACTTGGCATTGCCAAACCCCTTGAAGCCCTCCGATATCCACGAACCACTCAGCGAGTTCTCCGGAGAGTGTAGCTTAGGTTTATCGAATGTCGGTAACGGTCCCCAGTCAAACGTAGGCGGCGATGGTGTCGCAGGCGACTGGCCAGGGCTCCTTTTCAGCTGGACAGACCCCGAAACACGACTGCGAGTACCGGCTCCGCGGCGCGTGGAGGGAGGTGGTGACGATGGATTGAAGTTGTCCTCCGGGAAATCAAAGCCCATCATAGGCGTGACTGGGTCAAGTCCAAATTGGATCGGGAAACCTCGTTGTGGTGTTTGGAAACTGAGTGGCGGTGGGGTTGCGGATGCAGCTTGCGTGTTAAGGAGTGGTTCTTTCCTGATGCCCAACAATGCTCGTTTCAAATTGTGAGCCGAGCGTTCCGCATTGAGGGCAGCAGCAGTCGTTATTGCGACATCGGGCGTGACATTCAGCGGTCGTTGCCGACCAACAGGATCCGGTAATCTCTTGTCGCGGCCACTGGAACCATTGGTGTGTGAATTGACCAGGTTGAGCTTGCTAATTCGGGTATGTAGTTTCTCTACGTCATGTGATTGCTTATCGAGAGCCATATCCATGTTTCGGAATGTGCGATTCAAAGTGTCTAAGGTCGGAGCACTTTAGAAGTTCAGTGTACAAACAAGCCAGCAAGTCATAGTACACACCGTAGCCCAGGCTTTCCGCTATCAGCCCTGCTCAATCGTTTCTTGTGCTCGTGCAAATGTGATTCGAGCTTTTGAACCCGATCTTGGACAGCCTGACAATGCATCACTAAGGCTTTTACGGACCTAAAGAAGCAACTAACCCGCACAGTTCTCCGCAAATGAGTCTGGGTTTCGAGATGTTCGGGTCCCAAAGAGCGTGCTTTTAACATTTTGGCAAAGTCCTTGTCATGCTGGGCTTTCAGGAACCTCCCAACCTCCTCTCGTCGTGTCCCCGCTGCGATATAGATCAGAAGACTAGATACATTTTTTCATAGATCACATACCTTTCAACAGGTTGTTTTCCAAATCTCGAATGCGTTTCTCCCATTGAGCCTCCGTCTCCTTGAGATTCTGTAATTCTTGCTCATATGACTTCATCGTGCGGCCAAACTGGGTTGCATCCCGAAGTGACCATTTAGACTGTTCACCTGTATCAGAAGGTCGTGCTGACCTACCCAACTCCACTCGCTTCTGACTAGCGGTCTGCGCAAGTGTTTTGAACTGCAAAAAATGAGCAGATTAACCAACTCAGTTAAAATCACTTACATCCTCGAGTCCTCTAGCCATTGCCGCGAACAGCAATGCACATTCCTTCTGCATTCCTTCCTCCATTGTCGAAAGCTCAGCTCGAGATGGAACGACTGTTGTTGGCGGTGGTACTGGAATGAAGGGCATAGACGGAGTTCCTTTAGTTGGTGCTGACATTGCCGATGGTTCGGGAGTTTTTGCAATTCCAAGGCCTACGAAGAAACTACTGGGGCCGGCTGGTGATGGGCTTGGAGTAGATAGTATCGGGCTACTGAGTTTGGGGAAGGTAGGAAGCGGCAGACCTTCTGAAGGGGATTTTGCGGTTTCCTGCAATGTTGGAGCTGGGGTTGAGGCAAAGGATAGTGCTGAAAGTGGAGGTGTCTTTGGGCGTGAAGGCTTGGGCGTCGTATCCGGTGTCTTGGCTGGAGGAAGAACACCGAACGGTAGTTTGGGAGAAGCGGGCCGCGCCTTGGGAGTAAGTTTTTCGGCTTCATCCCTGGACATAGGTGCAGCGGCGAGAGGTGAGCTCTTGGCAGGTCTTGTGCTCGGCCTACCCAAACCAATTCCAAGAGACGGTGTGATAGGAACTGGTGCAGCAAGTGGGGCAGATGGTGGTGTTGGTTTCTTTTCGGGACTTCCTGGCGGCGTTTCGCTTTCTTCTCGGATAGTAGAGAGACGAGATTCTTCTGAAGAATCTGATTCATCACCGTCCGACTGCGTCGATGATGAAGAATGTGGCTTGAGCGCGTCAGCGTTGGGAGTCGACGAAGGGGAGCGGGAAGGCGGTAATGGCACAGTAGTTGGTGAAGGCGATCGCGAATAAGCATCATCATCTTCCGAACCCGAGCCAAAGCTCTCCGACAAAAAGCCATCATCATCCGGTGGCTCGTCTTGACTATCTTCTGCATCATCCACGCCGTCCGTTTCTGCTTCCACTTCAACAAAGGAGCCCCCTTCTGAGCCCAGTGACAATGAACCAAATGACGATTCTGATGGGACGGTTTCGTCTTTTTTGGGAGGCGGCGTGAAAACAGGTGCTCGTTGTTGGACGGTAGTGGCTGGAGCTGTAATCTGGATGAGTAAAGAGGACAAGTCAGCTACTGAGATCTTACAGGGCGAGTCAATGCTCTGTTCGTCGGCGGCTTTTAGCAGATCTGAAAACGACTTTGTTGGTGTTCCGGCCGGGGTAAAACTACCACCCGATGTCGCAAATGCGCTGAATGCACTGACAGGAGAGGGTGACGACGCTGATATTGGTCCGAAAGCGGATTTCGGAGTACCCAACGCAGATGTGGCTCCGAAAGCCGGTTTTTCTGAGACTGGGGTCGAAGGATTAGGCGATAAACTGGTTGTTGTCGGGCCGAACGCAGATACCACAGGAGAAGCTGGTTTGAAGAAAGGCGACGACGCTGGCGTTGGCGTGCTATTACCAAAAGCGCCGAAGCCTTCGGCAGGTTTGAATCCCGTGGTTGCGGTTTTCAGGTTACTGAATGCCCCAGTGGTTGGCGGCGAAGGGGTGCTATTGGTAAATTTCAACGGCGAAGGACTATCATTAGTTGAAGCTGGGGTTGGTGACGGCGAAGATGGTCCGGAGGCTGAACTGGTCGTCAATGCAGAAAATGCGGAGGCCGGGGTCGAAGGGGCGGAGGCTGTACCAAACACACTTGTGCTTGGCGTCCCACCAAAGGCAGATTGAGCTGGAGAGGGAGACGAGTTGGAGGGTTTACCAAATACGCTTGTCGTTGGCGCCCCACCAAAGGCACTGTTTACTGACGCAGGAGCACCAAAGCTAGATTGGGCTGGAGAGGGGGATGGCTCGACATTTGGAGACGGCGAAGATGGTGTCGGAGTAGATGTGAAACCAGACGGGCCTGTCGCAGCAAAAGCACCAAACCCACCAGAGGCAGGTGCCCCAGAAGTAATTTGAGTTGAGGCCGGTTTAGAGGCAAAACTCGTTTGTCCGAAGGCAGGTTTTCCAAAGGCGGGCTGTCCAAAGGCCGGTTGCCCAAAGGCGGGTTGCCCAAAGGCAGGTTGCCCAAAAGCAGGTTGTCCAAAGCCAGATTTGCCAAATGCGGATGATGCTGGCATTGAATCTTTTGTGGTCGTATTCCCGCCAAAGGCACCCCCAGTGAATGCGTTCGAGGATGGAAGTTGTGGATTGCTGAAGGCACCGGTGGATGCAGCACCGAATGCACCAAACCCGGCGGCAGGCTTGACCAAACTCGGATCTGAGAATTTTGAAGTGGCTGGATTCGCTGGTTGGTTGGCTGGATGATTTGGGGGCAGTGGAAGGGGACTAGGCGAAGAATTAAAACCTCCAAATAATCCGCCCGTGGTGGATTTTGGTTTGCTGTCTAAGCTCGCTGCACCCAGAGACAAACCACCAAAAGAAGGGCCCGTATCATCTCCCATCGAAATTGAGGGGGTGGCGGACATGGGTGGTGCTACAGGTTGCGAAGCAACGGTACTTGAGGAGGAGCTTCCTCCGAAAGGCGACGGATTGCTGGAAAAAACCGAATTCTGTCCAAATGGCGAGGGAGCGGAATTTTGCCCGAAAGATGACTGCCCAAAAACGGATGTTGTTTGTGAGAAGGGACTCGGCGCCGTGGGTTGAGGAATGGTGGATGTAGATTGAATCAGTCCACTGTATGGCTTAGAGTCGGGATGGGTGATATACCATGCCTGGACTGTGCCATCATTGAGATATGCCAACATGATGGGCATTTCATCGGTCAAGTCCGACTCGAGGGATAGAAGGTAAGTATCTTCGTCGTTCTTGTCCAGAGGCACTGTGAGCGGATTTTCCTGCGACTGCTGGTACCACGCAGACCCCGCAGAGCCGTGAACTTCAAGATCGGTCGACGAATTATCGCCGACTACCATCAGTGTAGTCTCGAGACCACCAGAAGCATCAGAATTCCAACGGGGTAAAATTAAGACTCGGGAATTGGGAGTTCGTTCAGGCGAGGGGAATGGGTGAGCGAGTTGCACGACGGTTGTGATGTTTGACTGGTGGTTCAAGGATACGATGTGATGGGCAGGCTGGTCGGAAAAATAGCTAGTGCGAAATGTGAATGCGGGACCAAGCCAATCGAGAGAAACAAGAGGCGGGCTTGCTGTAGGAGGGATGTGTTTGAGGGGCGCCGCGTTATTGAATCCAAATGTAAGAATATCGCCGGATCGCAGGCCAACTGCGAGTTGTTTACCCTTTGGAGACCAAGATGCTGATGGTCATGAGAATTTGACGAAGGTAACAAAAAAGCACATAGAACATACCAGCGACGGGTAAGTTATCAGCATCTGTTGCGCGCCATGCTCCCTTAGTTTGCATTTGGGCATCCAACATTTCGACTGTGCCGTCCATCCTCACGATAGCCACGAGTTGAGCAAGATCGCCGTCATTGCTGGGATTGGGTAATATCTGTAAAGGTAGACCCGAGGAAGCCTGATACACTTGAAGTGGGCTTGATGGTGACGAGGACGAGAACAAAGCCCCAGTGTCATAGATGACAACCTGGCCGTCTTCAAGTCCGGCCAGAAGGCGCGTAGCATTACAAGCAAAAGCGATTGTGACGGGATTCCAGGGTAAAATGATATCGGGTTGGAAAATTCCACCGCCACCTGTCTTGAATGCTTCCCTGAGCTTTCTCGATGGAGAGACGATAAGACCTGGAAAGAAAAATGGGAATGGGAATTAGAATTCGAACGACTAGATTCGTCCACAAACCATTGGAGGTTGAGGCTGCGAACCAGCCTCCATTCGCGTTGGTAGTTGCAAAGGTCCTCCTAGCACTCGAGGGAGCCAGGGGTTCGGGAGAAAGAGTGACACGAGACTGTTTATTGAGAAGGCGGAAGGTGGGGTACTGGACAAGTGTCAAATGAAGCGAGGGACTGGGAGGATATTGTGACACGCACGGTAAAGCCATCTGCTTGTGGTAGAGTGAAATTTGGATCTAGTTTGACCGGCGACTGGTCTGGGGGACGCAATGGCGCGAAAGCCATGGTCAAGCACAAAGTCGCGTGAGTCACGACAACCTGAGCGTGACTCTGCCCACCATGGCACCTCAATCGACCCAACCTCAAACGCTGCAGCTGAGTGTAACGACCATGGTATATACTATGTCATGCGCCCACCATAGCTAATTGACGCATTCAAGTCCAGATTAAAGCCAGCAAAAATAATGAAGGGAGCCGTGGAACCTCTACCACAACCTCGCCCACCCCATGTTGGGCCGCGACACATAACCGGCATTGCTTTCGATGATCGGGGAGACCAAGTTATTACGGCGTCTGACGACGAGACCTTTCGCTTATATAGCTGCAAATCTGGCAAGCGAGTTTCCTCTCATTTACAATCACCCGTTGTGCTGAACTGCTGCTTGTGCAGACAAACCAAGATCCTCCATTCCAAGAAATACGGTGTCGATTTGCCTCGATTCACACATAAAAATACTGCTATTCTACACGCGTCGACCAAGGAGGATGACACCGTTCGATATCACTCCTTGCACGACAACAAATATCTACAATACTTCAAAGGCCACAAGGGTCGCGTGGTGTCACTAGAGATGTCTCCCGTTGACGATGGCTTCATGTCTGGCTCGGAGGACCGCACTGTCCGTCTTTGGGATCTCCGCGCTCCGACTTGTCGCGGTCTCTTAACACTTCCCGCCACGCCCCTCGTCGCTTACGATTCTACTGGTGTCGTATTTGCCGTCGCGGTGAACCACTACTCCCGTATACTGCTCTACGACCATGCCAATTACGATAAAGCGCCATTTCTTGTCATCACCCTCGAGGACCCCACCCTTGGTCTTGTTTCCTTCCCCCCACGACCAATATACATGACTTCGCTTGCCTTCTCGTCCAATGGCAAATATCTGCTTGTTGGTTGCTCCGGCGATGCGCATTACATCCTAGATGCCTTCGAGGGCCACTTGCTGGCAAAACTGGAAGGGCATGTTGGTTTAGAGCGTCGCACATTGTCCGCTCCTACGACTATTGAGCCAGCCAAAGGTTGTAGTGGGGAAGAAGTCGGTTGGACCCCAGACAGTAAATTTGTCATTAGCGGAAGCCTAAACGGGAAAATTCTGATATGGGACACTCAAAATCTACCTTCAAAAGCGGGTGACGTCGACTTAAAGGTTCCTCCGTTAAGAATTCAGCCTACCGTCGCCCTTGATGGACATCCTGGACCGTCCAGATGTGTTCGATTTAACCCTCGTCTTGCGATGATGTGTTCTGCTGGGGCTGAACTGGTGCGTTGTGTCCGACTCCTTTCTATGGGTCTTCTACATCTTGTCTAGGCGTTCTGGCTGCCGGATATGGCAGGGGAGGCCGATGAAATTGCGCAGAATCTATATAAGAAACGCGCCATCTGAGTCGGTATGGAACCAATGCACAGCCTGTGTTTATGTACTGTCCTATAGTGACCCAAACCATTATTTGAGTGTCAGTCATGATCTTCTAGATACTTGGCCTTACATAAAGGACAATGTTTGGTGTCCGACGTCTTCAGTGACTTCCACTTGTCTATAGCATCTAACATAACCAAACCTGGAGTGCCAACATAATAACCCCAAGCCAAACGGATCTCAGGCTATAAAGGAACATGCTACTATGGGTAGGCCGCCCGGCGTGCAACTCAACGGCCTGGGTTCGCCTACCCCTCCTGTAGTATGTCTCCTTCATCGGATCGGTTGTAGCGGCTTGTCTGACTTCAATAAGTTGAATAACCAAAACCATCGAGATAATGTTGCACAGGAGGAAGGCAACAAGGTACATAACTCCTCGTTTCCCCTTGCGCTTTATCATTATGACTCGTTGATTCTCCCTTTTTTTGGATTGACCCGCGTTGCGCTACGCCCACCGCCAGCGGCAGATAAAAGAGACATTGTCACGGTTTTCACTGGTTTTCAACACCATCGTCGAGAGGTGACTCGGAGTCGATGGAGGTTCACAAAGATGGAAAGAATCCCGAACCGTCCACAATCCAGGTCAACCTCCTGATTATTACATAAAAATTGCATGACCAGTCACCAGACTCTTCCTCTGCCTCACTATCGGCACCAATTCTTGCACTTCTTCCAATCCAAGTCTCCTCCGGCGTTCGTCGACAAGAGACCCTTTGTCGCGCAATTACCCGACGAGTTTCGATATATCTTAGCTCGCCCGCCGCGTTTCGGAAAAACAACTTTTATCAGCACACTGCAAGCACTCTATGATACATCAACCGTAGATGAGTTTGCGCAGCTGTTCAATGGAGTCAATGTGACTACGAAACACAATCAGCATCTTTGCCTCGCATTCACTTTTGTTGGCTTGGGCGGCACACTTAGTCGCATATCGGACCGCGTTCGGTCAGGGCTAAAGTTCTTTGTCCGGAAATATGCAAAGGAACTTGATCCGCTTCCACCTAACGGGTTTTCTTCAGTCGCGGCACAAATGCTGACCCAAGTCATAGTGAGTCACTCTTGACTCCCGTGGCGTACGTGGCGTACTTACTAACCGGTAATTAGACGCTCGTTAGCCAACGCAAACATTCATTATTCGTGTCGGTGGATGACTTTGACGGACCGTTCCGGCTTCCTACTCGTTCCTCCACTGAGAATACACCCACTTCATTCAAGGATGTCGCTGATACTATGAAAGAGAATCTATGGACTCCTCTCTTCAGCGCTGATCCCACGATCATACCCAAGCTGATTGTTTCTTGTGCGCTTCTCCCCGATCCTGCTCTCCTTCGCGATCTTGGTCTATCTGCTCCAGCACAGTTCAACCTCGTTTGTGGGTTCACGGAACAGGACGTGTCGAAGCTGGCTCTCGAGGTGCTAGGAACAAATATCAACTGTGACCAAGTCAAAGAACACTCAGGAGAATATTTTTTCTCCAGTGTTCCTGTTCTCCATCCACAACGGACATTAACTTGGATCAAAAGTCAACTCGAAGTCTGGGGGACAACCGACGACAAGTCAGTTGAACTGCTCAAAACAATTATATACCATGTGCCCGACCGTGACGAATCTCAGGGATCCTCGCCCTCAAATTTATGGGTTGACCGACTCATTGATCTCATCGCCACTTGCGAGGCTTACGTTGACCTAGAAATGGGTGCTTTTGTCGACAACGATCTCAGCCGTCACAGCTTGAATTCGTTGTACCATCTTGGTTTGCTGGTACGCAGCGATAATCGTTCTGGAACTTTTAGATTGTCAAACAATCCCGTTTTGTTGTCGATTGTGAGTGGTACATATTCCCCCTTGGTTAGACCCTCATCTGAGTCATCTCTTCGTAGCTTCATGATAGGATTGATAAGACGGTCGCTGATCGTTACCAGTTGAAACAGCGATGTTTTTATAATGCCTGGGTCAAATTCAGCATCCTTCATCCGGCGGACATGGTAGAAATCCTCGAGTCCGTTTTCCGAGATCGGGTGCGGAATTGCCTCAAGATGGGCCAGGAACCGAATCTTCTCGGCATTTTGGAACTCACTTTCAGAAACGGCTGTATTACCGGCAATGTTGAGCACGAACATCGTCGATTGCCTTTCATCCCACTCTCGGGCTTCGACGAATCAGTCGTGCTTGACATACCCAAATTCCCCGACGTAAAAGGAAAGCTGACACTGGAGCTCATCACTTTAACCCTCACCGGCCTCTGGTATGGCAAATATCCTGGTCGCCATCCGACGAGGGAGGAACTGGAAGATCTGCATGTCCAAATACTGAACGAGAATGACGCTTCTTTACTAGATCGCGCGTACCAGAAATGGTCCTCTGCTCTGAAAGCGACGGAGGTGGTGACTGTCAAGGAGTTGATGAGCCCGTGCGCCGATCCAGAACACATAAAGCTGGTTGCTGTTGGTGGTGCTCGTATTCTATGCCGTTGTCCTCCTGCAACGGTCCAGTTAGATCCCGAATATCCTGCATCATTGCCGGACCCTGTTATGGAAAGATTCTACGAGATTGTAGAGAGATACAGAGAATATCCCAGACCCGGTCCTGATCAAGAGGACATGTAGTCTAAGATTACCACTCTGTCATTTACATCTGTAATGTTCGTCTTGTTCAACTTTGTTGCAAGCACATTCCTCGAATATTCTGGCATTGCATCAGCGATAAAACTTTCTGTGCTTCTACCCACCGTGCTTATGCATGTCTAGAAAATTTCCATCCGTGGAATCTGGACGAGTTTGGATCAGAGGAGACAACCAAACACCGGCCGGCATGTATGGAAGATGAATCTGAACCGTCATCTCGTCCTCGATGGATCCCGGCGACATTGGTGCGCCTCTATTCTAGTCAGATTCTAGCTCTTCGTATACTCAATTAACGTTGTTCAAGCTCGCGACCGGCACCCTGCTCACAGTAGCCCCACTGATATACCTTTGGCGAGCCAAACGAACAAAAGCCGTCAGTTTGAACACGGCTGCTCCACCCCCGCGACGACTCGGCTCTCTTGCCAACGCTCTCCCATCCAGAGCACCATCGTCCGGTTCCGCAAGCACTATACCACAGACAACTGACAAGGACACCCTTCTTTCGCGTTTCGCTGTGGTTTCTCCCTGGTCCGACAACGCCACAATACCCTCCGGCAGTCAGCCTCCCAGATACTCGTCCTCGTACTCCGTCTCTTCTGCGTGGAAAGACGATGATGACGATGACTGGGGGGTCCGACCAGGGCCCGTCGACCCGAACGACAACTTCAATGGCACCTTATACACGCTCCAAGCATTCGGCGCAGCGACACTCATCGTAACAGCGCTAGGTATCGGCGGAGTCTGGGGCTTGGTGCGGTATTTGGAGGTGGACAACGTGCGCTGTCTTTTCTCTTCCGTTCAAAAGAGGAAATAATCAAGTTCCTTAAGATGCACGATTTCGGCCATAAAATGCGCCTCGAGGTCATGGACAGAATGCCCTTCCTCGCGGCGCGTATGCGGAACGCACTAAATCTCTCAACAAACGAAAGCAAGACGGAACCCAAGCCGTGGTCTTACGACGAATCGCAGGACCGCCTATCCGACGCATTTGACAAGGGCGGTGTCTCCGCATGGGCCACGGCATTTGTTCAAGAGGTAGAGGAGGAAGCCAAGGCCGAGATAGACAAACGGGAGCAGCTAAAACCAAAAGCATGACCATACACATATTTTAGAAAGTGATCCATTTGTCACCTGGCCAGATCTCGTTTGGACCAATTTGGTGATGCGTACTATGTCTGACTCTCAGCCTCAGCAAGAGACCGAGACCTCCCAACCATCACCGCCTATACAATTCATAATCTCCGGACATACCGCTCAAGTTGCGAGCCACTGGCAGCCAGATGGTGATCCATGTCCCTTTGACCCCGAAGACACTCGCGATGACGATGATGACAACTTTTCATTGAGACTACACATTCCCCTAGACATAATCCGAAATCTTTGCTTGAAGCCAGCCAAATTTCTCCGCTTCCTTGGCTACTGCATTCTTGGCCTCCTCGGCGTAGTCAAATCTTCTCTCCACGGGCCTCCGTTAGATGACGATGCTGAGCTTGAGGCGGGAGCAACTTATTACTTCAGGAGACCCAGAGGAAAATGTACGTTTGGTGCTTCAAATTTCTTATCTAATGTCTAGCAGTTCATCTTGGGGCAATTATTGACCTCATATTGCTCAAAAGGCCCAGCTCTGCATCTTCCTCCAGCGTTTGTGGGAGCATTGAAAACCGAGACCCATTTTGCATCTTCAGTGGCAGTGGACTATATACATGTGAAACGGCTCACATCATCCCTTTCTCAAAAGCACTGGTTGGTTCTTGTTTATTGCCCAAGTCCAGTTTCATCCTTCTAGTTCCTTGATTGCATCATACGCACCCGTCTCTCTAGCACCGAAAGCTTAGCGGGCATGGCCATCGACGACGTTCGCAATGCTTTCATGGTGTCCGCCTCGTATCATCGGAGCTTCGACAACAAAGCTTTAGCTGTGATGAAGGTATGTATCGTCTCAACTTGTTTGAAAATCTGAGTTGCGCTGCAGACACCCAACCTCGTCCTTGGTGTTGAAGACATTCCCATTTCTCCGCCCCACTCCCGGCCGCGTGACGGGATAGAATATCCGTCCCACGAGCGCTATACCGCCCAATGGCTTGTTTATGACCCAGATTCAAATAATGAACTGCCCAAAGCTATGGATGCTATGTTCAATGCCACTTCCACGCTGGACAAACCTTCCCAAATTCTCCTTGACTACAATTATGGAGTCGCTGCTTTGGCGCGCTGGTTGGTGAAAGAGGACACGCATCTGCTGAACGTGAACAGTCCTAACCAGCGTGGTGCTCTCGGTCTCCCTTCTCGGCCTATTTCTCCTTCCCCTGCCCCACTTGGTCCGCAACGCAGCCGACGAACCAGTCCTCAACACCAAGCTGCGATTGACAAACGTAATGCCTGGGCTGCGAGGATTGAAGAAGCGGAAAACATCGTCTTCAGGCTCTGGATGGGCAGTCATCCTGAAGTAGCTGCCCAAATTCATCAAGAACATGAGGATGGTGCGGAGCGGTTGGAGCAATGGCGTCTCGGTGTGAACACTGGCAGTTCAAGTTGTGTTGCAAATGCTGACGTAAGCTACACTGGATTACCGTTGAGTCCGGTGGACTAGTGTTATCCGTTGGAACGACGCCTCCTTGCTAGATCACCCGTACCAAAGGTGGTCGTCTGCTCTGAAGGCGATGGGTGTGGTGACCGTGAAGGAGCTTGCATGCCGATACAACAAAGTGTCTATAAGAACGCCTGTGCTTGAAGCATCCAAATCTTCGCATATCCACCGTCCCTCTTGATAAGCTCATCGTGAGTACCTTCCTCTAAGATGCTAGCATCGTCCATGTACCTGTATACGTTAAAAGTGAGCGCCAGAATTCACAATTCACCCCTACAATATCAAATCCGCGTGTCTTGTGAGGTTCCCGAACCGATGACTCGAAAAAATCATCGTCTTGTTGCCGCGAAGGCGACGGAGGCGTTCGAACAGATCTATGGGGTTGTTAGTTATGGGCCAATTGCAATTGTCAGCATACCATGCTCAGCTGTCGGGTCCAAGCTCGCCGAAGGCTCGTCAAAACACAACAGTCCGACCCCGTCATCACGCATAAACGTCCTCGACCTATTTGCGACTGATCAGCGGCGAAGAACGGGGACCGTCCATAACCCACAGTGCGATCCTCTGCATCTGACCGCCGGACAAACCCATCGCATGAGTATTCATGTTTCCAGCCGACCGCAGACCGCGGTATTCGACTGATCTTCCGAACAAGGTTTTAGTTCCCGACGGAAGGGTGGAGTAGAGGTCTTCGATGGGCCTGGAATACATATGTGAGTATTGGGATTACGCTCTGGGTATATTTACCGTTCGAGAAAGGTGTCGTATTTCTCGTCCATCTTCTCGATGAACCCATCGGCACCGCCTAATTGGGCCGCTTCATGGATTCTCGACTTGAGATGGTCGGTCTTGGGGCCAGGAGTGGACAATTCGGCAAAGGCAGCAGGGTCACCCAGCGCGATGTTGTCCTTGATTGAAAGCGGGAAGTGGGTGTAGTCCTGGAACAAGACTGATGTTGCTTTTCGCAGATCAGCGAGCCTGAAGGTTCTGATATCTTGACCGTTGAGCAGGATCTCGCCCGAAGCTGGGTCATACAGCCGTGAAATCAGCTTGAGAATCGTGCTTTTCCCGGAGCCGTTGGCGCCAACAATAACCTACTTTGGTTGGGCAAAAATGAAAACAAGGAAGTATGTCCACGCACACAAAGTTGGCCTTGGCGAATCTTGAATGAGACGTTCCGGAGGACATCTCGTGTACCACCTGGATAGCGGAAACACACTTGACGGAATTCCACGGAAATTCCGTTTTCAAGGCTTCGCTGGTCCTCTGGAAATGGCTTCGGACCGTCTTCAACAATATTGGGGATGTTGAACGTCTCGTACAATTTTCGGATGTTGGCGAGATGCTGTGCGATGGAGCCTGTCTCCCTCAAGAGATCAAAGAGAGTACGAGAAAAGCGATTCGTCGTTTGAGTGATCAAATTGAGAGAAGCGAGCGAAAGCGGAATGTCAGTGGGGTATTGGACTGCGCGGAGGGTGAAAATGATGCGGGGAAGCTCTTCAAGGGGGTCAGATAAGAACTGGGCCCAGCTCATGCCTTTGTGGAGACGAAGCAGCCGAAACGCGTCGGAAAAGTTTGTTGCATCTTCCCCGAGGCGCTGGGAGATAGCGCGGTAAACTAGAATATGTCAAACGACGCAATAGCTGGTGATAAATCCCTAACTGGAAATGAGAGAATCAGCTAGTCCACCTGCAACGATTTCTTGTCTGTGATGCTGCTGATGCACCAGTTTGGCCACTCCCATAGCCCTTAGATAGTCCTCGTTTCGAGTCGTTGCAGCCCAGACTCCAGGTGGCCCTCCCCATGCCCCCATCGTATTGCGCATTTGTCGCTGGAACAAAACTTGTGCAAAGCTTAAAGAAGCTAAAAGAATCCCGTCGCGTTGTTTGCGTAGCATCGTGATGAGCACAGAGAACTGTGAAATCAATTCGATGGTGGTCGAGGAGATAAGAAGGATTTCCTCGACGCTATTCCAAGCAAGGCTAGTTCGCGCACTGGGCTGACTATTGTCAAGTTGTCTCAGAATCGAGGAGTCTGAATACGTGGGCACATCTAAACGGGCGCGGGCAGCAAACGACTGGACGGAGTAGTATTGTTTGATGCGTTCGTTTAAAGGGCGATTGAAGCGAGAAGCAGTGTAGTTTAGGAATCGCGTGGCCATGCTGCAGCTAAGCCGGCTCAAGGCGACCTTGAATAGCACGTTGTGATCGATAGTGCGATGTTCGACAGCGTTTTGGACCTTGTGGATGGTCATGACATGATTCAGACTCACAATAACAACCTACGATTTCAAGTAAGAGGCCGGAATACCATAGTTCTATGGCAGGGATAAAGGCTAATATGAATGTTATCAAGAGATAGCTGCAGAAACGTGAGTCTTGAAACGCCAACGAAGTGTAACATATGCACCAAGTAAGCAGCCACAGACAAGAAGGGATGGAAGCTATCTCTTTCAACATTTGCCAGACATATGGCATGCTCCCACGCATGGAGTTGTAAGACTCGAGAGTTGGCAGAAGGCTGCTGGGTACGAAACGAGCTTTGGGCTCTATTTGTTCGTATAAGTCCCAAACACCGATTTTGGTGTGTCGGACCTGCGTTGCATCGTCAGGGTTGAATACTCCTGGGTCATCGGCTGCTTTGGACTGTCGGAATCCTCTTCTTCGAAACATTATCGCGTGAGGAAAACAACATAGACGTTCCTGCGGACGCAGCAATTTCGCGTGTCACGCCGGTGACGAGACTTTCCCGCTCCAACCGCTCTCCAACCATGCTCGGCAAGGCGGCAGCTCGAGTCCCTCTGTCCAGTCGAGGCTATATCGACCTTATGGATGCTGGTCTTAGTGGCGTTTCTGGTGCGGGACCAGTTTGAGCACAATGTCATTCGTTCTCAAGAAACCCCAGGCGCTCAACACATAATATCCATGATTTCGTCGCGTCGTTCAGTCACCAAGCTTATATTGGGTTCAAATAATCTCGGAGACGATGGATGTATAGTCCTTTTCAAGTTCCTTGCCTCTGCTGTGGGACGGAAACATCAAATAGCGGAAATCAGCCTCAACACCAACCGTTTGGGCAATCGGGGCCTGCTTGCTATCGCAGAATATTTACAAGACAACCAGTCTTTGAGGCAGCTCCTCCTTCCATATGTAAGCCAGTGTCAGCCAAGGGCTCCTTCATTAATTCGTTGCAGAACACCTTCACCTATGACGCAGAGGTGCTGACCAGATTCACAAGCGCCTTGAACTCGTCTCGTCTTCAACTTTTGTCTTTGACAGGCAACCACGATCTCTCCGACCCATTTGTATGCGAATTCCTACCCCTTCTCGACTCGCCTGAGCTGCAAGAACTTCACCTCTCCGCTACCGGACTTACACCCAATGCCTCTCCGTCGCTCATTGAATACGTCTCTTCCCCTCGCTGTCATCTGCATGTCCTCAAGTGTAATGGCAACTCACTAGGCTTCAGGGCTATCAAAGCTATCGTTCGTGCTGTGGAACGACACAACTTCACCATTGTAACCTTGGAGATGTATTCCAATCAGGCCACCACCGAGCCTGTGAATAGCGACAACACGGAGGACGATGAAGAGGACCAAGATGACGGCGCCGGCCCCAGCTCCGTCGGACTCGACGCCTGGAAAGCAAATGACGCGTCCATCCGTCGTGTCTTGCTTCGAAACTCGCATCTGAAACGAGTGACGGAAAAGGATGCGCTTTGCCTTCTGCGATATTCGCGTCCACTCTTATTACCGCGTCAAATGCCAGATGCTGTGCCTCCAACAGAACCTTCACCATCTGGCTTTGCTTTCCGTTCTCTTCCTACTGAGCTCCAGCTCTACATTATGTCCTTCTTCGCGCCGTCCCTTTCCCCAGCACAAAGAATCAGAATATACACATATGCGTCTTCATCAGCGACTCTCCCCCGCATAACACTGAGCCTGCCAGGATTTCCTATCAAAGGCACCTCGATGTGTGTTCTCGACCCTGCAATAATGCCTTCTACTGGCAGCAGTAGTGGGTGTGCTGGGGGTCGCTGTGCCGGTGCTGGAGGCAAGAGTGTGTTGTGTCACAAAGAGCAGCAACGAGCTGAGTGGCTGAAGATCGTTGGGTGTTCAGCGTACGACCCACAACGATAAGGAGAGTCTGGGCATTAGATTTTATCCATTACAAAGGATGGACCCATTTGGATACCTAGTTTGTAGTTTAATGTGTACAACATGGACGTATCCGACTCATACCGTATCGGTCCTAGGAAAATGTATCGATGATCCACGTGATCACGACCTTGCGATCCACAACCATCACCTTGAATGTATAAATTTCTTACTTTACTCTCGTTCTCTGCGCTGTCTTCTTAACCGCAGGGCTGGACTCATTCCAATTGGTCACTTAACAAGGTTCTTTAAGCGCTGACGGAGTTTTGGTGGCCACAAGCCCCTCACTTTTTCTCTTTCGTTGAGCAGTTTCCGAAGCTTTCCTGGCGCCTCACGGAGTACGGCATTTGGATCCACTCTAGGTATCTTTGTTTCGTTGCGATGCAACCATTCTGACATTCCAGGAATGAAGTTGTTCTATATACTTCTTTCCACGGGTGTTCTTTAACCTCGTCAGGGCTGCAACAAAGGGCACGTTGCGAATACAAGAATAGGTCCGTTGGAGTCACTTTACCGCTTCTCCCTTGTTCACCCACAATGGCCAGTTTTCGCAAACTCAGCTACCGCGCTGAACTGTTCGTCGTCGCAACTCCGGAAGATGTGGAGAATGCAGCCATGGAGTTTGCAACTATGGTGACTGTTTCTAATGTCGATCGCATCCTTCAAGATGTTCTTGAACACGAGTCGCCCACCATCGCTAGGTTGGCCATTGCTAGTATGTTTTTGGGTGCTTGTGGTGTACCCCAATCTCACATCATGTTAGGTCTCGGCAAGGATTTAGTCCTCAGCCACTTTCCCACAAAGCCACAAGACTTCAACGGATCGCTTGTGGCCCGCGTACTTTCGGACCTAAGTGTCTTCTTCCTGTTGGCCCACAAAATCACCAATATCAACGACAATCATCACATCCTCGTTAAAGAGGCGTTGATTGTTCTTCAGACCATCGCGCAACAAATTATGAACCTCAAGACCAAGTCCAGCCATGCCACGACTTCGAAGCATGGTAAGGTCGTGATGTCACTGAACGGTCTGAACCACAAGTCCCGTGTGCGACACCAACGAACCCCACGCAATGCTGGGCCCGAAGTCCTGCTGGACATTGCGCCATTTGAACGACTTGGCATAGGCCTTCCCAAGAGCCTTGAAGAATTTGAACAAGCGGAAGCGCTCATCATCTCCACCCAGAAGTCCATCTTGGAGGCAAGGCATCCTTCGAGAGCGTGATAATGACTAATAATCAAGCTAGGCTTATCTTGAATCGCTACGTCTCCCTCATGTTTGGGAGTCACTCAAGAGCGCCTGCCTCCAGACCGAAATGCCAGAGTCTGAACCAGAGATCGACGCTGAGGTCAATGATCGCGAAGACGGCCCCGCCGTAGACATCCATGTCGATAATGACACGCCCTTTCACGTAATCCAGACGATCAAATTGTAAATTCCATGGCTGCGCCTATTCGTGTGCTGATGTTTCTATCTATCGTAGCTCCGCAATTTACCGCAAACGCATTGCGGGATTCGGAGATTGGGATATCAATCTCGCACCCCAAGCCGAGCAGCAATTTCGCACTCTCAACAAACAAGACAAAGCATTGTTCAACGTCCTGTGGAAAACTCTTCGGTGCATATTCGAGGAAAACCAGGAAATCCCCCCCTGATGATGGTTTCAGAATGCTTTCGCGGGGTAGACTGGCGGATGCAACACAGCAGATCAATACGGTCGAAAGCGAGTTGCCCATTTTCAAAGTTGCTGTTGGCGAAGAATTTCTGGTGGTATGCTGATTCAGCATTTGTCTTAGTTCAACATGACGATATCTATATAGTATTATGTCGACTGCGTTGCAACTGACGATCAGGTAAACCCTTGCCATTATCTTCATCTCATTTGTTGACATTCCTTGCAGAATGATCAGCAAGGTCGATGCTCAGATAATCACTGAGAGCCTTTCTCATGCCTCCATAGTCCTCAAAGTTTTCGGACTATATCCAGCCTCGGAAGTCTCAGGAGGGACATTCTGGGACTCGATGAGTCGTGAGCTGTCGAAGAGAGGAACAGTTTATATTGCAAGGTGGACAAGTCTCCTCGTATGGTAATTCCATGGTTGAACTCTATATTCTGACAGATGTAATCACCGTCAACCTGACTTGACCCAATCTGGTGTATTCACGCCAATGGTCTTCACAGCGAGAATTACTGCCGTCGACTGGGACGGACCGACACAATTGCCGACGGACGACACCGAACGAGTATGTGATTCGTACTCATTCTTGGTCTTGTTGATAGAACATGCCCAAGATTCTTTCGTTGCTATTGTAGGTTTGACAGTCAATTCCCGTTTCCTTTAATGATGGTTCAAAGGAAAACGATCCATTTCTCCCAGGTTTTACCCAATGCTTTCTCTCTAATTTCCATTTTGAAATCAGATGTAGGACGTCATGCGTTCAATCATAGAAGATATTGAGGCTACCTTCGTTCTTGTGATCTCGTGAGCTTTGCCTATTGTGATCGAACACGTTCTGATATTCGATAGCCCTGAGGAGCGAAGGATTGTTGAACATGACGAGTCGTGTTATGTTTTTGGTCGTAGTGGAACAGGGTACTTGTGCTCACTTTACCCTATTTCCTTCTCAACCTTGAATAGCAAAACGACGACCATGCTCTACAAGATGCTCCTCATTGAAACAAGCTGTTTGCAACTATCGGCTCGCCCTGTCCGACAACTTTTTGTTACTCAATCGCGAACCCTTGCCGACAAGGTTGGGGAGCATTTTCGTCATTTGATCAGTGGTTATCGTCCCACCGCTGTGGCACGCAACTTGATTGCCAGTAAAATAGCTGGCAGGGCCCTTGTCAAACGAGAAGAACGCGACAAGCTACGAGATGATCTGCCTTCTCGCTATAGCGAACTACAAGATCATCACTTCCCTCTTTTTATTTCGTTTGAACAGGCAAGCATCCAAGAACTTTCCCTCAGGGACTATTGACATTATTGCTAGCTGTGTGTTCTCTTGGAAAATGATGTTGTAGCTCAATCAGAAGGCACATCGAAGAAGACGCCCACCTATTTGACCTTTGACAAGTTTAAAACTCAATATTGGCTCCATTTCCCCCAGGCTTTAACCAGAGGTCTGGGTAGGTCCCTCGTCGTAACTCATTTTCTGCTGTTTATGTTACTTGTTAGATGCCGCATCTATCTTCTCTGAGTTCATGGGTATGCTTTTTCTTGACATCGACTTGGCAATAACCGAATATTATCAAACAGGCGTGATCATGGGATCAGAAGCCGCTCTTGCTAGCACATCATCGTATCTTGGACGCGAGGCATATGTCGCAAGCCAGCCACGGCGGAATATTCCAGCGAGCTTGAAAACGAGGATATACGACCTCTTCCTCAAGTACCATTCAGAAAAGCGCTGTCGAGGCGATTTAGATTTAGCAGATAGGTGAAAATGAATTCCACCTAGGTTGTAACAAGAATTGACATGCCAAGAACTCGATTGGTCCTACAGGAGTTCAGAAAGAACGGAGTCCCAGGACAGAAGATCGACTACTTGTTAGTATCAACCCATTTTGTCCTCCTAAACTGAATGCTCCGTTAGATACGTTGACGAGGTTCAAGACAATCTTCTCATCGACATGTTGCGTGAGTTTTTCGTTAACTAAATGATGTTGACTGCTGCTAATAAAACGGAGTTCTTCGATCCCTCTGCCATAACCCCAACGGACTCTTCTGGGCTGGGGATACCGCTCAAACAATTTCAGCTGGGAGCGCATTTCGCTTCAAGGAGCTGAAGGCATTTTTGTATCGTGTTGAGGTGCGCTACATCGCTGATCTCGTAGCACTGATTTATTGAGGATGACTTTTTTCAAGCAACGGCGAAAGTGCAAGCAGCCTGGCGCCTCGTTCATGCCGGTATCGCAACCCCAGATCTTTCAGTTGACCACAAATTACCGCTCGCACACCGGAATTGTCAACTGTGCTCGGACGATCATTGAAACGATCATGCATTTTTGGCCAGACTCTATCGACAAGCTTCAACCAGAGAGGGCAACTGTTGATGGACTGACACCGTTGTTTTTCGACAACCGGGATAACACGGTGGATGCTAATCGGTTCCTGTTTGGTCCCGAAACATCGTATGTGTATGCGCCTCTCTCTTCGGCTGTGCTAACCAGCCTCAGTGGTGGGAGGATCGACTTCGGTGCTTATCAATGTGCGCATGCCCGATGTTTTGGTTCCACACTCATTCGGACTGACAGGTATTCTGGTACGCGACAAATCTGCGAAAGAACGATTTCTGCGAGAAGTTGGCGAACTCGCGATCATCATGTGAATCCTCCGAACACCAACTGGGTAGGGACATCTAACAATTTTGTGTGATTAGGCCGATCTATGACGCAAAGGGTCTCGAGTTCAACGACGTACAGTGTATCCCTCTTTGAAGCTGAATACAAATTGAAATGACTTCAGATTTTACTCTACGACTTCTTTGCCGATTCCGATGTCGAAGAGGCCCAATGGCGAGTCATACTCAATATGCTCGAGGAGGAAATCGCTCCTGCTTTTGACAGCATACGACATTCAAGCGTCTGCATGGAGGTAGATATCTTCTGATCGTTGAAGCAAAGCCATTTATTTCAAATCCAGCTCAAGTCGCTCTACGTGGCTGTAACACGTGCACGAAGCAATTTGTGGATTGTCGACCGTTCCAGCAAAGGCGAGCCCATGCGGGTCAGTGTTGATATCATCATTAGTAAATTTATGGTTAATGCTGGATACAATAGGCTCTGTGGGCGCGAAGGCATCAAGTGCAGAATTGTTCTTTTGGCAAAGACACTCGACAGTTTGCGATAGCTTCGCGCCGTAAGTCACCTGCAGCGAGTCCATTGATCCACCTCATCGATATCCTAGCGGAAGATTGGAAGGCTCAGGGCGAGGAACTCTTCGATAAGGGGTTGTTCTCGAATGCTCGACTGTGCTTTCAGCGCGCGTTCATGCCGCACGAAGCTGCTATCAGCAATGCATACGCGCTCCGCGAAGAAGCCGAAGAAATGTTCGCCAAGCCGCGAGAAACCAAGCTCAAGTTCGTCGAAGCCGGAAATGCCTTCCTCAGCTGTGCCAAAAGCACAACTGACACTGAGACGTCCTGGGAGTATGCCGCAATTGCAGGTGATTGTTTTGAGCGCGGCGACAGCCTGCTTTGTGGCGTCGAGGCTTTCACTCTCGCCAGAAAATTCGACAAGGTTGCCACATTCTATCGCAAACTTGGTATGTTTGACGAGATGGTGCAAACAATACAACAGCATCCCGAAATTGACACGACAACATCGAAAGCTCTCATCAATGTCGCCCGGCTTTTCTATTTCAAAAGCGGCCATCCCAAGTAAGCAACATATGGCGTCTTTGCCTGATGCTGACGTGTGTCTCAGGAAAGCCGCAGCCCTGTTCAGCAGCACGGAAGATCCTTTGGAGTATTTGTCAAGTCGCGGTTTGCAAGTGGAACGAGCCCGGTTTTTGCAAGACGTGAAAGAAGAACTTTCTCAGGCGGCAGAAGTTCAGCTTCAAGCAGGCAAATTATTCGCAGCCATCGAGCTCTTTGTCCGCGACGGCAACAGCGAAAGGGCGGCAGCCTGTATCGCTCAAGGGTTCTGGGCATCACTTCCATTTGCTACAACAGCTGTGGCAAGCGACCCAAGCGTCTCTAGGCTGCTCAAGTTCGCGGCTCGGTTGGACTTGACCTGCTTAGCATCCACACGGCGCGATGAGGTATAGTGATCACAACCGGATCCCAACTTGTGCTGATGCCACATATGCAGATAAATATGTTCGAAGCCATCATTAACCAGGACATCGACAAACTACGAATTGTCGGTCAATCTTTCCAAACTGCGAATAATACACCAGCCGTCCTCCTGTGTCTCGACCACTATTTCACTCATAGATCCAGTGTGCAAGATTTAGAGGTTGACGCGCTGGTTGATCATCTTAGCCTCTTTTTGCTCTTCGTAAAGCACTTATACCACGCTGCCTTTGGCATTGATCCGGCTACGACTTCTGGAGCAGCCAGGTTGATGGGTTTTTCGAAAGACAGCGAAGACCGATTCACGATTCCTCCGACATGGTTTCTGCAACAATTCCTGAACGACAGCAAACGACCCCAGGACGTTGGGTCTTGCGTGGTATCAGCCTTTCAACTGCGGAATGCATACCAAACGGCTCTTCGACGACGTCTCTATGATCATGTTTGGAAGGAAAATGCGTCCTGCCGTACGAACAAAGTATTCCGAGGGCCGTGTCTGACTTTCACCCTCTTCAATCGCCATTGCAATCGCCATGAATGTCAACAGGAACACGTCGATCCCGCGACTCTTACTCCAGAAAGCTATACACTCCGTGTCCGGGCTCACTTGCTCCAAATACTGATTTATCAGAGTCTACAGTTCCAGCGTATGAGCATTGCTGAACGAGGGTCTGTTGACCCTTATTCATCTATCTTCTCAACTGAAGTCAATGCAGATTTTGGATGTCTCGTTTGTACTCCATCCTCAATCCGTCGTCTTATCGTTTGGGTTCCCCTGGCCATTTCCGTCTGCGAAATATACCGGAAGCGGCTTTGGGACTGCGCGTCTTAGGAGACTGGCTCCGCGATGGCGCATACGGCCTTGGATTCGAGCCTGGATTCCCTTTCTTCAAGTTGACACACTTTGTCGAAATAGTCCAACTCGCTTTCCAATTTGATCGCCAGTATGCCATGGACTACCTGACTAAAGCGCCGTTCATGAACACGAACAAACCGCTCATTTATCAACGGGGGCCAGGCGGATATGTTCTATTTGAGTTCTTGAAGGCTATCCAAGATGCTGAGGAATGGTCGCTCTCAGCTGGAGTCATTTTTCTGCGGTTAGTGATGTTTAATGCTGATTCTGTTCGTTCATCAATTGAGCAGACACATTGCGGTTGAGAACGCGCTTCCGATTCAGATCCGTCTCATCTGTGACCTCGCGGACAACATATGCGGGCGATTGATTATTGCGGACCGGCAGCGGCGCGGTGGAGTGTTCCACAACATCACCCTCCCCCTCAGCTGGCTCGTACGGCAAGTGACATCGGGTAGGAACGGCTTTGTAAGCCCAAGGGCTTCCAATACTTGTTGGATTTTTGCTCGAACATTGGTGGCACTATTGGAGCCCGTCTTAACCGGTGTTGGTGCAGGTACCTGAGGCCGGAATAAAGATGAAACTTGAACTGACGTTCACTACTAGGTCACCTACTTTTCGACAACAAGGACCTTGCAAACGCCGTCATTGGCTTTCGGATTCGAAACATCTTTCTCGCAAGATTGTGTCGTTGTCTTGGATTGCGTAAGTGCACATAGTAATTTGCATGGAGGCAGATCTGAGTTGCAAGCATAGTTGTGTACAATTTCGGCAGTGCTTCTCTGAGGATGTTTGTCTTCCAGTCCATTACCTCTCTGGGAAGCTATCCGCCGCGCATTTTCTCCCAGATGACCATGAGGTATGCATTCCCCTCGAAAAGCATATCCATATAAACTTGTGCGTAGCTTTATTCAAGCCAACGACTGGCCGGAGATGGCTCGCGCAGTGCGTGGATCGACCGGAGATTCAGCACTCGATGAGATGGTCCAGTTACTCCATGTGTCCAACCATCGACCCCCAGCAATGCCCAATGTTCGCCAGATTGTACATCGCCACCTAGACGAGCTGCCGCAGCTATTGGGCCTGGCTCCAGCCCCAAGCGCCGGCCCAAGCCCTAGTGTTCTGAAACAAACGACACAGATTGCGCCGGAGACCATGACCAATCAACAGGTTGTTGTCGCTGCGACCAAAGACGCGGATCAGCCTGGCGACGACGACGAAGGATTGGTTGAAGAAAATGTAACGCTCCCTACCTACGTCGAGCCCGCGTCTCGTCCTCAAAAGGAGATCGCTGCCGCGGAGAAACTACATCGAGTCCTGACCCAAGCTCTGGAACGTGGCAAGCAACGCCAAACCGACGGGTCGATCAAGTCGCAGCGCGTTCTGCCAGCAATTGTCGAATCGTTTTTGGTCTACCGACAACTGGTCAGAATCACTCCCGAGTCGACGCTGACGGAGCGCGTGTACGCGAGAACCGTCTGGGGACCGCTACAACATCTTTTGCATTGTCTCCGCCTTGTGCATCATGTGGCGCAGGAGAAGGCCCAGCAGTTCCAGCAGGATTTCAAGAACTTGGACCACGAAGCGTTGGAAGCGCTTGACGAAAAGCTGACTGCCGTCCAGTATGTTGCTACTTTGCGATTCACTGTCCAGACAACTGATTCTATATTTTAGGTGCACACTGGAGACCACGACCAAGTTTCAGAAGGTTTTGGGCTCGACGGACAAAGAAGGAATCCACCGCGATCGAAACCTAGCAGGATTGAAGCAGCGCGTCAAGGAGGCGATTGTGATATTCAGCGCTTTGCCATTTGCTTGGCCGCCCCATGGGAAGGCCCATTTCGGGGTGGTGGTTCATTGGATGGAAAATTGGCCGGAAAGTGAACTTAGGAAACCCACCGCGAAGAGAGTGAAACGCCCAAGGTTGAACATGGGCGATGAAGCGGATATCGATGATTTCTAGGTAGTCGCAAGACATTATACAATTGGTAGAATAAGAGTAAGAACCAAAGTGTAATGTACTGAGATTTTCGAGGTCGACTAAGGGTTTTGACTACTTTAAAGCATCCGCACTGGGTGAACACCTGTTAAGCTAATAAAAACATGAGTCCAAGTTTTGGAACAAGAGGAAGACATGCGATGCTGATCAACGGGCACGAAGAACTCCAAAAGCTGATACTTGTGGACAAGGTCGTTGACGTATGCGCCCAAGAAGTGTGTCATGCCCATGTTAGGCGGGTATGGAATCGTTTTGAGCGGATACGTGCGGCCGTCGGGTGCATATTTGCCATAATGTTCTTGCCATGCGTCCAACTGCTTTTGTGGAATGTCGGCCAATTGGTTTGGGGCGGGTATGCCGGTGCTGGGGAGGACCCAGGGATAGAAATGGAGTGCCACAACATACCCGGGGCGAGAACCGTCGATGGTGATGGGGAGGGCCTCGAAGGAGTGTTGGTCGAGGTCAAATTGGAATGCCCGGTCGACGCGATAGCCTTTGATATACTCGGGAGATAACGCGCGTTTGCCGAGCTCGACCATTTCATCCAAGTCCATGACAAATCCGACAGCGAAGAGACGAACGTCGCGTCGAAGTTTATACTTCCTACTAGGGGGTTGTGCCTCTTGTGCTTGTGATGTTTCGTTCTCTTCTGGTAATGACATGGTGGTTAAGGAAAACAGAAAGTCACGTTTTGGCCATGCGGACGCACGTGAATTTCACGTGATCATCCCTCGGAGGTGGGCGCTGAACATTCTTTTTTAGTTTTTGCCCATGCCATATGCACGGGCGTTATACTTGTGGTGGTTAAGGATGCAGGCATGAAGCATGTGACAGAGATTTATACTTTAAGTATGTACTTACACATTTATATACCAGGAAACGGCTTTTTCTTTACGTGCCTCTTGCCTCATTCCTCGGTGAACGGAAAAAGCAGATACTGTGAGCGGTTTTTCTTCCTTAAAGTAAAGATTGACACAAAGGAACTTGAAACCGGCATGGGTTTGACGACTTTGCAGCTCTACGCACCCGCACCGAGCAATAGAGCCCAACTCCTCGATTTCACCCATTGCTCTAAGAAATACGAATTTGGGTCCGTGGACAGACGAACAGTGCACAATGTCGTTATGCACCCTCCTCCTTCAAGTCATGCGCTCTCTTCTCTGCTCGACATTTGAGCTGTGGTTCTCGAGCTGGCGGCGCGACAAGGCGCGTTTGCTGGTACCATCCCCCACCCCCCGCTCCGAGCCTGCACCTAGCTTTGTATGCACTTACCTTGAATAACGCGTCCCACTCTTCAAAATCCATCAAGTTGAAGGTCAGATGCCCTTAGCTTCAGCTTGGACATCGAGACAAAGCCAGAAGCGGGATTTCAAGAAGATGTTCAGAAATCGAGAATTTCGTTGCCATGAAACATTCCTCCGGTGTGGCCAAAGAGACGTTCAGACAATTGACTCCTCTTCCGTCTTGCAGGTCAACTTGCAAGCGCGGGACCTGCAAGCGAGGAAGGATGTAGCCCATTACATTCCAGTAATGTTTGGCGGTGATACGGAGATTTGCCCAATCACCCGGCCCCCCATGGGATGAGAGAAAGAACACCATAGTCCACGGAGAATTTGTCTGATTATTTGGTGCTTGAATAGAGAAAGACGCGAAGGATACAAGGAGCGACAAAACAACGATGAGGCAGCTATTCGAAGGAAAGGCCCTTCGATCTTAGGTCGTCTTTCGCCTGGGATATTTCCTACGTTGGGGAGTTGGTACGATTCGGGGAAGCGGGATGAACACGGACCTTCAACAGCTCCTCGTATGCTTCTGGACAATCGCGGAACGTGAACAGCCCCCAGCCAAGCGACCACAGCGAGTACGAGCCAAACGAGACCAACAGCCACCAGGGAATCTACACATGAAGCTCTTTGTGGTGTAAATACCTCAACGAGATGAAGCGCACCAGCGGCCAAACGTCCTCAACGACCGTCTTGCTTATGCCAGGCACCGCAAGAAATTGGAAGAATACAAGCGACCAGACGGCCGCGAAGAGCGTAGATATGAATGCGACGCGTGCTGCTCTGGTCATCGACGTGGAATTTGGGTGAAATCGCGGTGTGACGATGTGTGACGCTGATTCTCTCGTGCGACCGAAAAAAATGACGACTGCCGTGCAAGAGCGCAACCAGCGGGGGATACCCAAAGCCCCGTTCATCGTGAGTGGAAGAAACACGCATGGGGTAGTCTGCTCAGACCCCGAAATCAGGCTGATGTTGAGGCACATATCGGCGGCCCCGATGGACAAGTGGAAGGCCCGTTAAAGGCGTTCCAAGATGCGCTCGCGTACGCTGCCGCCTAGCTAGCCTCATTATCCTCCTATCTTACTGACAGAAAGTACCGATTCATGGACGGCAACCTTGGGCAGCGACGCGCGAGTTTGGAGGAGAAGATTCCCGATATCAAGAAAACTCTGAAGATGGTCGAGTTTCTGCAAGAGCGAAGGGTGCGTCTGACATTATAAAGGTCGTTGTGCGTAATTGACGGTGTAAACCAGGAAGGAAAAGGGAAGGCGGTTGACCTGGACGACGACGACGACGATTTGGACGATCTCGACGACAGCGACAAGCCGCTAACTACAACGTTCGAGCTCAACGACACGTTATACGCAGAGGCAGAGCTGGAGGACACCGATACGGTCTATCTATGGCTCGGGGTGCGTCAACCTTTCTCTTCTTTCTGCCTCCACTGAAAGCACATTTAGGCCAACGTGATGCTGTCCTACAAAATCCCAGAAGCGGTAGAACTGCTGAAATCCAAGCTTGCTGCAGCGGAAGGGACGCTGAAGAACACGATCGAAGACCTCGAGTTCATCCGAGAGCAGATCACGGTCATGGAGGTCAACACTGCCCGCATGTACAACTGGGATGTCAAACGAAGAAGAGAGAGAAGAGAACGCGAACAGTCGTCGGGATCGTCGTTGACCAAAACGAAGACTGCTGAGGGTTGAGATGGCGAATTTGGTCCTTTTTTCTTGTATTTGAACGCGCCCAGAACGTTGGAAGATCCACTCTTATGTACTTGAGCTTTGTGTAGCCTGAGTGTTTCATTACTGATCATCCGCTCTGTTGATGGGCAAGGACTCCTCACACTTGCCTCACACTCGATTAATTTTCTAACAAGCTCGTATTCCACTTCACTTTCGTTACAAGGTGTTTCATATACCGTGGGGAAATCCAAAGTCGACATGATTATTTGCTGCCCTAAGCACAAGCAAGTTGGATTACAAGATAGGTAAATTTTTAAACTAGTTTGAATCCACCCGGCACTTGCTTTTGGAAGACGTTATTTGGATCGTATTTCTTGCTTGCGCGGCGTATGCTGTCGACATTCTCTGCGCCGTAGCTTCCAATGGGGTCCTGGCTCGGATCCGCATAATTGGAATACTGGAATTGATGCAAGAGACCGCGCTTGCGAGTTTCTTCGTTGATGTTCTTCATCAGCTCTTTCGACAGACCCTCGACCTCATTGTTCGCGTCTGGATTGGCGAATGTTGCAGACATGAGGACGATGAATGCGTTCCCATCGCTGGGCTGGGTACCGAGGACATTGCCCCCAGTATTGTGTGCTCGTTGTGTGAACTTGGTTGGGAGTGGTTCGAAAGCAACGGACCACAGCAGCATGCCTTCGGGCTGCTCGAAGCCCATCAGCGTTTTATTTGCGACGTCGAAAACGGTGCTGAGTGTCTCTTGTGTTGCCGCGTAGGTGCCGGTGTAAAAAACAAATCCGAGTTGGGGTATTGGCGACTCGTTTGCGTATGTGCTGAGGTTGGTGATGTGCAGCGAATCGGTCGTGTTTGGGACTGCAAAGAGCGGCGCGTAAACCTGAGGACGCAATTCTGGCTTTGTGTAGACCGGGACTTCACTCAGAGTCCATGTTCTACTCGATGGGCTGAAGTTGACGGAGAGAACGATGCTTGCGTACTCGTCGTAGTCTTTCGCAGATGCTAGGTCAGCAATTGCCTTGAACACGGCTTCCCGATCAGAGATGTTATGGGCAAGAGTGCCCGCAAGTATGTCGCCCTGCGGGAACGAGCGCAAGTCGGCGCTTGTGACCACGCCCAAGTTATTTCCGCCGCCTTTGAGTGCGCGAAACAGGTCAGGATGTTGTCTTTGACTTGCAGTTACGGTCTGCCCGCCGGCAAGAACAACCTGGAAGCTGTCGACAGCATCGCATGCCCACCCGACTCGTGGTCCGAAGTAGGATATGCCGCCACCCAGGAGAAGTCCGCCAACACCAACTCCCCCGTTCCGCCCTCCTGCAACAGCAACCCGATGGGTGTCTAACTCTTGGTAGACTTCGAGCCATGAAGCACCTGCTCCAACACGAACAATCGATGCGTCCACATTGACTTGGACGGAGTTAAGACTAGAGAGGTCGATGGTGACACCGTCGGCGACGTTGGCGAAGCCAGCGGCAGGTGCATGACCGTGGCTTTTGATTGCGAATTGGCAGTCGGTGTGACTGGAAAGGATTGCGAGAGCGGTAGAAACGTGCGACGCGTCGGTGGGAGAGAACACGCAGGCTGGCTGGAGTGAGGCTTCTTGTGCAGACCAGAAGGAGGCGAGGGTGTCATGGTAGGGACCGCTGCTCGAAGGAAGGGAAACAAGAGGAGACAGCGTCCAAGACGCAAGCAAGAGGGCACACTGAAAACCGCGTCAACCTTGAAACAGTGCTACATAAGTAGGAATTCACATACGCATTGGCTGACAGCCGCCATCGACGTGTATGTCCAGGAAAAAAGGCACCTGAGATTATTTATAGCTTGCAGGTATTGGAATCAGCCCCACTCAGAGCTCTTGCAGATCCTATCCAATGGCAACAGCCGCAACTAAGCGCTGCTGCCGGAGTCAGCTGGACTATTCGGTTTGCGTGGTGTCATGGACGACTCAGACGAGAGCAAACGTGAGGTTTCCATGTGGAGGCTGAAAAGAAACAACAAGCAATGTCACCGTGACGGTCGTTCGAACTTGGAACTTGGAAGTTCTCCAGTGCTGCACATACAGAAAATGTGGGAATGAAGTTCAAGGTTCTAGTGATATGTTGTCGCCCGAGTCAGACTGCAAAAATCAGCCTATAGTATGGGAGTGTAACAATATGTGTGGTACTTTATGTTGTGATTGAAGGTCCATATGAGGTAGTACTACTAGGGTTAGGGTTAGGACCTTGGAGAGATAAAAAAGAGGCCCGCCTAGCCGAGTGGCCGTGGCAGGACTGGAAAATATTGGGACGGTGCATGAGCCGAAGCCCATACAAACCACGAACGCTCTCTGTGTGGACAGGGTCGCCGTGCAATGGAGAGTTTCCGCAGCCCACAGCTCCAGGTAGGTGAAGGGAACTGTGCCATCAAGGTAAGTATGAGGAATATTAGCGGAGAGCGCAACATTTTGTCGGTGTTGTCCAGCGCACGGACCAAGTCGCGATCACGTGAATGGTGACAGTTGATGTCACAGCACAACGCTCCACCAGGCTCCACCTCGACCCACTACAAGTCTGTGGCTCATGTCTAAGTATACTAATTGCCCACAAAAAGTTGACTCAATAAATGACAATACTCATCCGCTTGCACCACAGCCACTCGTATGGCGGAGGCAGTCAGACTCACAGACTCTGACAGAGATATCGATGGCATGATGTTTCCGAGTCATCGAGCTCCCTGACGATTTTTCAGGAAGGCCGAACACAGATGGGCGCTCTGATTCTTCGGCTGCGTCATGGTCGACACAGTTTCACAGTGATCGTCCTGCGGCTGGCAGTGCAGCACTCCAACTTAACGAGTCAAACTTCCGAGAGGTGACTACGATTGTCACGTTCGGTATCTCTTTCCTCTCAACCACCACCTACGACGTGCCGTATTACTTCCTTTGAAGAATCGACTCTTGCGCCCCAACCAACAACGGCTTTGTGCAACTCGTCGTGCCAATGCTGTCGTTTCCAACCCAGCCGACAATGGCCCGACATCGGGCATGCTCGTGAACATTGCTTTAGCATGCCAGTTAGACTCGAAATCCCGAGAACTTGTTGCATGTCTGTGTTGCATGGAGCCAAATGAAACAACTATGGGGCGTGCGGGCGGTGCTCTTTTGTTTCTAAAGAGCACTACTCTCACACAACCTTCGCATGTGTGCTTTGCGTTCAGGTCCGCCGTCAACGCAGGTGGACTGAAGGGATCATTTCCTCCAGTCTATTGTTTGGTTCTATGTACATGACAACTGCTCAAGTTTTGTTGGACCCTCCAGGCGCAGCGGAATGGTCACGTCTCCCGGTCGATTGCTTCTATTGTCTTGCTCACCGTTCTTCAGCCCTATCTACTCAGCCTTGTGGCCATCCAACAACCAGTCTGAGCAAATGAACAAGTCGAGGACGCGCATGTCAAGCTGCTTCCAGTGTGTTTCTCAGCTTTCTTGTGCCTCTATAGCTACCGATCCCTTTGCAGCTCCCTTTCGCATTCTGCCGCTGTTCGAGACAGCATTTTGCGCTCCAAATCCCGAGCATTTGGTGCAATGGTTCCCATCCAGGGCCGTGAGCGATTTGGGGAATGCGATAGACACCTTCGTCCGTCGTGTCATGCTTCTATGGAGAATGTCTGTCTCATGAACCCTCACTTCGTTGTTTTTCCCTGCGCAAAGAGGCTTTGCCGATGACGCGAACGGCCCCTTCAGTATTGGGTATACTTCGGGTTGTTGTTTGGTTCTTCTGTTGCAAGAACTACTTTGGGCAAACCCGGCGAGTCGTAATATCGTGTTGTTACTCGAACATCCACCATAGTATTGTAGAAGCTATCAGGGAATAGATTGTACGCTACAATTGTAATAACTTGGGAAATTCAAGAGTTTCAGTCAACTTGCTTGTATCTCCTCGTCGCCCCCAAACCTTGCTGACTGTTTTCCTGCAATATTTTAGACAGATTTCACAACAACTCAAGTTTTGCATCATCATACCTTGTCTGCGGCGTCTCCAGCCATTGCTATCGGCAGGATTTGCGATTGCGGAATGGAACACAATGATAGCCGGCTACTATTGTCTGGGCCAAGAGTCGCGATTCTGGTGGATTCGAGCGGTCCAAACAACTCTACCCACAACGGGTCCGATTCACAGTCCTGCTCATCTTCTTCGAGCACTGGATAAGCATGTCGGTCAGTGACAAATAACTCAGACGGCGAGTATCACACCTTGATTGGATGGCAGAGGCGGCGGTGGCGATACCAGTGGACGAACTAACGTATAATGGTTAGAGAGCGCCACGAAGTAGAATGCAAAACATTTACCTCCCTCATCTCGGGCCTGTTGTGCTAACAAGGCCGCTTCAATGGAGATCTGAAGCTCATCCAACTCAGTTCTCCGGCACGCTCGCGCTACCCGAGCTTCTTTCAAGGCAAGTTGCTTTGCTCGCCAGTTCTCTTCGCGCCTTGTTGCTGTTGCTCTAAATCAATGTTCAGTCCGAGTCTTGTCCGGAAACAAGAAGAGCACTCGACTTTGGGACCAGTAAACTGGTAATGTAGATAGCCAACTCGCTCAACAGATCCGACAGGCCCGACTTGATATGGTTCTTGCACGTCTGGCGCACGGCTGGGTCCTGAGCAAGGAAGAGAAGCGCGGCAACGCAGTCGAAAATGTCTTCGGCATCGGGTCTCGTCAGCCACGGTGGCCACATTTTGCTGGCAGAAACAACTTCTAGCGCGTCTTTGCCTCCACCAGCAAACGATAGTAGCGAGGAGAGTACTCTTTGATCGTGGAGAACTGCCAATAGCATCTACAGTCGTCAGCGTCGCAGTATGTATTCACAAAGGGCTCGCCAGTTACCTCATGCTCTCCGCGTCCTGTCGTGTGGAAACCAGCTGCACGCAGCGCGCGACAAACAACACTGCAAAACTTTCGCGTCCCTTGTTCGACAAGAACATTTGCAGGCCATTTGTCCTCGTAGGCGCGGGTGGACATCCAGTCACTATCGGTGACGGAAGAAAGGCGAGTTTTCTTGGGCCGGGGAGGCTGACTGTCAAAGTGGCTTACAGCGGCGTCAACGAGCAGAAGATAGTCTCTCGACCCCAAGAGCCGCGAGAAGCTATAAGACCAATTGAAGGAATTGGAGCGGGCGAGACAGAATTGGACGCACGCTTCGTCAGATGCAGCCGGCGAGAAGGGGTCGTCCACTGTACGAGCCACGATTGAGGTTTTGGAAGTGGAAAGGGAGGCCGACATTCTGCGAGGCGGGCGAGCCTGGTGGAGGGTGTAGGTCTAACTGTGGTCTGAGTGGGGCAAAAGCAACCCTCTAATAGTACAGGCGAGTCGCATTTTATGCCGCTGTTACGATCGGCGTCAGAAAAACGATATCCGCACTTCAAGTTTGCCATCAGTTACTGCAAGTCTTCGTCAATGCAGAGTCGGCGCCGGCGAGGTCCTAGAAGCAAAGCCAGCTCGTTACATGTCCTTCATGCATGGGATGGCGGGATTGAATTTTGGGGCAGAGGCAAGACGGTGGTAAGAGGTGAACGTTGAAAGCAAACTCAGGTTGACACTTGAAGCTGATGCCATCAATCCTCATCGAATCTAATCTAAGCATGATGGTAATCATCCGCCTGGATTACAGTTCTAAACACTTGCAAGGCAAGAGCAAACAAAGAAACAGAAGTAAATACGTGCAACTACAGCTCAATCAATGGCGCTGCCTCTTTCCCTCGAAATTGAACGGCTCAAAGAGTTTCAGGGTTACTCCGGCGCGGTCCGTACATTGCATAGGCTACAGAAGACTTCAACGCTGGAAGGGACTGGATCGACGCTGGAGGAGGGGAACAAACGGTGTGGAGGGTTTCAGTGTCAGGTAGTGTGGATGTGGGGGCTACATAACGCTAGGAGGGACTGGATTGACGCTGGAGAGGGGGGGAACGGTGTGCGTGGAAGGTTGGGAGTCAAGTGATAGGATATGAAAGACACAAATCGAGGCAATAGATACCAGAACGTCGTCATCTACTCGTAATGTCTGCAATGAGATCAGCCTGGAAGCAGGCCACAACGCACAAAACTTACTTGGCTTTAACATGTTTTTCCAGTGCCGTCGTCGTAAATTGACGATCTGAACCCGGAGGACAGAGCCGACAAGTAGTGCGCAGAACGGTATCATCATGGCTTGCCATTGACAAAGAAAGTAAGCCCAGGAAGTCTCAACCTCAATTGCAACCCGTACCAGTGTAGTCTGTGCAACTCCAGCGCGTCGGGCGTGAATAAGCGTGGTCGTTTAGAGAATGGACACTCCATGCAGCTTCTCTTCTCGTTATCGCGACCAAGCTCGCGGATATACGGTGTCGCATTCGGATCCTCGTGTTGGTGTCTAGAGAAATGACTGAGTTGAACCCACTTCAGAGAATCCAAGGCGTACGATAAGATCATGTGATCCCTAATGCCGAGCACCTTGACAAACCGATCGCAATAAGGACATGGAGCCTTTCCTTTCTGGGATGCCAGCAGAACCTCTAGTTCTGCAAGGATGACGCGACGGTACTCCATCCAGACTATCCAGTGTCAAGTTTATATCAACGACACAATCCGACACGAACCAGTAAAGGTGATCAACGACAGATCTCGCCCAAAAACCGACACAAGTCGCTTCATGGTTGAGCAGCGAAGCACTTGCTGCAACCTTATCGATTCTGCCCGACTAACGCTGGACATGCTGTAGAAAAAGTCATTCCAGGACCGCGTCTTGATATGAGACAAACGTACAATTCACGATTTGCCTTTTCAACCTTGACCTTCTCTTTCTGGTAGAGCTCAGCCCACGCCGTGAGATCCGTCGCATTCTATCACAATTTGAACAGCATATGACGACTAAACAACGCCCAAACCTGGTGCAGAATCGGACGAGAAGTCTCGCGTTTGGAGTATTCCTTTGCTCCAATTAAGGCAATAAGTTAACAGGGAGGAACATACCTCCTTCAGCTCTGTCCACGTCCGGCGACGGAACTCGCCCGTGAACTGGCTCTTGGGATTGACTGCTTGCTCAAGCTCGCGTCCCGCCTTCTTGAACAAGACCCGCGAGAACGCTAGGTCCAGGTCGCCTGGAGTAGATTTAGACGGAAGCATCCGCTGCGCGAGCCATTTCGTGAACACATGGTTGGTATATTTCTTCGGGGTGTCGATGATATTGGTTGACCGTCTGTAAATTCATTAGCATATCAACTTATTATACCGTTGCTTACGAGCGCAGAATCCCGTAGCACTTAGGCTGTACAGCGAGTTGGATTCAAGCCTGGCGAAGTGGACTAACACACCGAACAAGCTCTATTGCGGAAGATGAAGTCGCAAGGAAGACCTGTCGTTGATTTGGTGCAGTACTTCAAGGATTTAATTCTCAAAGGGAATAGAAAGAAAAGGGGCTACACACAGTGCACGGCCCTCCGCCAAACAGCCAAATCGCATACGCGTCTTTCCCATAGAAACCACTCGCCTCGACTTGAGGACACGCTGGAGGTGGCGGGCAGTCACCGCGAGAAATATTGTCGTAGGCGTTCTGCCAGATCCGGGGATGTCGCGATATGAGAGCTCGGATTCGCTTGGAGGTCAGCGAAAGCTGGGAAAGGTCATATGGACTGCATTTCTCCAGAATCTGGCTAGGCTATCAGAGAACACCCTACTATCAAAGCGCCACGCACAATGATGCCGATTTCAAGCGGTAGCCTGTTAAATACCAAGAAAGAATCGGGGGGAGGTGTCGCGACTTGCATGACGGTCCAAAAGAATGCGCGTAACGCGTTTGTCACGGAAACCAGACTGACTAAAGTACACGCCAATCGAAACTCTTCTCAAAAGCTAATGCTGCCCTATAGATCTTGTTTTCCTGCCACAGGCCAGCCATAATCTGCATCCCCACGGGTAATTTGAGATCCTTGTCTGCCTCACGCCCAGGCTCGACTACAGGCAGCATCCCGATCGGAATGCTGATTGCTGGATGGCCCGAAACATTCAAGGGAGAGGTATTCAGACCTATCCCCGTCGCCTTTCCCATCTTCTCTATGATGCTATCTGACACCTGGGAGGTGTAGTTGGCAATGGTGGGGGTGCAAGGCAGGAGAAGGACATCGAGTTGTTGCTGCTTGATCACCGCTTCATACGTGTCGCGCAGTTTTCGGGAGAGATTGATTGCCTTGTCAGTGACGCCGGGGTAAGTGGTCTTGAAAAACTCTCCGCCTACAATGATGCATCAGGAAACATTGTCAACAGAAAGAGACAAAACACACACCAAGCAAGCAGACATTGACAGCTGGATTATGCAACTGTGCCTTTTTAAACATCTCCGTGTCCCAGTGCGCCAGAGCCTTCGTCAGTTTTGCGTCGTGAACACCTGATCTGACCGGATTCTGGCCTCGTAATGCTTGCTCAGAGATGCCTTGTGTGTTGGCCACGGTCCAAATGATACGTCCAAGCTGCATGAACATAATCAGCAGTGGAGAGATAAGATAGTCTTCGCCCATACGGTATGCATAGGAATGGAAACATCCACCACTTCCGCGCCCAGACCGCGAAACAGCTCAGCGGCGGCTTTGACCTTGTCTCGCACTCGAGCGTCTAATCCCGGAACCTCCAAAGACTCAACTAGAACGCCAATCCGCATGCCCTTCACTGCAGCTTTCGGGTCATTTGCATAAGCAAGAAGGGGTGTATGATAGTCGAGTCCAAACTCCGGTGCTTCGATTTGGCGGTCGTCCAACCCATCTTTCCCAGCAATAGCACTCAAAAGCTTCGCGTTGTCGAGCACATTGGTTGTCATCGGCCCCGTATGGTCAATAATAGATGATAGCGAAACGATGCCCGTATACGGGACCAACCCATAAGTAGGCTTCAGGCCAACAATGCCACAATATGAAGCAGGCAAGCGAATTGAGCCACCCTGGTCACCGCCGATAGCTATGTCGACCACGGGAGTCGCGCCTGCGAGGAGGGCTGCCGAGCCAGAAGAAGAGCCACCAGCAGAGTAGCCAGGAGCGAGAGGATTCATGACCTTGGCGTGCGCGTTGGTAAATGAACTTCCGGCGAGACAAAAGTTCTCGCAGGCGGCCTTTCCGACTATGGTACCTCCCGCCCGTAGAATCCGCGTAACGATTGTTGCATCATATTCTGGAACGTAAGGCTCTTGGAGAACATCGGTCCCCAGTAAAGAAGGCACCGTCGCAATGTTGACATTGTCCTTGATTGCGACGGTCAGCCCTGCAAGCGGCCCAGCTTTGTCTTCTGTGTTTGTTGAGGCAATGTGGATTTTATACGCCCAGGCATTGAACTCCTTCGCGTTGTCTTCAGGTGTTGGTCGATGCACATTCGAGCGAGGAAATCGTTCCGCGTCGAGGAACGGAAGGTAGTCATCTTCGGCCTCAATCTGGTCAATGCAGGAGTCCAGCCCGCTGAGGAATACGCGATACGCATCGAGATCTTCCTCAGGCACTTCGACCCCGATTCGAGAAGCAGTTTCGCGGATTTGCGCAGCCGTAACAGTGCTAACGTGGATCTCAGCCAGTTGTTCATTCAATAGATAGAGAGGCCTACACGGTCTCTGGGAGTCTGACTACAGACATCGTGGGCGTTGAAGATAGACGCGATAAGACCTTGGGAAAGACATGGTGGTCATGACAAAGTCATAAATAGTCAGGTGACCACTTTCCCTTGTCAGCTAAGTCCTGCTTGAGCCGATTCGGAAGGATGGACGCTGACTTCTATGGCGGTTCGTTTGTAAAATAAATAAATCTCAAAATATAAATGGAAATCTCACCTTGAAATAAGTCAACTCCGATCTCAAGGAGTTGAGGGGCTACCATGAAATGTTTTTGTCCATTGTGAAATATGTGTGAGCAGTTGAGAAGGGTCTGCACGTGACCGCACGTGACCACGGCTAAGGCCGGGCCGCCTAGGTGGTGCTCGGAACTTGGCAGACTTCCCTTTCTGGCCACATTTAGCTTAAATTACTCGTTCAGAATACATAAACCAGACATTCCACTGCTACCAAATGCTCAAAATTGGGTCTCAGCATGTTGCCCACGCTGTATTTTGTGAGACATAGGAGTTTCTTCCGCCACCAGGCTCTGATCTCGGCGCTTGCCCTCCTCTTAGGGTACCATCGGTCGAAAGTCAAAGTAAAGACTTAAACTTGGCGGGGATTTCCGCATAAATATCCACTGCTTCCCCCCTTTACGCCCTCCATGAACCCAGTGCTGACATCTGCCACATACAACTACCTAGTGAAACCACGCTTGTTGGTGGTATTCTTTGTGAATCCATACATTGTCAGCCGGTGCCGCACTTGGACGCCAATGCTTTCAATCTTGGTGTGTGCATCATACATGTTGGCAGACAAAAGGTCGCAGTCGCTAGAGGTAGCACCTTGCGGAGCCAAACATGACATGTTGGTTGCTTTCATAAGGTGTTTGAGGTATTCTCGCGGATCCGACATAGGGTGGTCAACGTTAACACAGTTCTCCCACTCGAACTCAGTCCACATGCTCCAGAACTGGGCTAGTTAGTAAAAAAAGCTCATATTTCAGCATAGAAATGCACCTGTGCTTCGTGCAGTACGCGTGCTTAATGTAGTCCATGATGTCGATATGAATGGCATTCGGGTCACCAACATGTTAGCGCCCTCCAATAGAATCAACCCAAAAGTGATACCTGTCTCTGTTGACGAGACCTTGATCGTTGCCTGCATTTCCAGGAGAGCATGACGAGTTATGCCACAACCAAGGGCTCAGATATCGTGCAGCAGCACCAGGGTTTGGTTGCCGCAAGCTTCTTTTCGACCACAAAAATGTTGTCAGCAACGAAAGCAAGAGCCTAGTGGCTTCAGACTCACCCGTTTGTGACCCTCCGCATAAATACCTCCCTCTTACGCCCTCTGCTCCGTTTCACTTCTGTTGGAGTCACCCCGACTCTGGTGCCGACTCCGCTTTCGACTCCGGTGATCACATCACCGCCTCCATCCGGTGCATCGCCGCAGGTTTGGCGCTGACTCAGGCTCGGAGTCCAAGTCCACTCCGCCCTCGTCACTGCCCCTGCCACTTGTCCCCTCCTCCTCTATCACTCCTGTCATCCCCGCACCTGCCATGCCTTCCGAAGCTACTCCTGACGCTGGCACTCCAGGGTTGCCCTTACAATATGGATTTTTTTTTTTACAAACGGGCCTTCATAATCGGTTGGTGTTGCCAAGGTCAAATATGCAAATTTATTGCCAAACTCAAAAATAAAAGTTGCATCCAAAATTTTTGATGATTCTCAAGGTTTTCCGAAATAGCTGTAAACTGTTTCAATAATATAACACGTCTTCCATCATGCTCGCCTTGGAGAATGAGGATGTAGTACGTGAGTGTGCAGGATCTTCCTTTTTAAGTTGCATTACCGAGTGTCCACTTACAGACCAAGGACCAGATGGAAACATCCACTGGCAGCTCATTCATACATACATACTTCTTCAAATGGACAACCATTCCTGTTTGGACTATAGACTGGAATCCAGTTTAGACTCATTTGACCCCACCTTCCCTGCCCTTTGCCATACCTTACCTTGCTTCGAAGATATTGACCTCAGACATTCAATGTCGAGCGGCCAGTAGACTTGAATGATCTGTTGACCACCGCGCCTTAGCAGTTAGTGTGCTTGTAGCAATACTTATATTATTAAGTTATATAAAATTATTATACATTCACAAACAGAACCGTGACGCAGTTCATTTATGTCCAGAAATGCCAGTGAGACTCATCATGATATGCACCATCAATAGCCTGTCCCAGACTCCAAACCCTCGGCCCGATACTTACTTTTCTCTGCCGACGCCCCCAGTTGCTTCTGGCCGAGGTTCCCGAGGGACTGCAGCAGTTTACAATTGGTTCGGCTTGAGCCTTGAACCTATGCCATTAACCGGATGGCTACACTAATGCTGAATACAGTTTATGCATGATCTCAGACATACTATTAAGAGCTGGTTAACATGGTCCTTCAAATCCTTCAATGACCTTCATCTTATGTGGCAGGTTAACCCCCTCTTCCAGAGAACAGACCAGGGTTCTGTTTACTCCACCGTCCGTCAGCCTGTTTTCATAAAATCTTATATATTAAAACAGCTGGAAATTCCGTAATGACAGAAAGTCATGCGGATGCACGTGAAACACGTGATTTTCACGTGCCACCCGCCAGCTGCGAGCCGCAGGCAGGCGAGCGGCCGTGTGGGTGCTGCAAAAATTCTCTCATGTGCTCCATGCCGTAGGCACAGACGTTATACTTGTTGATACAAAATGCACAAAAACAAGAAACATGTTGAAAAGAGGAAGCCCTCTCCACTTGGGAAGAAGAGCCGGAGCTTTTGGACGACGAGGAAGTCGTAGGCGACAATGATTACAGGTAGATTGGTACATGGCAGAGAGGAGATCCCCCCCAGAGAAACGACACACTCCAACCCCGAAAACATGCTACTATCACACCGGATTAGGCCAAATATATCTCGTTGATGAAACCGGTCGCTTCCGGTTTTCCCCGACTGTTTCAGCGACCGTTTCATCAACAAGATATATTTTGCCTAATTCGGGGTGTATGGTCCTTATGTATTCACCCCGACAACTCAGAAGAAAACTGGAGGATTTTTTTAAATTTTAATGAAGGTAATAATGGTTGAAAAAATGGTGACCTTTATTCATCAGAAAAAAAGGTTTAAAGAATGTCAACTAGATAGGAAAGAAATCTAACCAGAAAAATGTTTCTCAGATTGTAGGAGAAAAAGGGTGCATCTGTGGGAAAAATGGAAGGTATCTGGGCATAAGAAGCTTTTTTGTATGACAATATTGATTCTATTTTTTCTAATAAGATTGCTGTTCTACTTATTGTGTCTTTTTACATCTATTTTTCCCAACAAATAAAGGTGTCCCTTTTTGGGGTCATTATTACCTTAATTAAAATGTAAAAAAATCCTCCAGTTTTGTTCTGATTCCTCAGGGTGATTATGATTATGGCCGACAACAAATCAACGTCACGGCCAACACTAGCTGGCGCACAGAACTTCCCACGACACATAACCACATCACTCCCCAAAGCAGACCAGCTCTGCCAAATGGATAGACACCCAACGCTGGCTGCTTGAACAAGCACTGCGGCTTAGTAGCTGTAGCGTACTTGGCCGCGGAATATAAATCTAATTCAAAAAAAAAAAAAAAAAAAAAAAAAACCAGAAACATGTGTGTGTGGGCCCCTGGACATGAAGACATACGGGGCAACGAGAGGGCGGACGAACTTGCAAAAGAAGGCACGGAACGTGGTACGGAACTGCGAGGCACCAGGGCCAACACCATCCGACGGTCAAAAGCCAAGCTGCAGAGGGACTGGCGCGGTGAGTGGAAACAGAACAGAAAAGCAGAGGGCGGCTTTGCGCTAGCTGACAAAATCAGGCCAACGCTCAAGCCTACGAAACACTTCAAGGCATTAGAGAGCAAACGAGAGATTTTTGGAAGACTAGTGCAATGCCGTACGGGACACGGATATACAGGCGAGTACTACAGTCGATTTGTCCCGGACGAGAGCGTTCACTGCCCCTGCGGGGCAGAGTTGCAGACACGTACACATATCTTGCGCGAATGCACGCGCTACAGCCAACATCGATACCATCTAAAGAAGGTGTCAAGAGATATAGCAATGACGGAAATCCTCGGCACACCGTCGGGGATAGCAGCGCTGTCCAAATTCCTCGAGGAATCCGGGGCATTCACGAAGACCGGAAGACCACGCGAAGAAACAACCCTTCCCACGCTGGAAGACGAGCCGGAGGCGGAATTGTCTGATGATGAAGACGATGCGGGCGGCATCGAGGACCATGGTTAGATGGATGGAAGGACGACCTGAAGATGTTCAAGAGCGGCGGGATAGCCCTCTTACACACAAACCTCACTGCCAACCCACCCAATTATGGCCCCCCCTATGACCTTCATGCTCTACGCTCGCCAAATAACTCACGGGACGTCAGCGAATCAGACGCTGCTCAAATTCGTACACGGAAACCAATACATCAACCCCTGCAGGGCAACAAATGACACTCAACCCAACCCGGCCCTTGCTCTCCGAGCACCGCGCCTTAGTAGCACACGCATACTTGTACGCGGTATATAAATGTGATTCAAAAAAAAAAAAAAAAAAAAAACAGAAACATGTGACCTGTCAAAGGATCATCTTCCTGCCACGTTCGAGTGTAAGTTTCTTGCCGCGTCCCCTACACTCACACACATTCAGCTAACGAAAAAACCAGGTATACTCACACACTTAGACTAGCTGTGAGTCAAAGACTAGGCATTCTGACGTTCACGAGCCGGTCCCAAGCGTCCGTCAGTTATCTTAGTGCTGACTCCAAGTTTGCCACCACTTATTACCATGAGGCCTCAGGGCCTCAGGCTTGCGCCACGCCTTCGAACTCTGGACATGGAATGTGACCAATGATGGAACGTGTCAGTGGGGTCACCATAATTCTCTTCAACAGCCTCCAAAGTAGGGGCGGAGAAATAATTATCTTGCTTCGTCATTCGACTCAAGCCTATCCTTTACTCCTGATCTCGACTGTCACATAGCATATAATGTCTCCAAGAACGGCTGCGGCGGCATTACTACTCACTTCCTACACTTTTTCGGAACTGTATCATCCCCACACAAGGCCCACGGATTCTTCGTCTTCTTGATCGTCGCCGATGCGGTAAGGCGTTTGCGCAAAACTTGAACCTCGACTTCTTGCTTCCTACACATCCATCCAGATCTGTATTCCTCTTGCCGGTCCAAGACAGCTCTCCGCTTCGGACCAGCCCGCCAGAAACCTACAAGTCATCATATGCCAAATTTAACTCTGGGGACCCTGATTGGGACTCAGTTGCGTGCTACGTGTAGATCTCGACCAGCATCTTCCAACCAAAAACTTCTACAAACGATCAAGGACTGATTTCTGTACCCAAAGGAGATTGCGTCCTTCCATATAAGCCGTGAACGTCTCTCAGACCAGTCATTCAGCCGCCTTCATCATGCCGTCCATTATCGATAAGACCCTCAGAAAGTTGAGGCTCAAACGGCGCGACCCAGAGAAAGAAATGGAGAAGCTGACCGCCGCCTACACCGACCCGACGAACCAACAGATCGTCGAGGATCGTAATAACTTGATAGCTCATGACTACGCCGAGTAGGCCAATAATCTTCTCCGCTCGATGTAAACTGAATCATTCTCATTAGGCTGACATCGCAATTTTCGAACATGGATAACACGGATAGCGAGATACATAGCCTTGCTTACCGTGCAGCCGAACTACGACACCGTATTCAGGCAAGTTTTCTCCTTCAAACACATGAATTCTTTGACCTAGATATGTAGTCGGCGGGGCACTCGACCACGACAAGTAGTAGTGCAAACTCCGAGTCCCAAAACCAAGAGTGAGTATTTTGGTCGTCTACATCATCTCAATCTTTTCAAACTGTCTACAGACAGCAAGTACGCCCTGTCGCGCCAAACACGGGAGCAGGACCGAGCCATTACAGCCGCTTTACATTTCATAGAAATGACAATCGACCCATGCTGGGTTCGGGCGCTCCCATTCATTATTCAGTTCCTAGTCCCAGTTCTCAGGAAGGGAACCCGAACCCGTTTTTGTCTCCAGGAGCTGGATATTCACATAGTGGTCAGTTCTTATATGAGCTGCCTCCTATTGCTAGCTCACCATCTCAAGCTCCTGCTCAACGAGCCCCATATCCCCTCCCTGTCGCCAGTGGGACGCATACACAACCAGCGAGACAACCTGGCTTCTTGTCCCCCCGTCAACAGTCTGATTACCAGCCAAGTTTTTCGACTCCCCATCTACCCCAGTATTCCCGCACACGTCCTATGGTTCCTACCGCAGCACAGCTACAATCGAACCCGTCGATGCATATCATCCGCGAAGACGATCATGCGTAAGTAGTGACGATTTTTCTGCGTACAACTCACGAGTCCTCTAGCGTTCATCGTCGTCTTCGTCAAGAAGAGCTTGCCCGTCGACCGTTTACTGCAACAGACGCGGGGGTGCCTCGTTCCAGTATTCCGCAGAGAAATCGGTGTGTTTATCTGATTGATGGCCACAATTTTCATATTCACAACTGTACCTAGTCGGCAGTCAGATGAGTTAATGGGCGGATTTCAGTTTGGGAATCCATTTCCAGAACCCAAGTAAGTAACGTCAACTACCATGGCTATCCGAACTCATCGAATATATTGACATAGGAATAGGAAGCCCCGGCCCGAGCCTGAGGGCCCAAAAGAGTTGGTCATTGATATATAACTATCCTTGCTCTCATTTCAATTTCCAGGGCTTCTGCCGGTGCTCCATCTGGAGTCAAGCATGTTCACCAGTCAGGGTATCCTCTACAGCACCAAGTTATTGCTCATTGCTCTTCAGGCCCCCCGTCCAATCCACCATTCTGCAACACCAACGCATCTTTTCCGAAACGGGCTCCCAATATACCTTTGGCGGGTGAGCTGAATGAATTTCGATCATTACTCTTCCTGATCAGCGGCTCAGTCGACGTCGTGAACCCTACAGCGGAAGCAGACAGTTTGTTTGGCTCTAATGCAGACACGATCTGTTCTAACCATTTTGCTACCAAGTTCTCTCTCACAATCTGACCAGTCGCTTCACGAGCGAAACTCGTAAGTGTTGCATTTCAGCAGCGCGCGCAGCTCGCTTTGTGTGTTTAATTCCTCACAACATTCTTCTAGTAGATCTGCCCCAAGTTCGGAGTCGTTTCACGATCAAAACTTGTGAGTCTTGCAGTCTAGTAGCGTGCGTAGCTCACCGTGTGTGTCCAGTAACCCGCAGCGATCTTCTCAGATAGCTGATTTGACCTATGAATCACACTACGACACGGACCCGAGCGAGGAGCCATCAGAAGACGAAGAATACGAGGGGAAGGGGAAGGGCAAAGCCAAGGTCCGGGGTAAAGGAAAGGCTGAGACTCGGAGCACGCGCTCAGACAAGGGAAAAGGGAAGGGCAAGGGAAAAGAGAGGCAGTGAACCCAAACTTGGAAAGACAGCATGCCCAAGTTTAAATGCTTGTTTGTTTGCTTGCTTGGATACTGCATGCCTCTACAGAACTACCAGTCGTAGTACTAGGATGCCTTACTGTTCACAACATGTGACAAATACGCCGTACCTATCCCCTATTCTATCCCCCCCTAGTATTGTATCTTGTTACTTCAAGTTCCGATTACATACATCTTCTTGTCAACAGCTTCAGTACTAGTGTTGTGTCTCGTTGTACTTACTGCATAATCGAGTGGAATTGCAGGAAGATGGACCGGGACTCCGGTTCATCCATCGTCACTACTTGCATGATCATCGAGTGACGATTCCCGACCGGCGACGTGTGCTGTAGACTGACTTGATGGTGGTGGCTGGGACGGCTTTCGTGGGATGCCCATCGAGCGTCGATCATGAGCATCAGGCACTGGCAGCATCATGATCCCGATCACTATGCCAGTACCGTCACAGTGACGGTGCCAGTGACTGTGACGGTACTGCTTGTCCTCACTCATGAAATCGACTCCAGCACCGGGATCGTACGACGACTACTGGGCGTATGCATTTGTCTGTTTTGACATAGTGTTATACTCTCATCTTGCACAGCGCTCGCAGGGAATCGGAACACTGGTGGATTGATCATCAACCCTTTCTCCAGTCAAGAGGCTACCAACTGCGTCGTCGATACCATGCCGACTGGACTCCGTCATGGAGACTTCCAGGAGCCGCATTACCAATGTATGACTGTGAGGATAGTCGACATGGACTAGTTCGTGTCTTTCCTTAGTCGATGACTTGAGAGTCTCACTCGAGCTACAGAATCGCCTTGTGTTAGATGCCATACGAATAGAGGATGGTTCCAAGGTTGTTCTCAAGCGCGTAGATACGCGCCATGTGGAGTTGCCGATTATCCAGTACCTCAACTCACCGGACCGTCGACACCACGCTGACAACAGAGCGGCTCCATTATTGGATACTATCCCAATACCTGATGACGACAACACTGTTTTGATTGTCATGCCTTTTCTTAGACTTTTCAACTCCCCGATATTCCGCCATCTCCGAGAGGTCATTGATGCGCTTGGTCAATTTCTCCAGGTAAGCTCATTTTAACTTGTATTGTTGTTTTAACGGTTCTTAGGGATTAGTATTTATGCATTACCACTCCATAGCTCACCGGTATGGCTTCTTCGAGTTCTGAGGTCGTACTAAACTGTGTTGTCCCAGCGATGTTTGTCGCCTAAACCTGATGATGGACGCATCCAAGGTAGTCCCGGGTGGAAACAATTTCAACATACCAAGGGCTGAGGAAAACGACCTCAGCCTCCACTATAGCTGGAAAGACCGATGCTCTGTCGAGCCAGTTGCTTATTATCTTATTGATTTTGGCCTTTCGCGCTATTTTCCTGAGGGCGTCGAAGCCGCAGCAAGCTTCGGCAGGTACGGGCAGGACCGCACAGTCCCAGAATTCAAGTGGGAGGTGCCGCACAATCCGTTTAAAGTGGACATTTATCAACTAGGGAACACTTTCCTTAACGTTCTCGCCGTAAGTTCTGCATATTGGGCTGCGACGGTCTGTTTGAACCTTTCTGTTTAGCGCTTCCCCGAGAATCGAGGACATCTTCTACCCTTATTGCGTTCGATGACCGCTGATGATCCAAATGCACGACCGACCGCACTCGAAGCCTTGATGGAACTCGAGGCACTGAGCGTGCACATCCCGGGGGACGAGCTTACGATACCCATGGTCTATGAAGCGGACGGCGACGACTCCTCATGCTCCGAAGAGGAGGATCTCGACCATGAGATAACGTCTGAGGATGACCACGAGCTGGTTGAATTGGGAGAGTAGTTGTTGTGCGGAATATATACTGATCTTGACATGCTTCCTCGAAATGGCATTGACATTCACGTTGGTACAATAGATCCACAAACAGATAAGATAGATCAGCGAAAATGATGATAATCTAATCGCTCACGTCGATGATGTCATCATCCGATATGACTTTCACCACTCGTGCCACTGGCCGCCGTGGTCGCACGGGTTCCTCATCACTGGACATGATCTCGATAACGTTGCCTTGCATTTTCTGCTTCGGTATCAGCCTCCTATACCTGGGTGTCGGACTCGGCGACCGCGACCCCGCTCTGGAAGTGAGACGACTTCGCGGAGAGGTATGCTTCTGGGATTTGCGAGGCGATTTATTGATTGCACTCGTTGGCACATCCGGTGGGTCCGAGTCCCTGCGTCTTGTCGTCGTCGTTGTCGTTCTCGAAAGAAGGAGCTGATCATCATCATCGAATGAAAGAGGAAACGGGCGAAGCGACAGTTTGGAGGGTGTGAGCTCCAAGACAGGTGTGTTCTCGTTTTCGATCACTCGCCCCAGAAGTGGCTTGGGAGGATCTTCTGATTGTATGGGCGCGGAGAGTCCGCTACTTGGTTGAGACCCAGCAGCAGGTCGTAATGGGACCGGAGCCGACTGAGTGGCTTTACTTTGGGTTTTCCTTGCCATCGCCTTTGCAAGCGGAAAGAAATCATTCATGTTGGCTTGCAGTTGGGCAGTGTTCAAGCCCGAGCCCGAAGTTACTTTTTTGGGCTTGGTCGTCGATGCTCTGACCGCAGGCTTGGACATTGTTTGTGGTCGTGTCAAATCCCGGACCGCTGGTTGGGAGAAAGGATCCTCTACCGATTTGATGTTGTCTTTGGGCACTTTCGAACTGCCAGAAGCTCGAGGGAGAGTAAGATCACGAACAACGCCTGGAGGCGGCCTTGGTTTCGAAATGCTAGGAAATGCCGGTAACACATCGCCCTCATTCTCTTCATCCGTTAGGACATCAACGTAAAATCCCTTCTTCGGTTTTGGATGAGCGACTTGGGGAGGCGGGGAAACAGGGTCAGAGGATTCTTCCTCTTCTTCAGCAAACAATGGCGCCTTCAGTTTTGGTTGCGATTTGGTCGATGTTCTTTTGGGGGCAGCGGCGGTGCCCTTCGGCCTCGCCCTCGGTTTGGTTGCTACTTTCGGGGACTTTTCCTCATCATCCGACTTTTCCTTGACTTTCTTCGCTCGTCCTTTCCCGGCTTTCTTCAGTTGCTTCGTCTCCTCGCGTTCCTCCCATTCTCGAACCAGTCTCGGTTCTGCGATACGGACCATACAGGCCGGCATCCACACCATCAAAGGCTTCGATTCCAATTCGCGTTGTTCTTCCTCCGACAGCTCCTGCCATTTCGACTTCTTCTTGCCCTTGCTGGGGCCGTCGTCGTCGTTGTCCGAAAAGCCAGCCTCAGCCAGTTCGGGGTACTCGTCAGCATCTTCTGGCCGCCGAATATTTTGGATACCGCTCTCAGCAAGACGGACGAGCTGTTGTGGGTGGATCTCGAGCCGATATTCCAAAATAGCATCCGTCGAAGCATGCTCTCTGGAGCGCGTAATCTTCGCAATTAACGGGCTATCTTCTTCCTCGTCGTCAGAGTTGTCGTTGACGGTTAAGGACGAGAAATGTTTCGCGATCATTTTGGACGGTGTCCCTTCGGCAGCAGGTAGTCCGCTTTTGGTCTTGCGGGGTGTCATCGGCAGCATGCCACGTCGACCATCCAGCTCCAAAACTCCCCGTCGCAATATCCTAAGTACAGCACCATGCCAAACAACGGTCTTGAAGCGCTTGATGATCATGTTGCGGTACCCCCACTCGAAATAAAACTCGCAAGTCTTCGCCAGCTTGCCTAGATCAGGTTCCTTCCCCCAGGTGAGTTTGAGGTTATCCGATGAGCGGCCCAGTGACTCGGAAGTGAGCGGGTTGACGTAGGAAAGCAAAATGTCGACATCAGGAAACGCGTCAGGAATTTTGTTGGATAGAGAGACCTGCTTGCGGCCTATGAACCCCCTGGAGTCTGTGCGCAGCTCGTGGCGCATCTGGTTCCGCCAGTCGTGCAAGAAAGTCTGGAGCCGCTCGCGCGAGAGGTTTTTCGCTGCATCATAAAGGGACCGACCTAAGCCATAACGAATTAGTCCACGAGCAATCTTGGGACCGCACCCGGTCATTCCACTGGTGTCGTAGTCGCCACCGCTGCATAGACCAATTAAGATCATGTCCCCGCGTGTTAATTCAATGTCGGGGTGGGTTTCAATGTCTTGCATCCGAAAAACGCGCGAATGGTTCTTGTCGTCCTTTCCATTCGCGTTGAGGGAAGGGTTTGAGCGGTTTCCAGAGAGATTATTGCTCGAACTGTTTATCATTGTCGTTTGGCAAGAATTCATGTGTCTGTTTACTCACTTGCGGATGACTGTCCTGGCCCCAAACAAGAAATTGTCCACATCGTCCGAAAGAATACCGTCAATGACCCCAATTCGATTAAGATAAGCTAGTTCAGCCTCTGCCTCGCCCGGAGCCTGGCTTGTGTGAGCTAGAAGGACAATTGAGATAACAAAACACATACCGTGCGCCACTCAAACCCGAACGACTCGACAATCTCCTTCATCCCATTGGTGAGCTTGTGGGTGGTAGGGTTGATCCTCTTGCCGCGCTTCCAGGTGGGTCGGTGTTTCCCGTCAAACACGAAAAGTGGCAGGAACGGCGCGTGCATGAGGGTGGCACAGCGGAAAAACATCGTCCGCAGCTCTGGGTTCTCGCCCTCCTTCCCGTATTCTGCATGGAAGAACCAGATGCTTGCGTCAATCCCAACACGGAACCCGCGTTTCCCATCAGGGTTGGCCACGAAACCTTCTTGGACCGCGAGATGTGTCAGTGAGCGGACGGTGGACGCGGGCTCTAGTTCCTGTGGAGGTGTTGTTCCTAGGTGAGTAAGGTTTCGAGAGGAAAACGCGCCTTCCAGAGGCCGGGCACGCCCATCGTCGCGGTTGACTTCAAGTTTGATGGAAGTAACGTGACCGTCGATGTGTGACGTTGTCGTATATCCAACCGATCTCGATCGAAGGTTCAAACATCCCGCGCTCTGCCACTTGGGTCACACCTTGCTGTTTCTTTCCCTTTGACCACCATCTGTATTCCCCTCTTATCCAGTCTTCGCAGTTCAAAACTAATGCGTTTTCAGTGTCACTAGCACTTGCTTGAATCCAGTCGTTCATCGTTGCGCAACCTGGTTTGTGTCCTACATGTTAACTGGGTAGTCTTTCTTACTGTCCAGCGTTTATGAGAACGGAGAGCATTGTTCTCATGCTCCCTCAAACTGGCTGCTCTGCGTTGAAGCTTGCCAAGTTTCCAAAATCTCATCTGTCGCCCCGCCATGACTCACCAATCGTTCACATTTGATGAAGTACAGCAGCCCGTCGCAACCCCAGCCCCATCGACCTTTTGTGCGTTCGGCTCCATCTCGAGCAATATAGCAATCTGGAACTGCGGGCAGCATTCTCGGTATATGCTCTCTGGCTTGATCGTCCGATGCGCCTACACGTGTTCTTCCATTGTGCTCGACGCTGAGGCCGAGCCCATGACGCGGATGGACGAAGGCCAGTTCTTCGTTCGTTGTTTGGCTTCCCGCAATGCAAGTTTAATCCTTGGCAACGGTGTGGGTTGTGGCAATGGCTCTTACGAATCCAACACCGGTGGCGGTAATCTGGCGTGGTTTTACTGTACTTCACACAATGTAAAGTCACCTTCAATTGCAATTGGAGGGTTGTTTGTTATTTGTGGTCGTGTTGTGCAATGGCAGTCAAGGTATCTGGTGTTGAGTGTGCTAGAAAAGTACATTGCCGGTTCGTTAGTAGCGCATAAGTAGTCTAGTCCAAGAAAGAGCGTTGATTATTGAAATTTCTCCTTATATATCCAAGCGAGACCAATGTCGCTTTGGCCCTGCTTAACCTAAATTTGGGGTCAGAACAGAAAAAGACAACGAAAGAACACATACAGCAGCACGGTACCACTTCGCAGCCTCCTTCCTGTCCTTCTTGGTGCCTTTGCCATTGGCCAAACAGAACCCGAGGTCCATTTGCGCATCTGCATCGCCCATCCGCGCGGCGACCGTGTAATAGCTCACACCCATCTTGGCATCCTTTGGAATTCCCCAGCCGTGGAAGAAGCACTGCCCCACCTCGTAGATAGCGAGGATGAGCTCTGTCTGGATGGCGCTTTCGTCAATTGCGCCGCCTTGACGGGCAGCTTCGAGGTCGCTGACGGCATGTTCTGCTGCCCGGCGTAGCCATTTGAATCCATGCTTCTCGTTCTTGGTGCACCCCCAGCCGTGGCGCAACGCCAGTCCCCACATAAGCATGCCTACACCACAGCCTCCATCGAGTGTCGCAGCACGCTCAAAGCAAACTGCGCTCTCGGCAAGCCGATCGTTCTCGTGATGTGTTATGCCAAGCTGAAGAAACTCTTGGGCTGTCCGCATCGTCGGGGATGATGAGGGTTGGGGGGCAGATGTAGCAAACGCTACGTGGCGGCTTGGGGGCTCTTGCGAAGGTTCTCGATGCTGTTGTTGGAGTGCTGAAGGAGATCGAGGTTTGAATTGTTTGTCGGTCGGAGACGGGGTGGCACTGTCGAGCTGGTAGAAAGAGTAATCCGAATACAAACTAACGGGAGAGCTGTTTCTTGGCGAAGGCGGCCGTCTTGGGAGTGCGATGGGGCCTGACCCGCCAGGAGTTATGGGTGGTCGAGGTGGCTCAGGCTCTTGACGAATTGTGGCTACAGATTCCCTGCTGTACACAGAAGAGGAGGTGCTGGCTGCTCGTGACAGCGGTGAACGCTGAAAACCCTGGTTATCAGGCGTGTTCGGGGCCGCCTTTCGCCCATTTCGTTCCAAGACCCGTTTCTTTTGCTCGTCTTCGTAAGCCTCGGGTAATTCGACCGCAGGCCGAGCGGGACGCGAATAGTTGGAAGAAGTCGGGTTTATGATCGCAGTTTTGCCTGCAGCATAGCCAGATACTGGCGCAGAGACCGTCACGATGGGCACCGCGGGCCAGTCCGACTCGTCTAACGCTCGTTGACCGGTGCTAGAAGACTGCCACGAGTCACGGAGGGCGGGAGGTTGGAAGAGATGGGACTCTGGTTGGTAGAGGTGTGTGTCGGGGGTGTCATAGCTGCCATAGTCTATTTCTGGCGGATCGGAGTCTTTGGAGAGATCGAGATACGACGAATTATTGTCAAAATTGGATAGCCCGTCTCCCCAGGTGGCGGTAGACTGTCTGTTAAATTGGCTGTGGAGTAAGGGAGAGGACGGGGCGGTATGGTGGGATTGGTATGGTTGGCGTTCAGTGGAAATCGGCGGAGGGTGTCTCCGTTCTTCACGTGCGGCATTGAAGTCTTCTCGAGACGATGGAGCTCTCCGGGCCGAAGTTTTCCGAACGAGGGTATCGAGTGGAGATGAATGAGGGAACTGGAAGGATTGCTGGGGTGCTGCAGCCATCATGGTCGAAAAGAAGGTGAGGACATCCTTGGTTACTGCAAATCATTCCCAGCTACCGCTTAGTCAGTTGCACGTCTTTCTTCCTCATGCTGGTCCCGTAGGCCACAATGGTTGTCTCAATTCTACGCGTTTTTATTGTGTTGACATCCATGTTAGACTATATGCCAATTCTATCAACGTGGTCAATGTCGATACGGCACCGCTTGTAAGTTTGAGCATACCATGGCGAGTGGAGGCACAAGTAAGCACAATAATCAACCCCCTTCTGCCTCTAATGCAAGTCAGATCAAACGTATACCCGCCCTGGAGCTGACTTGAAAGTCAATATCTACTCGTACGTTGACTACCCCACCAATACTTCCAAATCTCATTTCCTTCAGAGCAGAGTCCATCAAGAATGACCTGTCGACAGGGAAGGAGCGTCCTATGTGGCCACTGTCTTCTTATGGACCCGCTAAATACGAACCAACCATATTTTCTGGCCTGGATGAGTCTCCAGAGGAATTGCGAGTCAAAGCAGTGGCTGCAATCAAAGGTGGCAACATGAACGAATACGTGCGTAATCTTGACCTCCAACGAACCAGTCTTATTAACTATCGCAGATAAACTATGAGTCGTCGAAGATCGCTAATGCTGAACAAGTCATTTCGGTGCGCTTTGTCCTCCCATCCTAGACCACCACTAATTACGTTCAACAGAATGGGGCCAGCAACTCTAACCAAGTCTACGAACAAGCAACAAAGAATGATAGCAGTTCTGCGTTGCCCGGAAATACAACTTCTGCTTTCGGAGCGACATCTGCATTCAACACAACTACGTCTGCATTTGGTGCCCCAGCTACTACATCGGCGTTTAGCAAACCAGCTTTTAGTCAACCAGCCTTTGGGCAGTCAGGGTTTGGGGCTGCTGCGACGACATCAGCTTTTGGTACCAAACCTTCAGCATTTGGCCAACCCTCAACATCGGGAGGAGGGGCTTTTTCTGCCTTCGCGGGTAATGGAACTTCGGCCTTTGGCGCTACAGCTTCCAACAACCCTACCCCGTCATCCACTAGCACTACAGGATTCTCCTCTTTTGCTGGCAGCGGCACCTCCGCATTCGGAGCTACTGCTTCGACCGCGAAACCGTCTGTGTTTGGATCATCTCCAGCAGCGACGAATACCGGAGGGTCTGTTTTCGGTCAATCCAGCTTTGGTAATACGAGTTCGACCAACTCAGTGTTTGGTGCGAAGCCGACGACATCGGTTTTCGGCGCGCCTTCAACTACCTCCGCGTTTGGAGCTCCCGAGACCAAATCTGCTTTTGCTGCGTTTAGCAACCAAGGGGGTACACCTACGACAACTACGACAACTACGACTTCTGTATTCGGTGCTCCAGCTTCAACATCTGCGTTTGGAGCTCCCGAAACCAAATCTGCTTTTGCTGCTTTTAACACTCAAGCAGCTACTCCTGCGACAACTTCGACTTCAGCATTCGGTACTCCAGCTTCGACCTCTGCGTTTGGAGCTCCAGCTGTCAAATCTGCTTTCGGTGGCACAAGTAACTCAGTATTTGGGAACACGCCCCCTGCAACTGCATCGGCTTTCGGTCAATCTTCGTTTGGAGCTAGCAGTGATAACAACTCGGGGAGCGCATTTGGCACTACCCCCGCATCGGCTTTCTCGGCTTTTGCAACTACGAAACCCGCTGCCTTCGGGCAGCCCATCGCGTCTGCATTTAATACGACCCCGAGCTCGGCGTTCAACTCGGCGCCATCCTCTGCTTTCAACACTTCCGCGGCACCGGTCCAGTCTGCATTTGGTAACCTGAGCCAGCAACAACCATCTAACGCTTTTGGCGGCGGGGCTAGGGCCACCTTCGCTTCGACGCCAGGACTACCCTCGGGACCCCCGCCCCCTCCTGATTTCGAGAAAATCAAGTCTGAGCCGACGCGCTATGTGCCTGGGTCAACGATGTACGATTCTGTTCTGCCGCCAGACTATATGGGGAAGATGCCGGAGCACGTTTTGTCTGCGTTCAAGGCAGTCAAGTTTGAGTGGGGAAAGGTCCCTGAATGGGTACCCCCAATTGAGCTACGGTGAAAAGTAGATATCGACTATGTAGACTGAACCTATGTAGAATTATCGCTCCTTTCCTCCTCGTCCGGGTGCTTGTCTCTGTTAGTACAAACAGAAAGTTGAATCTTGCTCGTGAAGGTAGTCCTGACGTGCTCAACAACAGTCAATTGTTCCTCCAGACAATAAAAAATAAAAAACTTTGCCATGTTGTTTCGACAGAAATTGAGTTCGAGGTCAACGCACAAGGGGAATTAGAAAACAGAACAACTTGCACAATACTCGACAAGCTTGATCAGCAAGTCTGCGACACCACGTGATCGCGACCTGGTCGACTTCGCGTTCGTGCAAAATGTCGCGCTCACCGTAGCCAGTCTTCAAGTTGTTTCTTATTTGGTACAAATGCATTGATTCAGTCGAATAGGTAAGTCACAAGCGAGGTAATCCCGCTCTTTCTTTCCAAGAACGGGGTTGACCGCGAACATTTTTCTGTTGTTGACCTGGGACCCCAGGATCCCCATCGTTGACCATCACCTTGGGCACATATGGAAGAGCAAAGTCAAGTCTGAGCCTTCGACCGCCGAGGTTGAGGGGATCTTCTTTAAACATCTCCATTGCGGTTACCGCGTCAGATTCAAGGTCGTATTCGACGTGTGCAAATCGTCGAGAGCGGCCGTCTTGATCGAGCGGAACACGAATACCACGGAGGCTACCATACGGCGCAAACAACGAGCGGAGGTCTTCTGCGGTTGCCTGGCTGGGGAGGTTGCCGACAAAGATTGTGCTGGAAGAGACCATCGACTGGGGCTTCAACTTCCCAGCGGCGGCGTAGTCAATCCGCATGAGACGGTGTCCAATTTTGTTGGAGGACTCAAAGGCAGAAGACGCGTCTTTGAGACTGCTAAAGAGCGCGAAGCCATATCCCCGACTTTGGCCGTCTTCATCTTTTACTGGACTTGTGGTTCGAGGGAAGTTTGGGGAATGGAATAATAGGGGAACGCACAGATATATATGTCCTCCACGGAGCCATGCTGTTCTAGTACTTCTCTTACTTCCGTTTCTGTTGTTTCGAAGGGCAAGTTTCCGATATAGAGGCGTTGGGATGGTTGATGCTTGGAAGTTTTCGGGGCTAGTGCTTCACTCGAAAGCTGGCGAATACGGCCGGGGAGTGGGGGCCGGAGAGTAACTCGTGGCCCCAAGATTCCGGATGGAATCAGGGACAGAAAATGCGAGCGAATGGATAGCCGTAGCATGAGCGCAATACGAAAGACGCGTTGTGCCGCGGAAAATACTTCCGAAATGAGTGTCACATCAATGTGACCGTGACGGCTGTGGACCTCAGCTTGAATTCCTTCCACATACTGTAGACTTGCTGCAGTGGCGTCGTCGACGCGGAGACAGACTACTCGTGCCAAATAGTCATCGTATAATGCGCTTGGAGGAACTCTGGGAGGTGAGCGGAATACACTGTCCATTCTAACGCCATAATCTCATATATTCCTCAGCAATTAAAGCCCGTGTGCGAACTCCAATCTCTGCTCTCGTTCTCTCTTGAAGAGGGCTTCACAAAGAACCCTCATAAGACGCGTAAATGTAACCTCGGCGTTAATATAACGCACTGGGTTATGCATGCTCAGTCGAGCAAGAATGGGGATAATCCAGAAATTCGTTTGATTTTCTTCCGTCTCCTCACGTTGCTTGAATCCTGCTTTCACGTCGTGGTCGTTTTTGACGGGCCTCAGAAGCCTAATTGGATGTGTGAGGCAAAGGTAGATGCTTGGGTTGAGCGACTGAAACCGGGTATCAAGGAAATCGTCGAAGCGCTAGGATTCGAATGGAGGGAAGTGCGTATGACATCCTTTTCAGTCGAACATACGCTAAACGCCCTTGTATCTCTTGTAGGCGCCAGGCGCGGCTGATGCAGAACTAGCACATCTGAATGAGACCGGAGCCATTGACGTAGTTCTTACCGACAGCCCTCATGCTTGTCTTTTCGGAGCCCTCACGATAAGTAACAAGTGAGCTTTCCTACTCTTCCCTCGCCGAAACACGCCTTCATTTTCAGCTTTAGTTGGGGCCACAACTTGCCGATCAACACGGGCGATCCACTTCGTAAGGGAAAGGACGACAAAAACCACTTGTATGTTCGGATCGTTCACGTCAATAAGTTCTCGTTTGGCACGAACGGTGCCATTTCTTTTGCGTTGTGCACCGAAGAGGCTGGACTATCTGTCTTCGTTGGTACTGAGAGGCTACGGGAAGCCCTCGTTGACTCGGGCTTGGGCGTTCGCTTGTGTGATGCTGTCCGAGGGCAGTCGCGCGAAACAATCGAATCTTTATTGGTGGACTGGCGAAAGGAACTGATATCCTTTCTCCACCGCCAGTCCAATGTTAATTCTCGGAGCTTGGCCAACAAAATAGGAAACTTGGGGAAGTCATTCCCCAACATTGACCTGCTCATCTCCTGCGTTGATCCGCTCACATCTTCTTCACCTAATGTCACTGTGGTCAAAGGTCCCCTCGCTGCCGAGCCCAATCTGGGAACCATCGCTGCCGTTTGCGAACGATACTTCGAGTGGGGTTATCGCGATCTTCTCATCAAGCGTTTTCGCAGTTTACTTTGGCCCGGCATAGTCTTGCGCATCTTTCTATGCGCAGCCGTAGAGCTTGACCGAAAGACATCTCCTCCACTTGATGATCCAACCACAAGCCAGTCGTCGTTCATTACGCAGAAATTCTCTTCGTGTCGCGAGAACCCAATTAACAATCATTCTCCATTCTTCGTACACATCTCGCAGGCGAAACCTACCAATAACACTCCTGCTCATCGGGTCGGAATCAAACCTTTGATCCTCATCAGATTAGCAGAGGCCGGGCTTCTTGGAACGAGACAACCACCCGATAAATTGCGCGACGACAATGTGATAAATGATTCAGAGCTCGAGGAAACTCAACAAGAGCCTGGTCGCATTGGAAGTCCAGCAGACGAGCAGAAGGAATTGCGACTCCGGATTCCCGCTGTCCTAACCCAGCTGGTTATACCTAGTCTGGTTTCAGATTTAATCCAGGAGAAAGTCGCAAAAATTTCGCCGCCCACCGTCGAGCCCAGTGACAATCCTCGAGGTTCTAACTCCCAGAAGGCGAAGAAGGGCAAAGCTAGACAAGAGGCACTTCCGAATTCAAAGTCTTCCTGCTCACAACCAGCGACGAAATCCAGCGCCAAGTTGGCAGGAAAGCAAAGGGCGCTGGCAACGGCAGCGGAAGGAAGTGGCAAAATTACAGACTATTTTCCATCATCAAAGCCCCAAGCTCGTCCTAATTGACGACGAGAGTTGATTGTATCTTGATTGTATCCGTATCGTTTTCTTGTTCTGCGTCATTGATGCGCTTGTAGGCATAGTATGTAGTTTGTATATCTGTATGTTGTCGCTGCTAGTAACGAATTCACTTGAATCAATTTTCAATTTTTTGAGTTGTTTTTGAGGTTGATGTATGATAGATCACATGACCATCATAACTTGTCACTGCACATCATTAACGCGCCAGATGTGCCTATTCCGAGTCCGAGTTCTTATCTTCGACGCTCACGATGTCTGTGGTCAGGCTCCCAGAGACGGTGTAGGCCTCTCTCTATATATTAAATGAAGAACTAACCCTGTACGTTAGCACTGTTGCGGCTGAGCAAATTCGCCAAACGGCTGCACAAATCGGCGTGCAAGTCCCCGAGAGAGATTTAGACGCATATCGAGTATTCCTCAGCGGGCTAGACTCCTGCATTGACCAAATCGAGGCTGAAGACGACTACCTTCCGTTGCTCGACGCAGAACGATTCCCTCGCTCGAATGTTCACCGCCCATCGCCTGAAGATAACGCAAAGCAGTTCAATTCCTGGGCATATAAAGTCCACATTGCCTCAACAAACACAGAAGACAAAGCTGGTCCACTGGCAGGCTTTACTGTCGCAATCAAGGACAATGTTAACATTGCGACCGTGCCTTCTCTGCTAGGAACCGATGTTTTCGAGGATCCCTACATTCCGGAATACGATGCAACAATTGTCACACGAATTTTGCGGGCGGGGGGAACCATAGTCGGGAAGGCCGCCTGCGAGAACTTCTCGCTTTCCCCCAACTCGTTTACGAATGCGCAAGCCAAGGTCATGAATCCGCTCGCTCCTGGGTATTCTGCCGGCGGCTCTTCGTCTGGGTCGGCAGCCTTACTTGCGGGTCCGAGTCCCATCGTCAATATGGCCATTGGTGGCGATCAAGGTGGCTCGATTCGTTTACCTGCTTCTTATTGCGGTATTGTTGGTCTGAAGCCTACCTATGGGCTGGTGCCGTATACTGGAATCGCGCCTCTGTCTTCGATCGTTGACCATACCGGGCCAATGACGACGAATGTTCTCGACAACGCAAGGCTTCTGAGTGCCATCGCAGGTAAAGACGGGTTGGACGACCGCCAGATGGGTGCACCAGAGTTTGGACTCGATTATTATACACCCCTTCTTGCTTATGCGAATGACCCGAAAGCTGCGGTCAAAGGCATGCGGATCGGAGTTCTTGTTGAATCTCTGGAGGTTCCTGGGCTCGACCCTCGGGTACGGGAAAAGGTCAGGGTCGCTGCGGAGCTGTTTCGCAGTCTTGGTGCGGAAGTGGTTGATGTTTCCATCCCTATGCATACGGTATGGAAGAACCCAACCTTTCCAATGCTGATCATCGTTTCCTCAGCTCGGCCCTGCGCTTTGGACGATCGCCAATCGACAAGGCATCTCCGAACAGGCTTTGCGAGGGCAGAATCCGGTCCGATTGGGTGTTCATGATGTCAAACTTACCCAGAAGTTGGCGCATTGGAACACCGAAATGTTTGAAAAAGCGCAGCTGCATAATCCAGCAATTACGGTCTCGCTACTCGGTTCGTTATTGTTCATATCGTCTTCGGTCTCTGATATCTTCCAGGTGGGCAGTTTGTCAAATACGCATACCCTGGCGCAGCCGACAAAGCTATCAACCTATCCCGCAAACTACGCGACACATACGAGGCCGTTATAAAGGACCATCATCTCGATGTCATCCTCCTGCCCTGTACACCAACGATCGCGAACTACACTTTTGACCTGTCAGACAGTGTGGGCGACAAAATGGGGAAGGCTGTGGGGATCACACTCAATACGTGCCCGCTGAATGTGTCTGGTCATCCAGCAATCAGCATTCCGATTGGAACTCTTCCTGTCATTGAGCCTGGACGAGAGGTGGACACGGGAATCCGTTTGCCTGTGGGAATGCAGATCATGGCTGGATTTTGGCAAGAGAATAGAATTTATAGGACTGCGTTGGCTTTTGAAAAGTCCTTTGACTGGCGCATACTCTAAAAGTATTCGAGTAGTTGCTCCGCGCCCTATTGGAATCAATCATTGTTATCACTGCATCACGCATCACATTTTGCTTCCAACTCCCACCACCACTCATACTACTGTCGACGTTCTTGGAGTGTTTGCAGCTCTCGTGTCCGTAACAGACCCGTGCTTCGACAATCGGAGGTTCGGCAGCATCTAGGGGCATTATCTTTCTCCGAGGTGTGTGTGGATCGATGGTGAAGCACTGGGTCCGTTAACTTATGACCATTGATATGCAAGCAAAGACAATCTAGAATTTTCTTTTACTTCATCTCTTCGAATTTCCTGGACCCTGTTCTCACACCATTGTCGTTTTTTTCCGGCCAGCAGCCACCTTCATGTAACAGTGATTGGATTCGAATGGAGAGTCGTGCGTAACATATCCTTTTATCTCACGCGTATGTTAACTGTCTCTCCCCTCTATCTAGCTTGAAGTGTGGCCGATGTGGAATTTCAGATCGCAATTCTCATCGAAGTTGAGTGAGTATATCTAGCCATGTTCTCTGAATCAGGTTCACGTTCAGCATAAGCGCACAGCAATAGTTCCTGCTCATTTGCAAGGGCAACAAAAGTGCGGATGTAACGGTCACGAAAAGTCATCGCAAGTTGGCGCCAACCTACCACTTGCTTGGTTTGTCACTCCTCTCCCTCCTGTTCTTTTGCTAAGGCTCGCTCTTGTAGTCGTTCATTCCCTCCAACGCGCCTTTCCGGCAACCACCCTCTTTCACCACAATGTACGTTGTGTGAAATGTTATCTCATTTTCTCTTTCTCACTCGCTACAGACAGCTCCTCGCCGCCATGTCGCATACAACCCAAAGTATTTGGGACGTTTATGAACGGTTTGTTCATAATCTTTACCCTAATCATGCATTCATTACTGATTGAGCCCCAGCGACTACCGCGACGCATGCCTCTTTGTTGAATACCCCGCCATTGATGACATTGTAACCGCAGTCATTTCTCGCCTTATGGACCCTCTTACCAGCCCTCTCGCCAATGTTCGGCTGCACCGCCTAACCACTCGACAGTGGTATGACTCGTTGCCGCCGACGATATTTCAGGCCAAGTTTCCCGTTCACCGTCTGATTCAGACAGGTGGATGGGCATTGGGCGACATCATCCAATTATCCCTAAAGAAGTCGGGCATCCACACGCTGACTGACGATGAAGTCAAGGTGCGGGGAACCATTAATTTCAGAGCTTGGCTCAACCTTATCTTAGATTGTGGTTCTTGCCCTCACCAGCGATAAAGTCATCAGTGCGCTATTGCATCTGGTGAACCCACAAGAACCAACCCCTCTCCTCGCACACATATATGGGTTTTGGCCTCCCCAGGGCGATGTCCCAAATGGTGCTCCTTTGCACGACGCCTTGGCTTGCTACGCAAGTATGACGACAAATGACAATGTCCCTCTTACTCGACAGAACCTTCTTCGCCGTCAACTTGTTAAGCTCTTCCGATCTGTCGTCCAGTGGGCTGTTGATGAGGTTGTTGACGCGTGCGTAACAACAAAATTCTATGCAGTTATCCAATAACTAACAAGATCGTAGGGGGGACCTAGTGGAACGTGAGGTACATTACGAGTTCACCTCTAGAGACTCTCGGCGCGCATGGGCGCGATTTCGTCAACAACGGTGGGTGGCGGAAGAGAGACAACTTCAAGATGAAGCCCGAGAAACCGGAGCTAGAGCACGATGGGAGGGATACAGAGGCAAGTACCACAATTCCTTCCCGTTGTTCATATGTCCTAAGTTCTTTAATCAGCAGATGTCGTTAGTGGTGGCGAGGCTGAAGAGAATCATGTACTTGTTCCGACCATGCCGAGTACGACCTCAACAACGCCTCTGCTTGATGATGATGCTGACAAATGGTCCTAGCTCCGACCCCCAATCTGCGCCCTAGTCTTCTTACTCATCCCTCTCCCGCTACCCCCAACATACGTGGTGAAGACGAAGGTGTTGCTAGCATGGAAATATCCGCGATATTGGCGCCGCTGCAGGGACTCCGGCCGAGTGGTGTTGAAGCAATCACACCTTCACGATCGTTGACTGGGAGTAAAGGCAAGATGAAGAAGGTATGATGCAACCGTCAAGACAACATGGAATAACCATTGTTCTTGCAGGAAAATCTACGACCTGTCAGCAACGTCAATACATGCGATGAGGGAGAAACAGCATCGTCGTTTACCCAGAACAAGGTTTGTGTCTTGTGGCCATCGTTGACCTTTGACCAACCATTCCTCAGAACGGTCGTGATAGCAATCGTGGCCTACGACTTGTCATTGGTTCGGTAATAAAGTCAGATACGATGTTCAAGTAGTTTTTGTAGACACACTATCCAAACCTGTACTCCATTCAAGTGTACAACCAGAGCAGCGATTATGAATGTTATATCTTGCTGGTGGACGTTGCCAAATATTAGTCCCACTCTGCCACATCATGGCAAACCAAACAATGAACAACGTGTGCGAAGTGTCCATTCCCATGATAGGCAAGCCTCGGAGGCAAAAGTCGACAGTAACCGGAGGAGGACAACACGAATCAAGACGAACACCCCTTGCAGTTCTTGACTCGCGGAGTTCAAAGTTGCTCGAGCAGGCCCAGCAGGGTGAGACCCAAGTCCCTTTTTATTATTAAGTGCATCTGGTTCCCGAATGTGAGCTTAGTCCTTGGCCATTGCCTGGTGCTAAGACTATGTGCCTAAGGCAAAATTCATGTTACATGACGCCTCCCAAAAACGAGTCAGCGAAAGTTTCGATGCTTTGCTGCCTTTTTGTAATTGCACAGTTTTTCTTTTCGTTCAAAAGTTATCAATTGTAAATGTAATTATGAATCGACCACAAGTGTAGGATCCGAAGAGTACATTGTCGCAACCCACGGCGTTGCCAGAGATTAAACTTGCGTTACGGGAAGCCAAACCATGAACAAAGGACAGGCCTTTGTCCATCCGCGTCATGGGTGATTGGGCCTCAGCGCCGAGCACAATATAGGAATGGTGAGGGTGCACCGGACGGACCAGGCCATGAGACCCGACGCGAGGACACTACCCGCGGTCCCACATTGCTCTGTTGCTCGAGATGGCGCCGAACACACCAAAGGTCGGTGGGGCTGGAGTTGCGACGTGCTCAACTTCACCAAAATCGATTGACTATCATACAAGCTATCGAGAATGTGAGCCAAAGAGATAATTGATGAGGAATTCATACAGATATAGAAAAAACTATTCCATGGCGCAACGACCTCGCATGTCCCTATGCTACCACGAAGACAACGAAGATGACGCCTCGAGTGTTGCCAAGGATTAGTGCCACATCACAAAAAACCAAACAGTGAACTGCCACTGAACAGTAGTGGTTCGTCTTCGTCATGGGTCAAGCCTCAGAGCCGAGCGCAAATGGAGGATGCATGGCAAAGATGGAATCGGTGGTCAAACGAGGTAACGGCAGACGACACCCCTGCATGTCCCCAATTTGCTGTTGCTGCTCGAGTTGGTATCAGATGCGCCGAGGTCCAAGGGGCACGAGTCGATCTTGCCATCAACGGGGGTTACAGTAGACCACAACACCTGTCGAGGTCGTGCGTCAGATATAGACGATTGTTCATCGAAGGACATACCAGATTCAGGCAGAGTTGGAGAAAGCGCATTGAATCGGTGTTATAGTCCGGAGCTGCAATGAGTCAGAACCTTGTGTGAACTATTATCGGTGATGACGAGCCTAAGCTGAGATGCGTTGCACTTCTTCTCACAACAATACGAGTCCAGGGAGGGTGAAGGATGTGAAGACAGACGAAGTCGCAACCTCGAACTATGTCGCTAGTCCGTCCACATATTGATAGGCTAAAAAAGCGACTTCGAGGTCGCGATCGCTGCTTCTCACCAACAAGGGTCTGGAACCACAACAGACAAGGTAACTGAGAATCGATTAGTGGAGGCGACGGGAATGACAAATAAACAGTCAATTAGTGAAAGTTTTGAGTCCAAAAACAAGACCCATGTAGTTGCCGAAGTACCAGCGTTAGCGGTACAGGACGAATCTACGAAGTCTTAGTCGTGAAGAAGAAACAAGGTATCGGCAGTCGGTGGATGAGGACAGGTGAAAGAAAGGATTTTATGGTTGGCAGAATCGAAGGGGCGTTCGGGGATCCTCAACACAAATACCATTGACGGGGGGATCGAGGCTATAGACTATGGTTCGGTGTCAGTATGGGTTTTGTGTTCGAAGAGGATGAGAACGGGCATACCATGCTGAACGCAAGCTGAGGTAGGTGGTGGTCAAGATGAAAGAAGCACCCGTTGTGACTCTAGTGGCGGTGGGGTCAACTAACAAGACAGAAGCGGGATAAGGAGCGGATGTTTGACTTGAACTGAAATCGAGTGTGATCGAGTCAGTCGTAGAAAAGAATCGTCAGAGGTGAGAGGTCGGAAGGAATACCAGTGCCTGTGGCCGTGGCCTTGGAACTTCGATGGGCCGGGCAGTCGGCAGAGGATGCGAAAGTCACCCATTTACAGACTTGGGACGATATTCAGTCGTCGTCGTTAGACTCAGATGCTCGAGCGGTCGGAGTCATGGTATGAAGAAGTATGTCTTCGAGACGAGAGGTACTAGGTACAAGGGCACACGAGCGAGAAAAGCACCGGCTGGACGTGCTCTCTGTTTGCTGACGCATCTGCAGAACAGGTTAGCCTGTGTTCAAAGCTGGCACTCACCACGTACTCATGTCAGCGCGGAGCAGCACAGCACGCCGCTCAAAAAAATGGCGGCCTGAACGGCACCCAAAATGTGGGGCCGGAAGGCAAACTATCACAGCGAACGGCAGTCAGTTGGCGAAATAACAACCTCGGCATGGATACACTCACTGCAACTGTACCCACTCTTGCTCATTAGGCGTAGCGCAAGCGGTTCAGAGAACGCGTCTGGACGAGACGTCGGCATCACTCAGAAGCGGAGCTGCGCGGCCCGCGTCGCGCCAGAAATCAAGGCGGTTGGGAACACGATGCCGACCCGAGTCCACGCGTTTGTTCTTGCTTATTAGGGCCAACGACAGGCCACCAGCTGCGTTAGCTTGACCGTCCATGTTTTGTGTTGGAAGAAAAGATGGTGAGCACAGCCTCATGCGGCATCGCTGACACGTGCCCGTTGACAGCGGGCTTTTGCCCCCACCAGCCGCATCGAGCTCATGCTCGAGACGGCCATAGCCGCGCTTAAAACTCAAGGCGGGCTCTTCGCGCCGCCATCAATGGCACACAAAGGGCCTTGCTACTGGCTAAAGTACTACTCGGGACCTCGCCTATCCCCATCCCGCCAGCGTCAAGTCACTCGCGCCTTGAAAGCCCACCCGACGGGTGTCATTGGATTCGCGCGGGTTGGGGCTGTTCGCGTTGTTGCGGCAAAAGCAGGTGAGTGGTGTTTGACCCAGCACCTGCGAGCTTGACGATTTCAGTAGATTAGTGGTCAGACGTCTCGGAATCCGCGGCTAGACATTATGGGCTACTGTTTGCCTTTGGCGTCAGCTTGCGGGACAGCGACGGCCGGATTTATGTAAGTATCATACAAGTGGTTCTTGACGTTGGCTTGGCGCCGTTTGCGGTGGGTTGACGGCCAAGAAGAGTGTTCATTAGGTCGAGTTAAAGTTTGGAGTTGGGGTTCTTTTCGTCGAGGTAAGTCCTCTTGCATCTGTTCTGCGAGGCTGACAGTGTTATAGCGATATTGGCGGCGCAGGGCTGATTTGGTCGCGGCGTGGTAGGGTTGCGCGGGCAGCGGCAAGACGGCCCCTTCGCAGAACTCGCCGACAACAGTCTGCTCTCCCGGTCAGTGCCTCTGGATCATTTAATGGCTGCTAGACTAACATATTCCAAGGCTTACACAACTCGGTCAATAACCATCTGGCCGCGCGTCAAGTACGAGTAAAGCTCCGGTATCGAATGGTACCCACCGACCCAAAGATGCCAACCAGATCGATACCGACAACAAGCTCGCAAGGGGATGCTGCTAATGACAATCAGAGTGGAAGTCGTGGAATCAGCCTGAAGACCCTCACGCTTCAACTCCAACCGCATCGCAAGTAAGTACCTGCGCAAGTTTGATGTTACACATGGCAAGTACACGAATACATACCTTGGCGCAGGCTTTACGAGACACCGACCGAATGAAAGCGCGGAAGAGCCTTCGATCCAAAGTCAGTACCAACTCGGAAGATCAAAAAACACGCACTTGTCGACACACTTGCGACTCACTCCAACGCAAAGGAAATCAAACCAGGAGCAGTCTAGAGGGAATAGGTCAGTTTTGGCTAATAACAACCAATGCAAGTCCACCATCACAACGAACTCGTTGTTAATGTTGACGAACTAAACAGAGAGTCGGCAAACGACGACAACAGGCAGAGGGAAAGACTGACCACAGAATGCATACGCCCAGTAGTCGTCGCACGATACCAGAGCCTGAGGCGCTAATTGCATGAGAACAGAATGAGTCGGCCACTTAACCCTATTCGCTCCGACTCTGACTGGTATGTGTCGCTGGAAATCACGTGCCATCGGTCGATAACTAATGATACTCTCTTTTTTCCAAGACTTTTTCGACTTAGACACTCCGGTATCCTGGTCCCAATCGACTTAATTGCGGCGGTTCCATGAATGTCGCCGCTCTCCCACCGTCTACAGCCGTTTTCATGCTATGTCATTCTATCCCCACGCACCAACAGTATCGCGGTCGCACAAGCTTTCCCACAAAATCCAGTCAATTGTTGCAAACGCTGTTTATTCGGTGTCTCACGGCTGCTTTTGGATAGGCTAGCCTGCTGTCATTCACCTTACCATATGCAACGAAAAGAAACAAGGCACCTGCCTCAATCAAACCTTCGACGAACAAGCAGGACTGTTGTCTGTATCATCACACCTGACTCACTGTCAACCCGTTTGGAGCGCTTCAAATTGCCTCAATTGTCCTAGACACTTCCTCCCCGGACTTGATGATCTTCCACACCCACAAACCCTGGAGCTGTCCAACCCCGTCGCCGACAATTGATTATCGTATTGACCAGCTGGAAGCCTCGTGTATCACCCACACATTAATGCTCTTCCATTCCTCAGTGCTAGATTTGGACTTCTCAGTCGGAAATACTGGTTCTATCTAGATCGTTCACGGCTGATTATTCTGGGGACGATAACTTCCACGCGGTTTATCTGATGTTTATCCCACTGGAGGCTGGCAGTTTGTAGTTGGTATTCCTTTCTATCGTACTCAGATGCGGTCCAATTGATCTATTCAAGCCCGAAAATTTATCTACTGATAAGTTTGAGTTGCATTCCAGAAATGGGTTGTTGGCGGTCGATATTGTCTAGGAACCGTCACATATGGGACTGGTCGACATATAAAAGGATTATGCAATATTCGATTTCTGCTCAAAGACCACCATGAGTGAATCCATTCGACGGAGAGCACGCAAGGCCGTCAATTCCGCGCGAGTCACCTATAACGAGAACAAACACGTCTTAGGCAGTGAGAGGGCTGCTGTGGAGGATCGGCTCCTTGCGTAGGTATTCTGAGTCCTGCTCTCCTTCGCTGTTTGACACTTGAAAACATAATGAACAGGCTTGAAGCGCGGTTCAATTTGCTGATAAACGACTACGGGGCCTCCGCCACAGAGCGTGTTTTTGAAGAGCTCATTACAACTGCGAAGACGATAAAACAAGGAGCAAAGGTTGGATTCCCCACTACATACACCCCTGTGCTCATAACCGATCTCAGTCCAGCTCTAACGAGAAGCGTAAAGCGTATGAATTGAAGTAAGCTACATTCCTCCTGAATTTCTCTCGGATAATCCTTATCAACACCCCCAGTCCTTGGAAAGCTCCAAAGGACAAATCCAGTGCCAACACTCAGCCCAATGAGCTGCATCCCGTTCATAAAGAACGTTCCTGGCACAACAAGACCAACACCCTAGATGCAGACCAGGTCCTCAGCATTACGCGGGATTCGATGATTGGTCAGGTCACGTACAACCCCCAACATTACTATGACCCCCGAAACCCTGCACACACAAACAAGTCCTCTATGTCTCAATCACACGGCGGTCGCCGCCGTCCTGCTCATAAGTACTCAGAAGAAGAGTTTGTCAATAGCCGCTTGCTTCAGAATGAGGGAGCAATGGATTCTTATAATTCTTATTACTCAGGGCAAGCAGCACCACGGGCAGGCTCGGGCCAGCCATCAAGTTCCAACCCTTATCCTGCCACCCAGGCAGGCTATTACAACTCTCAGGTCCATGCTGGGTACTACCCAAATACCGCAACAAGTCCCTACACCCAGCAGGGCTACCCTCCAGCCCAGTATTACCCACCCCCCGCACCTTCGAGTCAAGCTGGTCCTTCGCAGCAACCGGGGGGGTATCATCCTCGATTCAGTGGAAGCAGTGCAGACAGTGCTACTTGGACTGTGCAAGGGGATGCGGAAGACACTTATGAGGACCAGTGAATCCCACTCGAGAAATTTGAACGCGCTCCAGATTTCCATCTACATACTATGAGTAATGATCCATTTTACGACGTATACTTAGTAACGCGCAGCCGTTATTCACATACAGTTGTACTGTTCTTCACGTTGAAATATGAATACTAGTTGAATTGAAGTGGAGAGTCGAGACAAAGTACATAGTGGACGATGATTCAGAAGCCATACATGCAGCCTTGATACGGAAGTCACAGTGGCCACACACTTACGTTCGACTTGCAGGTATAATGTACGAGGAATTATGGTCTGTCTTTTCCCCCCTGAAACACAAAGGACGACCACTGAAATGACTAGGGCAACTCTCACTGAGCCCGAAATATGGTGGATTAAGTATCAACCTTTCCTCGCATCAAGAGGATATCAACTCCGTCAACGTTTCCAACCAGGCTGGGTCCCATCTTGGACCAAACCAGACTCAAATTTCGATCCTCTTGAAGGAAACTACTCCGACTTCGAAGACTATCATCCACTGCTGGTAAGGTCATCGTCATCCTCTCGTGGAATTCAATGATGTGACTCCTTCAGCGAGCAAATGTTCTCGATGCTATACGAATCTCAGACGGCGTCAAGGTTGTGTTGCGCCAGGTACACACCTGGACCCCAGAGTTGGGCATTGTTCAACGTCTCAATGAGCCAGAGTGTTTGCAAAATGCAAACAACCACCTCCGTTCGATTACTGGATATTGTTCCGCTACCAGATGATGACTCAATCGTTCTTATAGTCATCCCGTTCTTGAGGAGCTTCAAGAGTCCCATATTCCGACATCTTCGGGAGGTCACTGAGGCTATGGGTCAATACTTTCGTGTGCGTGTCCTGTAAAATCCCCGTTTTTGGAATAAATCACTCTTGTTGACAGGGTCTGTCGTTCTTACACGAGCACGACGTTGCACACCGGTCAGCTCAAGCTTTACTCCAGCCTTCGCGACTGAACACTCAAGTAGCGATGCATGCGCCGGAAATATGCTAATGGATGCCACGAATGTTATACCTGGTGGTTATCATTTCAGTTATAACTCATCAGAAGACGGAAATTATCACCATCGTATAAGGTGGCGGGACAGATGCGCTGTTGCCCCGGTGCAATACTACTTCATCGACTTCGGCTTGTCCTCATTCTTTCCTGAAGGCGAAGAAGCTGCACGGGATGTGGGCATATTCGGACAAGACAAAACTGTCCCTGAACTATCTGATACCGTGCCGTACAATCCCTTCAAAGTCGACATATATCAACTGGGCAATGTCTTCGTCAAGCTGTCCAAGGTTTTACACTTGTTTCCGCCTACTAGTATATCGTCACTCGTGCTAATAATCGCATCATAGAAACACCCGGCGATCTGGCGCTTTTTCTGCCCTCTGCTTGAATCGATGACTCGATCAAACCCTGACGAACGACCATCCGCCGCACACGTAGTGGTCTTGTTCGACCAAGCATGTGCCCGGATACCACCTGCCGTTTTGACGGAGAAACTCACACACATATGCGAATCCCCGTTGTACACAGACGACTCGGAGTCCGACCCCGAATACGAGCTCGTGGAAGATTCCAAGTCGGAACTTTAACCTCTGAATCCTGTTTGAAATCGAGGACTGTATATGTTTATTCAGATTCAGCTACAAATCAGTCGCTTGTCAATCTAATTCTTGGGTATCTCGCCGCTGGTTGCATGGAAATCCCTAGGTAGTGGTCCAAATCGAGTTGGAATCGAGTCCGCGAACGAGAGCGCGCCAGAGGTGGTCGACGTGTGTGTGTGGTGTTTATGACTCCAATAACCATTGAGCAAATATTTAGATGATGGCGCAGTCCCGAGTCGGACTCCGCCGGCGAATGCAACTGAGTCGTGTTTGCAGCAGACTCATTCTAGTTCAGTCGACCGACGCTTCATGTCTGACTCAGCATTGAAAGCTACTATTTGATGTGTCGACGTACAAAAAGACTATTTATTGGGCAGAACGACAGCCGCTCTCCCAAAATCAACAAGCTCGTGATCATTCAGACGTGATCTCATAGTCCAGGTCCTCCTCTTCAGAATCCGGCGAGTCTTCGTCCGCTTCATATGTCATGGGTTTCATGAGTTCGTCGGCTGGGATGTGCCCGCTCAATGCCTCGAGTTCCGTCAATGCTTCGAACGCGGTCGGTCGGGCGGTTGGGCTATCAGCGGTCATCGAACGCAACAAGGGTAGAAGATGTTGCCGATTCTCGGGATAGCGCTGAGTGATATCAATTTGAAGCAAACACGGCGCGCAACAATATCGAAACTTACGGCGAGAACTTTGAGGAATGTGTTTCCTAGTTGATAAATGTCTACTTTGAACGGATTGTGAGGAACGTCCCACTTGAATTCTGGGACTGTGCGATCCTGTCCATACCTGCCGAAGCTTGCTGCAGCTTCCACGCCTTGAGGGAAAAAGCGTGAAAGACCAAAATCAATAAAATAGTAAGCAACTGGTGCAACAGAGCATCGGTCTTTCCAGCGAAAATGGAGGCTGAAGTCGTGTTCCTCGGATTGTGGTCTGGCGAAACTGTTCCCACCTGGCACCACCCTGGATGCGTCCATCATCAAGTTCGTCCGACAAACATCGCTTGAACAGCACATCATTACAATTCTGAGACTTGAGGAAACCATACCGATGAGCTATGGAGTGGTAATGCATGAATACTAGCCCCTACAAAGTGTTACAACAATGAACCCCGGATGAGATGAGCTCACACCTGGAGGAATTGACGCAGAGCTTCGACGACCTCTTGTAAATGGCGGAAAATTGGAGAGTTGAAAACTCTGAGAAATGGGATGACAATCAGTGCAGTGTTGTCGTCATCGGGTACTGGAATAGTATCCAAAAGTAGTGCCGTCCTGTTGTGAGCGTGGTGTCGACAATTTGGAGAGTTGAGATACTGAATAAGCGACAGTTCTATGCGGCGCGTATCTACGCGCTTGAGGACGACCTTGGCACCATCCTCTACTCGTATGGCATCCAGCACCAAGTCGTTCTGCGACAAGTAAGTTGGAGTCTGGGGTTAATGAGTCATGGTCATCGAATACACGCACTAGTCCATGTCTACCGTCCTCGCTGTGCTCCATCCGTACTGTGGCCCCTGGGAGTCTCCATGACGGAGTCCAATCCGCATGATATCGACGACGGAGTTGATAGCCTCTTGATTGAAGAAATGGTTGGTGATCAATCCACCATTGCTCGTATTCAGCGCGCACACTGCAGAGAATGGGGATACTGCGGAATGCGAAGAGGCAAGCGCATACGCAAAATACTTTTCGTATGGTCCAAATGGTTGCAGAGCTTGATCCACCATACAGTGCACCAAGTCACTTCTCACTTGACAGCCTGATGTAAATTCACCCCCCAAAATATTTTGCCATTTTCATTTTTTCCTTTTCTTGGATGGTCTCAGAAACATGTGTAATGAGTTTCTGGAGTCTCTAGCCATCTACTGATAAAATATCTAAGCGAACGGACAAGGATTAAGCTTTATGACCCCCAGAAAAGTGAAACATTGTGGGAATTTCACTGATGGCAGGGTCAAATCATGACAGATCACCTCAGAGATCATCAGGATTGACTTTTCAAGGCTTACTGATATTGTTCTGGGCGGTAAGATGGCAAAAATCACTGTTCCAATAAGGGAAGGAAGTGTCACATCGTGTGACATGTCACTGCATTTCCACCAGAGTTTGCATCCTGGTGCCCCAGATCTTCTATCTGGCATCTAATTTTAGACTTTAGCTACACCTTAGACTACAGCAGGCTAATAAATGGCTCAAATTCTCTTAAATATACTTTTTTTTCTTGGAAAACCCTTGAAAAAGTGAAACACCGTGGGAAAATCTTTAGAAAAGACGTAAATCGTCATATTCTGGGGCTCTGAGTTTGACAAAAATAGCCAGAAAATCTACAAAAATTTCCTTGGCCCTACAAGTCAGCCTAAGAGAGGTGACTTGGTGCACTGTAGTAGAAGGAAGAAAGAACAGTGTGACAGTGTCAACAAATCGCTTGGAAAAAACAGAAAATCCTTTTTACTCGTAATCAATTGTTATCGTAAGCACGATTTGTATTTTCAAAGGACAATCCACAACAATACTGAGAGATACAAGTACAAGGCCGAACAGGCCAGATCATCGAAATGTCGTGAGCAACGCCGTAGCACATCCTTTCCCCTTGGCTTTCCTTTACCCTATATGTCACGGTATTCAAGTCCTCCCTCATCATCTTCTTCCGGGTCCTCGTTCAAGCTAACATCGTGGTGCGCAGAGGTCGAACCGGATCTTCGGGAAGATCGCCGCGAGCGCCTAAACACTAGGTGAGCTATGCTCCGCATACTTACTCAGTACGGGATTGCAGGACTTACCGAGAGCTTTGATCGTCGCTGTGACTGTTTCTAGTGGAAGATGACCCAGAACTGAACATCATCAGGATACATTGAGCCCACACCAAAGCCAGACGAACTGGTTGCTGCTTCTGCTATACAATTCTTGACGCGGCCTGCGATGCTCGTCAGTAAGTATCGGAAACAGGAGGTAAATCAAGGACTGACCCGCCGAAAGTATACTGAGAATCAGCCTGCGACTTTGTCCGTTGGTGATGTGATGGTCCCGTAGATTGAACGGACGCCCTAAAGATGGCGATGAGAGCTAAGTTTAAGAGCGGTACATAAATGCTCACTGGCGAGCATGCGTTCCTCTGGATGAGCTTGAAGCATCGACACTAAAATTGAAATAAATGGTGGGAAATACTTATGAGCACTGTAGGAACTTACTGTCCAGTCTGTGCTTCAGTACTGTGTCTAGGATGTTTGAGATAAGTAAGGCCATGACAATCGCTGTGCTAGTACGTACCTGGACCCTGATCCTGACGATTGATCTTGCCGTAGTGGCGGTGGCAGGCTGCCCATCACCCTGTAAGGGTCCATGGACTGATAGCTAGAGAACTGGTGAGTGACATGAAAGATTGCCAAAATAAGTACGTACCTGGACTCTGATCCTGACGATTGATCTTGCCGTAGTGGCGGTGGCAGGCTCCTGGAAGGGTCCATGGACTGGTAGCTAGAGAACTGGTGAGTGACATGAAAGATTTCCAAAATATATTCACTGTCTAATTGCTTCCTCGCGAATGGGAACCAGTGCTGGGGGAATTGCAGCAGAAGTCGGAGTTCGACCTGGAGGGGGATATAGAGACAAGTCAGTCGAACTGCCACGACTGCCACGGGGAACAATGCGTTGGGTATCGAACAAGGCGGTAGGTACCGGTTTGCGCGGGCATCACCGAAGGAGGCGGCAGCATGTATACACTGCCAGTGCCATTGTCCCCATGCATAACCGGTATTGACGGATTGGATCGGAGTTGTGTTGGATTCGGCATTTGACTCGGATTTGAGGGGATAGACAGTTGTGGGGTGGAGAAACTGTGACGGGGTGCAGCATAGACTTGGGAAGGCGCTTGATCGCGATGCGAAGAGTGAGGTGGTCCGCGTTCCCCTGGCTGCGCAGACATGGCCGAATGAGAAGATCGTTGACGAAGAGCATTTGGAGGCGACGGCATTTGCATCCAGGACCCAGATGGGGGAGCATACTGATCGTGTGCCGTGTGCTGGGTACCTAAAGGCAAAAGTGAGCTGTGACTATCTTTCCAGAAACTGGAATCGAAACCGAATGGGGCATTGTAACCTGCTAAAACCGACAATGGCGCGGTGTTGCTTCTCTGAGGCGCGCGACTGTGATGACCCGATCCCGGGCCGCCTCCCATAGTGTTTGACGCAACGTGAGCGGGTTGTCCAGACACGGTTTGTTTGCTAGAACTATCTAAGTGTCAGTAACTTAGTTCGTATAAGTAGACAACCAAAAACGCACCGAGTACCGCCTTCTTTCTGAGAGCTTGAATCCGACTACAGCACGTCTTATTAGAGCGGCACTTTGAGCATACAGGGGCCAGATAACTTGCCTTGATACGATGCCGGAGCTTGTACATTTTCTTCGCAAGTATTTGCTTCTCGATATCACTCAAGGTGTCCTTCTGCTGGAAGTTCGAGCACAAACTGGAAAAAGGGTTATTTCTTGGGCAGAAGTTGAGGACCAAGAGATATACTCATAGTAGTCGTCCACGTTGTGTTGGCCAGACTGGCCGATAAGTCCGTGCTGCCAAAGAAGATCCAGTTTATTCTTTTCGTGATCAAGGTCAAATTTCATTGGCAATCCTATAGCCCTGAGGAATGTGTTAGCCATGACGAGGGATTCCGCGATGAAAGTGCTGTTGGAGTAGTTGGCAACGGTCCATTTACTTATATGCTGGGGTGATCTCCATTTGGACACAGGAACAGGAAGCATTTATTTCTGCGAAACAGGAATGCCATATCGGTTGAGGACTGATTCTGAATTTGGTGTCAAGATCTCTCACCTTTGCGTGATTCGAATTGCAAACAAGGCATGATATCCGCAATGCATTCTGACCGGCGTGTGCGTCTATCAAAAAGTAAGGCAGGCACCCCAAGTTGACGAGAATGCCCAGACTCGTAATGACTGACGAAGAACGACGGCCATAGAACGGCTGAAGAAATCAATGGAGAGGGCTTCCAGGAATGGAATGTCTATCTTTCGGATATCTTGCACGAATCAACAGCACAATGGAAGTTCTCCAGCGGGGATCCAGAAATCTGTCAATCTTAGGCCGCTTTGTTGAGGAGTAATTCAATCGCCAGCGTGTTCGAGCTCCAGCCATAAACACGAGACTATTGCTTGTTGCAGAAAGAGATGGAATCGCTGGGCAGCTAAATATATGAAGAGTTTTGTCCAAGTTGACCATGACTGAAAAGGTGACGCTACACACGAAGAACAACACAAGCCTCCGCAACCAATCAGTTTATTGTGGCAAGGAGTCGTGGTGGCCACACACCAAAAACCAGAACAGCCAGGAGGCCATGAGTGTGCTGTACAGAGCGTCAAAAAGAAGTCCGTCACACAGGATATCTTGAGAGTTTTTCGTAAGGCCTGAGTCAAGGTTGAAGAATCGGTGAGATATTTGATTAAAAGCCCGGAATTTTCCGTACTAGTAGTGCTTTCAGAGTCATCCATACCAAATTCATACAGACTGAGACACTGGGACGATACGCGGCAGGAATCCCGGGACCAGCACGAGGCGCCTTCTACTGTTGGTGCGTGAGAGCATTGAGCATGCGCGTGTTCGTGCTGTGTGTGTGTGTGCGTGTGCGGAAAGATAACCACGTTGGGGGACGCGGCGGTAGTGAGTCGCAAGTGTGGTTCAAGTTCAAGAGGACCCCTGATTATCCCCCAAGAGGTAGGATTCTGAAATCGGTGAAATGAAAAATTTGTCCGCGTTTTTTGGACGCCAAACGCATATCGTTTTGTCCGGATTTTGATCCGACCTACCCCGAAGGTGAAAAATTTGTCCGGATTCGCATCCGACCTTGACAAAAAGCGCTAAATTAGTGAAAGTTAGCCGAGAAAAGGTGGAATTATAGCTAAAGAACAGTTTTTCAGGCTCTGATAGCCGTTATGTGCCACCTGATTTTTTCTTAAATGTGGTCTATTTCAATGTGAATTGCCCACCAAACTGACCCAACTGAGGAAAATTTGTCCGGACTTGGTTCCGACCTGTCTAAGGGTAAAATCTCTTGTCCGGACTTTGGTTCTAACTTTTTTGGCTCCAACCCGATTTTTGTCCGGATTCTGGTCAAACCTAGGTTGAAATTTTCCAAAATCTGTCCGGATTTTGGTATCCTACCTCTTGGGGCATAATCAGGGGTCCTAGTTCAAGCAGGTTCAAGCACTGCGAATGGTCACACATTGGTCACGTTCCAACGTGAACACTTATTCGAGCAATAAGTATTCGAGAGAGCCTCCATCTCATAGGGTTTTTCACAGAAATGCTTAATAGTACATACTGTAGTAAAATAATACATAGGAATGTTATCTATGGCCATGTATTAAAGAGCCGCATTGCCCCGCTATAATCAGATCTATTGAAGCCCCGGAAATATACATCTTCAACATGGTCTTGATTCTACCGAGTCAGGTCAACAACAGCTGCCCTCCCAGCCTAGTAGCGAGATCGTGGTCGTCGTCAGACGTTATCTCGTGGTACAAATCCTCCTCTTCCGTGTCTGGCGAGTCATAATCTCGTTCGTATTCCATGGATTTGACGAGTTCGGGTTCGGGGATATGCTCACTCAGTGCCTCTAACTCCGTTAACGCTTCCAGCGCGGTGGGCCGTGCATTTGGGTCGTTCGCTGTCATTGTGCGCAACAAGGGCAGCAAATGTTCGCGGTTTTCGGGAAAGCGCTAAGTAGATAAAGTTCAAGCAGATGCAGTACACCAAAGTAGACACTTACAGTGAGCACTTTGAGGAAGGTATTGCCCAATTGATAAATGTCCACTTTAAACGGATTGTGGGGTACCTCCCATTTGAATTCCGGAACGGTGCGGTCCTGCCCGTACCTACCAAAGTTGAACGCAGTTTCCACGCCACCTGGAAAATAGCGAGAAAGCCCGAAGTCAATGAAATAATAGGCAATCGGTGCAACAGAACATCGGTCTCTCCAGCGAAATCGAAGACTGAGATTGCTCTCTTGGGTGCTAGGATCGTCGAAATGGCTGCCGCCGGGCACTACCTTGGATGCGTCCATCATCAAGTTCGTCCGACAAACATCGCTTTCAAAGTAGATGAGTAATGTACTCCTTCCGAGCTTGGAGAAGCCATACCGGTGGGCTATAAAGTGAGAATGCATGAATACCAGTCCCTGAGGAGTGTTAACATGTAGATATAACATGAAATGAGCTCACACCTGCAAAAATTGACGCAGAGCTTCGATGACCTCTTGTAAATGGCGAAAAATAGGAGAGTTGAACACTCTGAGGAACGGCATGACAATCAATATGGTGTTATCATCGTCAGGTATCGGAATGGTATCCAAAAGCAGCGCCGTTCTGTTGTGAGCGTGGTGTCGAACATTCGGAGAGTTGAGGTACTGGACAACGGACAATTCTTCATCACGCGTGTCTACGCGCTTGAGCACAACCTTGGTACCATCCGCTATCCGTATAGCGTCCAAGACCAACGAGTTCTGTGGGCAGTTGAGCGTCGACTCATTTCGGAAAATGGCATGGGAACAAACCAATCCGTGTACCGAGTCCTCAGAGTGCACCTTGGACACGGTAGCTCCGGGAAGCTGCCAGGAAGGGATCCAATCTGCATAATAACGTCGACGAAGTTGGTAGCCTATCGATAATAGGAACGGTTGGTGATTGATCCACCATTGTTCACTTGGGACGCGAGTACTGTCCAAAATCGAAGTGAAGCAGCGTGGAAATCGATGAGCACATACGACCAGTAGTCCCTGTGCTGATTGGGCACCCCTGTTGTAGGCTTTTCCATGAGATGAAGTTGAGATATTGAAGACGAATCGAAGTGTGTGTGCGTACGTAAGCAACTGTCTGTGTGGTCCTTCGCAGTGATGGAGTTCCACTGCGCTCTCTCCTATCCCCTTTAAGCTCAAAGCTACAGCGTCTCGGAAATACTAGCACTCAGCTCGACGACATTTGGGTAGTCATTCACATTGTCTTATGCGCATTACAGAAGTACAGAAACATCGTATTTCTACAGGTCAAAGAAAGAGAATTCCGGTGTGTAATCGTATCAAAATATCGTCGCAAGTGCCCCATCGTCTCCACCACCACCACCCCAAGCCCCACCACCCCCCGCGAATTAAGCCCAGGCCCGTTCTTCCCGAACGTGAAACCAACCCAGACGCCCCGTCCAAACGTATCATCCTTCTCCTTGACCGCATCTACGTTCCGTTGCTTCTCCTTCACCTCCGCGTACTTGGCCATGTCCTCTAAGCTTGTAAAGTCGTCGTAGTAACCGGTGTCGATTTCCGAGTCGAGCGCTGGAACAAAAGGCGCCTCTACTCCGCGCAAGTCATCCCATTGCACACCATCAAAGAAAGGGTGGACACGAATTTGCTCGAGTGAAGTAAGTCGGGAGGAGGAATGGGCAATAAGGCTGGTAGTTAGACGTTAGACCAGGAGCTACAACAACTCTAAACGGGCACAAACCAAGTAACAGCGTCCCAAGCAACGTCCGTAAGATTGAAAATAAGGTCTTCTGGCTTGTCGTACTCCGGGCGGCGTAAAACTGTCTGCCAGTTCTTGAGATTGGTCCACGTTTCGTCCGCAGTGCTGCCGCTAAATGGCGGGAAGCCTGCGAGGAACTCGAACAAGATGCACCCTAGAGACCAGTAGTCGACCGAGAGGTTATATGGTTTGCCGCGAAGAACCTCAGGCGCCTTGATGAAGACTTTAAGCACGAATCAACTGCCTTAGTACCACCAACCATGTAATCAGGTGATCCAACGATGGAGTCTGCATAGCGCGCGTCTTCATTGCGAATCGAGCGATATATGGACCGACGTTCGATAGTCGATCGGTGCACAATCTGATTATCTTTGACCTTGTCGAGCTGTCAAACGACGTGTAAATAACTCGAATGTGGATATGACGAAATGTGGAACGACAGATATGTTACATATAGAGCAGAAACAGTCGGATTACCGGTCCTAAATCAGGAAGTATCGCGGAGTTGCGCCTCGCAAAAAAGCATGCATAATATTGACGAGGTTTTACGCAATACTGTCTTGACCAAGAGACGTGCAAACGTCGAACTCGTACTGTGCTGTCGAACGACAGTTCCAATGCATGCAGTATCAGCCCACCATGCTGCGTTTCCGTCCCCTTAGCCGGACTATTGAATGGAATAAATAAAAAACGTGGGGGAACGATCGACTGCGAAGCTCACCGTCATCTAACCGCTTGCTGACCGCCATCCACTCCTTTCCCATGCCTTGCTCATATGCTTTTAGCACCGATGCAAAAAGTGGTTCTGATTCGGGGTGTGTCGAGGCAAATGCGCGTTCGAGGACGTATAGGTCGACTGCCTTGTCTTCGACGAGTGCTGAATGGTAGGATAAACCGAAATCGATTAGCACCTGCGATAAAAATTAGATCACATTGGCGCTGGCACGAAGTTACTCGCGAGCTGTGTCGGGAATGTGGAGTCGTATGAACTGTAGGAGTGAGGATGGCGAAGCATCATGTTGGAAGTCGTCAAATCGCCGTGAATCACGTCGGCAAGATGAAGTTTGGCGAGCTCGCGCCCTATCATGCCCATGAGCGTGTCTACAGAAAGTTGAACTCTTGTGATATAGAAAGAGAGAGCCGACAGACCTACAGAGATTCCATACTCCTCCAGGGCCGAATTTATGTCAGGTGTGTCTTCGTCGTCTTCTTCTGGCGTGCCTCCCGGGAGAAGTTTCCGTACACTCAGCCCGTCAATCCACTCAATTCCCAAAGCACCTTCTGCCGCATCGACCATTCGCAGACCAGGCACATTTACTCCTGCGCTTGTTCTCGTTGAAATGGTTGAAGCACTCGATTGCCTGCCTACCGAAGACATTTCAACAGCGCTCTCGCCTCCCCTGTCACTCTGGAGCGGGTGAGTGAGCTGTCGAGCGATGGATGGCGATATCCCTTTTGGAATCGATGCTTTAGCAAGATTGGCGGCTCGCTGTCGTCCGAAGATAAACGAGCTTTGTAGACTTTCTTGATGGCCGAATCAGACGAGAAATAGCGGTGGGGAAGTTGCACTTGCGGCTTCTGCGCCCTGAGAGATGAGTGTCGAGCACGCGATGAGTCGGCTTGTGGCCATGAAGGGAGAAAAGAAGCTTATTACCCGCTTTGTCACGCGATCTCTCGTTCTCTCGTTCTTTCACTGTTCTTTCCACCTTGTCGAATGCCAGAACACAGTGGGGTAACACTTTGGTTAGTTACTCTAACTAACAGCTTCAAGCCCAGTATGCGCCTGCTGCACAGGTCCCCTTAATCAAGTCTCCTAGTCTTCGCGTTCCTCGACCGGTTGAAATCGACTCTACAGTTCCACCTAAATCTCACACTCTATAGGTTGTGCTACCCCCGGACATTCACCCGCTTCCCGAATCTGTGAATGCATATGTCAGTCTCGTTAAATGACCTTCACGTCTAATTCACACCGTTCCAGTTTGTCTATCCTTACACAATTGAGCCCCATATCATCACTCTGGAATCATCTCGACGATCTACTCTTGCAGCACACCAAGCACAACGAGAAGCCTACCTCCGCTCAAGGCAAGAAGAGAAGGAGCGCAGGAAACGCGAGGCTTTACGACGTATTGCACCGGGTTTTGAACCTGAGGGCCATTTGCTTGTGCCAACCAAGAGAACATCTATTATCGCGCCTTCCCCAACATCTTTACCTTCACAACCTCCGAAGTCTGTGATGGAGGATTTGGTAGACCAACTGGCGGCATTGGACTCTTCCTCCTCGAAATAGAACTTTCTTTGCGCAAGACTCCGCGTGATTCAATCTTTCTGAATGACTTATCCGATGCATTTCTCACTTGTTGCTATGCATGGTGGCAAGTGCTTCTACTTATTTTTCGCTTTCTCCCTAGTAATCAGCGAGCGTGGAATCAATCGACTCCCTCTAATCTCCCAACGCATACATTAATATCGTACGCATCGTTATCTTCCCAGACACTAGTCCATTTAACCGTTCTTCGCAGGTCATAGCCAACCACCATGCACAGAAACCACTTTCTCATGTCAGTCTACCTGTCCTCGGACACTATCTTGTTTACGCAGCGACTACCAATTTAACCGACGTGCTTCCTGGCGGCGAGGGAAAGGACTACGTATAAAAGCAGTGAGAATCGATGTTTCAAACGTTGACATGGACTTCCTTGTGGTGCAACCACTCCGACGAGGTCTAGTCAACTTTCCCGGCGCAACACCGTCTTCTGCAACAGCTTTTGCTCAAAGATGCAAAGGAGCACCATTGCTTTCGAAACGAACAGTACTTCATCAACCACCTCTCGCACCAGTAAGGTCTATTGTTTGTTTTGACCCTTAGGAAACTGATATATATACCAGCGTTTTGTCGCTCCATGACTTTGGGGGGCCTGAAGCAGTGATTCGAGCGATGAACGACAAGGAAGCGTCGATTCAGCGACCGATCCATCTCAACAGCATGTCGTCACCCAAAGAGATAATGGAATGGGATTGGAAGCAAAGTTTGGGAAACAACCAGTATGAGTCCTCCCCTGCTGGCAATGTCCTGCTGTTGATCTTCGATTAATAGTGCCCAGCGGTATCCCGACTATCTACTAACTTTCTTCTCTAACCAAGTGGCCGCGCATGGAGCGACTGCGACCCTTGAACATTATATTTTCTCTCGAGAAGCGAATGAGGGCGAAACCTTGACGTTAGCGAGGTTCACGAGTCGATTATTGCATCCGCTTATCCAGGCTGGCGTAAATTCAGGACCCTTTGTCGAGTTTTGTCTGATCCTTGCACAGTTTGGCATTGAATTTGGTCAAGATTTTATGGTTGCACAGGGAATCGCCCAAGCAGCCGTATGCTTCCCTGACGCTTCTAACATGATGGACAAGCCGCACAATACGCCCGCCATTATATCTGGTCCTGAATGTTCGCTGTTGTCTCTCCTTCGGGATGTATACGACTCGCCCTCTCTCGTACCGCTTCCATATGAAGGACCCAGCACTGATGCCGATCGTTTTGTCGAGTGGATGTCGATGGACCCCAAACGCGACGCAGCACTCCGTTCTATCTATTCGCAATGGTCATTCGATTTGACTCTCATACGTCGATGGGACCGTGTTTCTTAGAGTCGCGCATGTGTTAATGGATGCGTTGGGCTGGGTTACTCGGGGAGAAAAGGACAGTTTTGGGATGTCAGTGGGATCGGGTGGGATGAGGCCTGGGTTGCTCATTAAATGGTGATGTGTTGATACATACTACTTGTGTCTTTGCTGCACTAATCAATGAGAAATAAGTGGTCCACGAAACTGCAAAAGTTGTCAGACACTTGAAACAATGGTCTCAAAAGACGCACTGAATTCTACTCTGTCCTCTTTCTCCCTGCACGCCGAACTGCATGCGATCGTGTCAGAAGAGCTCTCTTTCCCTCGGCTTCCGACTGAAAATGCCTCTTCACCACAGGGCGGCTCCGACGTAAAGTTGAAGCGCCCAACTGGCTACACGCTGAGGCTGGCCATTCATGCACAGATACAGAGATGGGGCAAAGGTTAGGAGTCGTCGGGTTGACCAGAGTTGGCTTTGTTGGCTGTAGAATGCGGATGGTGATGTCCATAGTGATTCAAGCAGGAAGAGTGGAGGCTAGAGTCAAGCACGCTGCTGCGAACATAGTGCGGAAAGCTGTGGGTCCGCCATTATATAAGCTCAAGAATGGTGTAAAACATGCGGCCTTGGGAACAGCATAATTTTGGTAAGATCATGCGTTCATGTAGCCGAAATCCTGTATTTCTGTCTCGGAAGCGTGGAAGCGGGCCAACATCCAAATTTAGAAGGTGTTTTCCCTTTTCAAGCGACGACCATGTTGGGCAAATCGTCGGCCGTCTCTGGGTTGCCCACCTACCGTGACGTGCATATGGAAACCGCCAAAGGCATTGAATCGCTCGGCGGGCTACCAGATGTGCGAATGGCGACAGCCAAAGCGTTCCCAACCGACATCTTGATGGAGACTGCGAAAGATAAGACGACGATGAAAGCGGGCGGGCTGAAAGTCTGGGAGCGCGAGGTTCTGTCAAACCCAGAGGTCAAGCGGAAGGCTACTGTGGCCCAACTCTGTGCGTTTTAACCGTGCTTCTTCGATGTTTGACCTGACAAGTGAATTTCCCCAGATTTCCTCGATTACTACTTCCAAACGCTCGGCTACATCCATTCTCGCAAAGAACGACGTGCGAAATTCGACAAGGACACTGCGGCGCGCGATCTCAAGCCCACGGAATACGCGAAAGAGTTCAAATCGTACTGTGGGAGGGAGCGAGTTTTGCTTCGTCGTCGTCGGACCAAGCTACGAGTCGACCAGTTCCACATTATTGCTCAGGTTGGCCAAGGTGGCTATGGCGAGGTTTTTCTTGCGCGGAAACAAGAGACTGGCGAGGTCTGCGCTCTCAAGAAAATGCGCAAGCGAACACTGCATAAAATGGACGAGGTGTGGGATTCCCGACGCGTTTGGCTCGAGCTAACGACTGTTAGATTCGCCATGTGCTCATCGAGCGTGATATTCTCACTGCAACCAAAACTCCCTGGCTTGTCCGTCTCCTCTATGCTTTCCAAGATCCCCAATTCGTCTATCTTGCGATGGAATACGTGCCCGGTGGCGACTTCCGTACCCTTCTCAACAATTCTGGCGTCCTGAAAGAAGAGCATGCACGCTTCTACATCAGCGAGATGTTTGCTGCTGTGAACGAGCTCCATAAGCTAGGCTATATCCATCGCGACCTCAAACCCGAGAATTTCCTTGTGGATGGGACAGGCCATGTCAAGCTTACGGACTTTGGACTTGCCACTGGCGCATTGAATCCTAAACTTATAGAATCACTCAAGCTCAAAGTCAGTTTATCCCGTCATATCCACATTCGAGTTATTTATGCGTCGCTTGACAGCTCGACAAGGTCAAAGATAATCAGATTGTGCACCGATCGACTATCGAACGTCGGTCCATATATCGCTCGATTCGCAACGAAGACGCGCGCTATGCAGACTCCATCGTTGGATCACCTGATTACATGGTTGGTGGTACCAAGGCAGTTGATTCGTGCTTAAAGTCTTCATCAAGGCGCCTGAGGTTCTCCGCGGCAAACCATATAATCTCTCCGTCGACTACTGGTCTCTAGGGTGCATCTTGTTCGAGTTCCTCGCAGGCTTCCCGCCATTTAGCGGCAGCACTGCGGACGAAACGTGGACCAATCTCAAGAACTGGCAGACAGTTTTACGCCGCCCGGAGTACGACAAGCCAGAAGACCTTATTTTCAACCTTACGGACGTTGCTTGGGACGCTGTTACTTGGTTCGTGCCCGTTTCGAGTCGTTATAGCTCCTGGGCTGACGTCTAACCACCAGCCTTATTGCCCATTCCTCCTCCCGACTTACTTCACTCGAACAAATACGTGTACACCCTTTCTTTGATGGTGTGCAATGGGATGACTTGCGCGGAGTAGAAGCGCCTTTCGTTCCAGCGCTTGACTCGGAAATCGACACTGGCTACTACGACGACTTTACAAGCTTAGAGGACATGGCCAAGTACGCAGAAGTGAAGGAGAAGCAACGGAACGTAGATGCGGTAAAGGAGAAGGACGATACGTTCGGACGGGGCGTCTGGGTTGGTTTCACGTTCGGGAAGAACGGGCCTGGGCTTAATTCGCGGGGGATGGTGGGGCTTGGGGGTGGTGGTGGAGACGATGGGGCACTTGCGACGATATTTTGATACAATTACACACTAGAATTCTGTTATCTTCTTCACTTTCAAGTTCCTTGACCTGTAGAATACAATGTTTCTGTACTTTTGTAATGCACATAGGGCACCGCAAAAGACCGCCTAAGTGTCGTCGAGCTGAGTGCCAATATTTCTGAGACGCTGTAGCTTTGTGAATCTAAAGGGGAGAGGAGAGAGTGAAGATTTGGAACTCCCATCACTTGGCTCTGAACTTGAATCTGACATTTGCTTACGTACACACACGCTTCGTCTTCAACATCTAAACTTCATCTCATGGAAAAGCCTACAACAGGGGTGCCCAATGAGCACAGGGATTACTGGTCGTATGTGCGCATCAATTTCCACGCTGCTTCACTTCAATTTTGGACAGTACTCGCGTCCCAACTGAACAATGCCAGTGGTGGATCAATCACCAACCGTTCCTATTGTCGATAGGCTACCAGCTTCGTCGACGTTATCATGCAGATTGGATCCCTTCCTGGCGGCTTCCCGGAGCTACCGTGTCCAAGGAGCACTCTGAGGACTCGGTACACGGATTGGTTTGTTCCTATGCCATTTTCCGAAATGAGTCGACGCTCAACTGCCCATAGAACTCGTTGGTCTTGGACGCTATACGGATAGCGGATGGTACTAAGGTTGTCCTCAAGCGCGTAGACACGCGTGATGTCGAATTGTCCGTTGTCCAATACCTCAACTCTCCGAATGTCCGACACCACGCTCACAACAGAACGGCGCTGCTTTTGGATACCATTCCGATACCTGACGATGACAACACTATATTGATTGTCATGCCGTTCCTCAGAGTGTTCAACTCTCCTATTTTTCGCCATTTACAAGAGGTCATCGAAGCTCTGCGTCAATTTTTGCAGGTGTGAGCTCATTTCATGTTATATCTACATGTTAACCCTCCTTAGGGACTGGCATTCATGCATTCTCACTTTATAGCCCACCGGTACGGCTTCTCCAAGCTCTGAAGTAGTGCTTTACTCATCTACTCTGAAAGCGATGTTTGTCGGACGAACCTGATGATGGACGCATCCAAGGTAGTGCCCGGCGGCAGCCATTTCGACGATCCTAGCACCCAAGAGAGCAATCTCAGTCTTCGATTTTGCTGGAGAGACCGATGTTCTGTTGAACCGATTGCCTATTATTTCATTGACTTCGGGCTTTCTCGCTATTTCCCAGGTGGCGTGGAAACTGCATTTAACTTTGGTAGGTACGGGCAGGACCGCACCGTTCCAGAATTCAAATGGGAGGTGCCCCACAATCCGTTCAAAGTGGACATTTATCAATTGGGCAACACCTTCCTCAGGGTCCTCGCTGTAAGTGTCTACTTTTGTGGCCCACATCCACTTGAACTTGAACTACCCAGCGCTTTCCCGAAAACCGCGAATATCTGCTGCCCTTGTTGCGCACAATGACAGCAAACGACCCAAATGCACGGCCCACCGCGCTGGAAGCGTTAACAGAATTAGAGGCGCTGGGTGAGCATATCCCCGAACCCGAACCCGAACTCGTCAAATCCATGGAATACGAACGAGATTATGACTCGCCAGACACGGAAGAGGAGGATTTGTACCACGAGATAACTTGAGAAGATGAACACGATGTCGCTGCGGCGGACTCAGCGATTGGGGGCGTTGATAGAGGAATCCAGACTTGAACAGACGCGGATTCCCAGGGCTAGGATAGACGCGTAATTTCATGACATTTATATCTGGTCGCAGACAAGTTGCCATACTTTCTGCGAAGGGAATAGAGCGTAAATCTTACGCGTAATGCAACAGTTTGACTGACTCGGAAATAGTAGACGAAATATGGTGGGTTCAGACGGCACGCATTATATTCGGGCTAGGCCTCTCCTCCTGCGCCAACAGCTATGGTAAGTATGGCCGCAAGCCTCGTCGCAACGAAGTAATCATGGTCACGGTTGCACGCACGCCCCCTCACGCCCCGCACGGCGCCGCCCCGCACTATGTAGCCTTCTGTTGAAGGGGCTTGAAGTTGTCTTCTTCTGAGTTTGTTGAGGCAGTATACGCCCGGTTGAACTCCTTCGTATTGTTTTCAGGTTGCTCGTAGTGGGCGCACATTCGAGCGGAGGAACCGTTCTGTATCGAGTGGCGGAAGGCAAACTGGCAAGCGTCTTTCGGCATCGACGTATGTGACTAGGATCAAATTGCCTTTTTTGGAAGGCGTCAGGGAGGGTGTGGGACTCGGAGCTTATGTGACTTACTATCGATGTATTCACTCGATACCCACTCACAGTTGTCTTCTACAGGTAGCTTATTCTCAAGTCGTCTGAGTCTTCTATAGTTTGAACGCTGGCCTTAAGCTTGATATTATTATTATTCAGCCCCAGGCACTGGCAGGCAGCCTCACAAGCCAGTGGTTGCAGTGCCAGTGTCTAACTCTCATTGACCGACTCGGACTTCAACTGTCCTGACTCCTTACCTATTCTGCTTTCACATTTCGGGGGGCTAAGTAGTCCTCACAGTCAAGATTCAGACGCTCGATCTCAGTCGAGGATCCAAACATCCGGCGCTCAGCCACTCAATCTGAGTCGCAAGTCACACCCGCTTCCTCTTCCCTTTTCACCACCACCTATCTATCTTTTGCCTAGTAAGTTTCTCTTCCTTCTTCAAGTCTTGGAGAAGGATAAAATTAATGCATTGTTAGCGTCGTCACCTGCTCATCGTTTACGGCGCTGGGCGCAGTGGTTCTTCATCGATTATGTCGATGTTGTTCGTGTAACTCTTCTCTCAGATGATATGCTTGCGACAAGCCCATCTTGCTCCTCAGACTCCCGGTTTCAATCTTCGTTTTCTCGTAGACGGACGACTCCATGATTAGCACTGGCGGCTGTGCGGACTTCAAACCTTTTACCGTTCTAAACACCAGCCATTCAACCTCTTTCTGTAAAAAGCGCTTCAATAATCGTGAATTATTTCTGACATTCTCGATAGTTCCTGTTGCGCCATGATTCATCGATCGTTCACATTTTGGTGAAGTACAGCAGCCCGTCGCAACCCCAGCCCCACCGACCTTTTGTGCGTTCGGCTCCATCTCGAGCAATATAGCAATCTGGAACTGCGGGTAGCATTCTCGGTATATGCTCTCTGGCTTGATCGTCCAATGCGCCCTCACGTCTTCTTCCATTGTGCTCGACGCTGAGGCTGTGCCTATGACGCGGATGGACGAAGGCCTGTTCTTCGTTCATTGTTTGGCTTCCCGTAATGCAAGTTTAATCCCTGGCAACGGCGTAGGGTGCGGCATTGTGCTCTTACGGATCCACCACCAGTGGCGGTAATCTGGCGCAGCTTCAAATCCATAGCGGTCATTACAGTATGATACCAGTCTAAATGTAATACTACACGTATCAGAAGGAAGTACCTCCACTGCCATGCAATGGCTGCCATGAACGAACTGGAGCTTTGTTTTCCTATGGAACACTGATCAGTTGTTTCGGAATTCATAAGATCGAATACCTTGTTGCTCGAGGGTGTGACGAAGGCATTGCCCTGCAAGACAGGTCAGTATACGGTCCGAAATTTATTCAGCGGTGTGATGTGTGCTAACCTTGCTTGTGGATGTTGTGGGTGGGTTCAAAACCGTCGCGATAGAGGGGTGGGATTGAATGAGCGGCATTTCCTCGTTTGTAAACACCGAGTCATCAGAGTCCAAGCTAAGATCGTCATCCTCAGGCATAGCGATTGCCAGCTGGCCGTCCTGAGGACGTTGCACCATATTCATGTCTAGGAATGAATGATATGCCACAGCTGATTAGAACTAGGCTCACCACGACCATCGCTTTCACCGTCGTTGAGATTGGATAAATCAATGGTGCCTATTACCGGAGGAGGAATCGAAGGAGGAATCGGAGGAAAGGTATCGAAAGCTGCTGCTAATATTTGTCAGCATTGATCAATAATAGTTCCCCAAAACATACCAGTTACTCCGACACGCACATCATCATTGTTGACCCCATGTTCCTCTGTTTGCGAGCCACTAGAGTCGTCCGAGCAAAACTCACTCTCCTCAACCACAGGAACAGTCGTAACTGGCTCCACCATAGTAATACCTATCACTGAATGAGTGAAACGCCATAGTTGATGAGAAGTAGGCTAACCTCCACCGTCGTCGAAATTGAACCAATGGACGTCTGTAGGGAGCGATTAACACACATTGACTCATAAAGAGATAGTTGCTTACTGCTACGGCCTTCCCATTTGATGGTCCGAATGCACAAGTGCAAATCTGCCTGGAAGGCCTCTTCTTCGGCTTCTTGCTGCGCCTCCTTCCGGTGTTCCTCTTCCAACTGGCCGAACGTGAAGTTGACTTCACGCTGCACAAGTTCTTTGCTGTCATACAGTGGTTGAGTTGCAAGAGTCATCAACCCGAGGAAATTACAAACTCAGGGACAAGGAGGGGAATGGCAGTCGGAAGTAGAGCCAGAAGAATTCGAGACAATTCGTTCAACGCCTGCTCCCTCTTCCATGCCTCGGTCAAGGGATCGAACGCAAGACTCGCAAAAGCAGGGAGATACGCGGACAGTGTTGTCGGGGCAGCAGATCGAGGCGGCCATAGTCCACTTTGAGAGATGAACTGGGGTACACTCGATCCCCTTCCGATGGTCGCAAATAATTTGGCGGTGACTTCAGCGGAGATGAAGGCGTCTACTAAGATCTAGAATTACAATGAGCCATGTAGATGCAGCAACGACAAATAATTTTACTCACGGTGACTTCATCGTCTGTGAATGTGTTGATATGTACTTTAGCAAGGGTGTCTCTGGCGATTTGAGCAAGGGCTTGTCGACCACGTCTGACAATATTTTCTTCGTTGGCGCGATGATCGAAGAGACCGAGAGAACGGCACCATTGGTACCAAAGTATTGGAGTGATGCGTCGACGAGCGAGGACATGGGCTTTGTTGGTTATGGTAGCGAGGAAGGTGTCGGTGATTTTACGGACATAAAACTCGCTTAGACGGAGTGAATATCAAAAGCCATTGGTGAGAAGGGGACATACTGGACATCGGTATCGGCGAAGAGGTCGTCGTTCATCTGTTGGGCGTGTCGTACTAGAACAAGAATCAGATGACTGGGCGAGATGGCGATGGCACGCACAAGAGCGAGGACAAAAATGAAGGTGATGGTAATTGCCAGAGCTGGGCAAGTACACGGAAAAGAAAGGAACGGCTGTAAAGGCAATATCAGCGAGTGTGTAATATATGAGAAGCGACAAACCAGACAAGATGGCGGTCAGCACCAACTTGCGATGTCTTGACCCTCCACCGTGTGCGTGACTATGTTACATCCGCGCTGAAATCGTTCAATGGTGTTAGTATGGAAAGATCGCGCCTTAGACCTCAGTGGCCCTTTCCGCCCGGAGCGCAAGCCATGGCATTCTTGAGAACTTTGTGCAAACGGCCTCGCAAGTAAGTCACAGAGAATCTTCCTCTTGCTTCCCAAATACGCCGTCGACATTGAACTCGAGATCCGCGTCCCACATAGCCACGGTGATAATGGCCCTCTCGGTTTTGTTCGCGCTTGAGTGATTGGTCAAGGTTATAGTGGTCCGTGGTCAAAAGCAAAATGCATGACCGTGATGACGTGTGATGATGATGTGATGATATCGATAAGAATCTGCGAAGTTTATTCAAGTACATAATGCCTCAGCGCCAGTTGAAGGCCTTTTTGAAGACCAACACAGCCCTTTGAATGCTAGTCTCTTTCCCCATCTTGTCGCCCACACTGTCCGACAGGTGGAAAATATAGTTTGGGATCGGGCAGGAGAAGATAACCACCAGATGATGGTCTTTTATGACGGCCTCGTACTTAGGTATGAAGTAGTTTGGACGAAAGATTGAATTGTCAGCTTTGTTAGCTAAGCCAGGGTAGGTATATTGGACAAAAGCGGCTGGAGAATATCAGAGTAAAGAGACCGTGATCGCTGGGCGGCTGCGCTTTTTCAAACATTTCTGAATCACCAATGCGCCAGCTTTCGGGCAAGTTGAGCGTCATGAATAGACGGTCGGACCGGATTTTGCCCTCGCAAGGCCGGTTCGGAGATGCCTTGTCGGATCCAATTTGAACTTCGCACCCTGCAATTCTGGATGGTTTGAGGTCAGGCGCCAAACATTCCTAGACGACGGTCCGACCACACCGTTAGCACGCACACGAAATCGTCTTGCTCCACGCAGCTCCCCATATACGAACATTCGAACATCTGGCATGCCCAAACAAGAACGGTGCTGGTTTAGAGGAGCGTAACACGGGTAAACATTTTGAGGAGACGATTGATCATAGTGTTTGAAGTTGTCAGTATTGGGTGCTGCTATACCCTTATGCTCACTTTAGAGTGTATACCGAGGTAGCAATGACATTCGTGAGGTCGATCCGAAAGGAGAACTCGAAGTAAACCAAGACGTCAGTACATCAGTCCGAGTCATTGGCACCGGAAGCTCGAGAATTGATGATCCAAGGATGCCGCTGAACGAGCGCAAGCGCAAGACGTTCTTGAGGGTCCCGCCGCAAAAGCTGAACAAGTTAGAGACTTAGAGTGAGCCAACAATAACACTGTTGCTGCACCAACCTGACTGATAAGGTCTTGCGCAATGACACTGATCTGTGAGGGAAACCTGATATCCACGCGTTTGATGCGGTTATAAACAGCTGTCGGGGAGATGTAGGAAAATGTGAAGATGGGAAAGTGAGGAAAAAACTGACCAACAGTTCCGGTGTCATTGAAGGGAGGAGAGCCGACTAGAAACTCGTAGAGGAGAACACCCAGACCCCAGACATCAACTCGCTCGTCGTATTCCCTCCCCTCTACCATTTCCGGTGACAGGTAGTCTAAAGTGCCGCACAGCGTTTTGATTGTCCCAAATGAATGGATACACCTGGGTCAAGTCATTCAAGTCCGAATTTACATGTCAGTGAATCGATGTACACTTACCACCCAAAATCACACAGTTTAAGCTCCCCATTTGCGCCGAGGAGAAGGTTTTCGGGTTTAATGTCGCGATGCATGATGTTCTTTCCGTGGAGATACATCAGCGCGCTGGTGAGTTGCTCAACGTAGCTGGCACTCTTCTTTTCGCTGAAGTTGCCTTCTTTGGAGAGGATCTGGTAAATATCTCCCTTTCCGGCGAACTCGAGCACGGCGAAAATATGCTGCGCGTTGTGGAAGGCGGTAAACATGCGCAGAATATGCGGATGTCTGAGCTGCTGGTGGATCTCGATTTCGCGTTGCTGGTCCTCTGGTATTCCCCACGACTTGGAGATCACCTTCAAGGCTAAGATTTTTCGAGGCTGCTTCAACCGGACGAGGTAGATGCGGGAGAATTTGCCTGCCGGTAGAGTTGGAGGAGGAGGAGAACTAGGCCGGTGTACGCACCTTTGCCAACGAGAAGTCCAACTTCAAACGAGGCCAGAGACAACTCCAACCCTTGAAGTTGATGATGGCTGCATTGGGATCGACTCAAATTTGCCATTTTTGCCTGAAGACTGACTGCATAGTAGAAGACCCAGCATGGAGGTCAAGCTCTGCGTCGCTGCTTCCAATATCCATGTCGGCTGGTGGCTCCATCACAGTGCGGCTCAAGAAACGAAAGAGTAATTTGAGTGACGAAAAGAAGAAGTTATCGTTCTAGATGACCTCTCGAGAAGTGCGGTTTGCTTGGGTCATGAAGGAAAGCAAGAGACAGATCAGACATCACGTGGCACAAACCCTCCCCATCATGTTCTTCCAAGTGCCTTCGAAAGCAATCGTCACCCCTGCCCAACTTGAGTACTTCCAGACCTCAACAACACATAACGATGTCCTTGCCTACATCAGCGTTTTAAACGAAGCGGTAGTTGGCGTGAAACTCAGCAGCGAGTGCTCCGAATCCGATGTGTGTTTTCTAGGCCACGCAGTCGTCTCCGTTCTCAAGCCACATAGGGCGTACGTGCCGTACTCGACGTGTTGAACAAAATCGAGTCTACAGCGGATGCGATCCCACCTGTCGATAATGCTGCCTCGCGATTCGGCAACCCCGCCTTTCGGACATTTTACGATCGTGTAGTTGAGGTATCCAGCTCTGGATTTACTCTTCAATCTTCTAATTGTAATTCCCCAGCTGTCGCCTTCCCTTCACGCCACTCTCTCGATTCCCGCAGAGGCTCATGAAGAAGTCGGAGCGTATCTCATGGAGTCCTGGGGCAATCGCACACGAATCGACTACGGAAGTGGGATGGAGCTTAACTTTCTCTGCTGGCTGTGAGTTATACCTTACACTAGTGGCAATGCCAATGGCAGTTGGCAATGGGGGGCAACGGCGGCTTGAAAGGATTTTTTCCCCTTTGTTGCAAAGAAAAAATCCTTTGTTTGCACCAAGGCTGCCCTTAGACCCCCCCCATCTACAGGCTGCCATTGGGTTTGCACCTGGTGTTATGCCTGTAAAGCTTTCTCATATACCGACTCAGAATGTGTCTTGAACGGCTTGGTGCTCTTCAAGAAAGCGACCATACTGCACTTGTCATCCGTGTCTTCTGGCGTTATCTTCGCATCATGCGTAAACTCCAGTCGACCTACTGGCTAGAGCCTGCCGGGTCGCATGGTGTTTGGGGACTGGACGACTACCATTTCCTCCCGTTTTTATTTGGATCGGCTCAACTTCGGGGTATCTTCTTCTCTGTTCATCTCCTCCAACTCTTCTTAACCGGCTACCAGGGCACAAGTATATTCGGCCAAAAGCAATTCACGACGCAGAGGTGGTGGAAGAGTACTCAAAAGAGTACATTTATTTTGCCTGCATTCAGTTCATCAACTCGGTATGTGGTTTAGCTCCTTGTTCTTCAGTCTGACCCGAAATCCAGATTAAATCCGCCTCCTTACGCTGGCACTCGCCCATGCTAGACGACATCTCCGCTGTCAAGACCTGGGACAAGGTCAACTCCGGCATGGTAAAGATGTACACGGCCGAAGTCCTCGGCAAGCTTCCTGTTATACAACACTTTTTATTTGGCTCTCTTCTCAAATACGGTGGACCGGCAGCCCCTGTCGGTGCCGATGATGGTCATACGGGCCATAAACATGAAGGATGGGGCGACTGTTGCGGAATTCCGGTGCCTAGTGTGTTTGCGGCGGCGAATCAGGAGAGAAAGGAGGGCCCGCGGATAGTAGGCGAAGGAATTCGAAGAGTCCCATTCGATTGATGCAGTCGCGAAAAAGGAAAGCGACTCTTGATCATGCCCGACATCCTTACCTTGCCGCCTGAACTCGTCAGTGAGATCTTCATGTCTACCATCCCTACTGACTGTGATATAAATCCCGCTCATCACGATACACCTTTGCTGCTCACACAAATCTGTCGACATTGGAGAGATGCTGCGATAAATACTTCCGCACTGTGGAGTTCGCTGAGTAATGGGCGGTTTGGCCTGTACATGTGGTAATCCACAGAGATACGCAGTCCAAAATGGCTGCCGTTCAACTTGCCACTCATAATTCTGTGGTTGAAGCGTGCTCGCGGGCGGTCTATCTCCTTGACCGTGACTGGGTTCCCCCTTTCTGTGCTATTGTTAATTCTCTACACCTTCAAAAACATCTCCCGCCTCACCCTCCGATACATCACCGCCCTTCCTAACTCACTACCGACGCTGCTTTGGTGCTTTCCAATCTGCATACCCTGACACTCTGTCCTAAGAGTGCGTGCGTCCGGGGGTGGATCGTCCTCCCCAACCTACGACGCTTAACTCTTACTGAGCCAAGACCGACTTATTGCTCTCCCGCCTGCGCATCACTTCGCACTCAAGTTCTTCCCTGGCCACTCTGGTCGTCAACATAAGTTGCAGGAGCGGGCCCAACCTTTGGCTTATCTCGTTGTTGCGATCGTTGCCGTCTATCACATCTCTCCACCTGATCGAACGCGATGAAAGGACTGTGGGTACATTCTTTCCGCGCCAAGATCGTCCGCGCGGGCCTGTCATTGCAGTTTTCCTCACAAGCGACATCGTTCCTCGTCTCAGGAGCCTCGACATCCGCACCAACGTCGTGCCAGAGACGATCGCTGTACTGATGCCGGTCCTCGAAGCCCTCCGCCTCCAAGGGCGGTATCAAGGGTCACAACAAATCGCTCGTCTGGAGCGTTTCCATCTGGATATACAACAGGACGGTTTCTCCTGGCCCTCTATCAGAGGCAAAGAGCGCTTTTTCCCGGACGTTCAAACCAGAGCGGATCTGCAGCAAATAATTGACGAGGGTCTTGGCCTGACACTGACCACAGTCTATGGAAGCAGGTGGCCGAGATCCCCTGCTTAAGTCAGTCTTCAAAAACAATTAAAATTTTACACTCTGAGAGCTATATTTAACGCTGCCGGTGCTTCAGCTCGCGTTGCTTTCGACCCCGGACGAGCCGCGTGTAGGCCCGGAGGAGTTGGTTGGCGCGTCGCCTGCGACGCACTTTGACAGGCATGGAGGGAAGAGGCAAGAACGTGACTTTGTGGACAGACGTGATAATTTATTTACTACACTAACAAGAGAGAAAATGCTAGACTAAATTTTTGGCTGGTCAAAGTTGAGCCCTCGATTCTGGCCCGATTCATCACCCAGAATCGCTCGAAGATCAGTGTGTGTCGAATCGCGTCAGAATGCCATCTTTGACCGCTCCTATTATTATCGTTAGCGCCGGCAAGCGGTGGTCCCCGACTCTCTGATAAAGAAAAGAACAAGAGATATTTGAATGATTTGAAGCACAAGAAAGGATACAAATACAAGTAATACACAAACTGCTCTCCACTACCACGCTCGACTCTCGCGCACAGGATTCAGAGCCGAGTAATGATAAGTCTCCAGATGGACGATCGGAGTCGGGATCCGAAAGAACCACCAACTCGTTGAGATTGAACAAGAGGTTAATCTTCCCCCACCGATTTAGCATGAAAATTACCACAACCACAGTTTCAGCCAGTATTTCGCCACCGACATAAATGGGGAGCTTCCAGTACCCCACTATGTCGAACGGTACGCACGCGCGCCGATTTGTAAATAGCAACTGTGCTTCATCAGTATGAGAATCAACATACCATGCAAGTGGTTGCAGGAGGAGAAAGCGCTCGGATGTTTCAATCAGGGTTGTGACAAAGTGTGATGTGACATGGAGTGACCCGAAAAACTCAATTCCGATCTCCATTCAAATTCCGGATCAAAATAGCTACGACTGTTGGCGTACGGATTGCACATCCGATGTTGCCAAACCCTCTCTGCTTACACAGAGTCGGGGATGGTCTTTTTCATCGAGGTCGCTTATGTCAGATGTCCCGAACGGAACCATGAGCAAATACACTGAGAAAGTCTTTCCGTCAACTTGGGCATGAATATCCAAGCTGGTCCACCTGGTGACCTATCGTGACCGTCGTTAGAGGCTGGTAGAGGAAGAAAAGGCCTAGGGAAAAAATTGTTCTTACGTCCGTCACCGTGCATTACTAGCACTTCAACGAGCTCATCTTCCCAAAACACTCTCTGCCGCGAATTGTCATGATTTAGTCTGACAAAAGTGGCCCCCTGGCGCCGCAGCTACAAGTTGCACTTCATTCAGTATGTTTCGCCTTTGGAGCTCGTCAACCCTCTCCCTCCGGCTCTCGAAATTTAACGCTTCCTCTCCGATATATCCTCGTTGTCTACGTTGTCGCCGTTCCGTGAACAATCCGAAGCAATGGCGTCGTCTCTCCAGCACGGTGGACCCGAAGTCTCTCATGATGGACTTGAAGAGTGACCTCTTTAACTACACGACTGGGCGTTTCCTGTGCGTCTTCTACCACTTCTCATGTTTTCTGACGATGAGTCAAACTACCCAGTGCCAACGATGCGTACCGCCTCAGAGAGCGTCAGCGAATCTTCGACATGCCAGGGCTCTTCAATATTGTCGCCAACGCAATGAACTGCAAGGTGGAGCAGATCACAGATTTTCGAAGGCTCGCAGAAGGTGGTCTCAATCGCGTCTTTCTCGTCACTCTGGACACCAACTTAAAACTCGTCGCACGCATCCCGTATCCACTCCTTGTCCCCAAAGCATACGCCGTCGCCAGCGAAGTTGCCACCATGGATTACCTCCGCTCCAAAGGGGTTCCTACTCCGAAAGTCTACGCATATTCGTTTACGCCGGACAACGAAGCCCAGACCGAGTACGTTCTCATGGAATACATCGAAGGGAGGGATTTGAGGGAGGTTTGGTTTTATTTGAAGAAGAACGAGATTATCTCCCTCATGAACCAGCTAGTGAAGATTGAGTCCGCTATGATGGCCACCTCTTTCCCCGCTGGCGGCAGTATCTACTACGCGGAAGATCTCAAGAAGTTATGTGGGAAGGAGGGAATTACTATCGAGGAGCAGGAGCAAGTCAACGATGGCAAAGGAAGGTTCTGTGTGGGGCCCGATGTATCGGTAGCGCTGTGGTACGGGCGAAGAGAACAACTAGACGTCTTCCGAGGACCATGTAAGCTTTCCTCTCCGTTTCCTCGAGTTGATGAACGATCACACCAGATGAGGATGCGGAGTCGGTGCTAGTTGCAGGAGCCAAGAAAGAACTTGCCTATCTTGAGCAATTTGGCTCGCCAAAGCAGCCATACGATCGTTCTCGAAGAAATTACTACTACTTCAAGCCCCAGCTACCGTCTGATCACGCTCAAAATCTCCAGCACTATCTTCTCCTTGCACCTTCACTCGTACCAAAGGACGATCTCCTTACCACTTTCCGACTCCGACATCCTGACCTCACCGAGAATAACATCAGAATATCCACAAGTGCTTCTGGTGATTTACAGATTGTGGGTGTGCTGGACTGGCAGCACACGGCTGTCCTACCTCTCTTCCTCAACGCTGGCATGCCCGACTTCGTGCAAAACCAAGCAGACGAATTTTCGCGGAGCATGAAGAAACCCGTTGTGCCAGACAACCTCGACGAGCTGTCGGAAGAAGAACAAGAGGTGCTTCGTCGCCGTCTTGTCTATTACTACTACGTCATCAGCACGCTTACCTACAACAAGCTTCACCAGAAAGGCTTAGCCTATTCGCACAACGCTGCTTGCCGTCGAATTTACATTCACGCGACTGCTCCATGGAAGGGCGAGACTATTGGGTTGCGATTTGCACTGATAAATTGTGTGCTTGACTGGGCAGAGTCTGCGAGCGATGAACGTTGTCCAGTTGCATTCACGGCGACGGAAATCGAGGAAGCCGTCAATCTCATGCAGGGTTTACAAGAGGCTGAGGAGGATGACCGGTTGCTTAGAACTTACATTGGCTACAATGACGACACATGGGTCCCCGCTGCTGACTACGAGGCGGCCAGGACGAGAGCCCAGGAAGTGAAACAGAAGAGTTTCGAATTCACTGAAAGTGAGGAGGAATCCGCTGCGATTGACGCGAACTGGCTCTTTGACGATATGGATGAAGCGGAATTGGAGGGGTACAAGTAGACTCTCGACCACCACTTCAATGTGTTGAACTGTACTTTATAACCACCTCCACTCCTTCCTCGAAAGCTCATTTTTACGGTGAAGATGGAATGGAGTTGCAGAGTAACCCAAAATGTCCCCCGGAGCACGGTAGGCTGTTTACTATATTCCCTTTCACACTCTCTCTACGAATACAACTAACGTACAGCATTTCTGCAAAAAAAAGCTACTACACTAGCTGCCCGTTTGGAAATCGGTCACATGATCATTGCCACTTGGTGCCTAGCCACCTCCACCCCCTCATTTCATGGCGTCCGTAGGCTCAGTGACGCGTCAAATTGCTGCATTGGAAATCTCTTCCAAGGGCCCACAGTCATCCCAACCCTCCGGCCCCAAACGGCCGCAACACCTCAAACAACCAAGTCAGCCGAACGTCGCGAAGTTATTGACGAAATGGGCAGCGCCGAACCCGTCGGCGGCTGTGAAAAAACCTGTCTTGCCTCGTCCGGGGCCAAGTGTGGATATCGGGAGCTATGATGGGGGGCTCGAAATCGAGAATGAACGTCGAGGGTCGACGGTAAGCGGGCCAGCAGCGGCGGACTTGGCGCTGGACTCGAGTCAATCTAGGTGAGTAATTGTCTTTTTTGGGGGGTTCTCTCATTCCAGCAGACTCAATCCGACGCTGGAATGGTCTCTCCATTCCTTTGACATGGGTCGCCCGCTGGGGAAGGGTGCGTGTCACCTCCACTCTTTCACAATGCAGCTGACCTGGGGTAAGGAAAATTCGGGCGGGTCTATATGGTCCGAACGAAGGCCCCGCCCCAATATATTCTGGCGCTCAAGACTCTGTACAAGTCGGAGCTCGTGCAGAACAAGGTCGAAAAGCAGACCCGCCGCGAGATCGAGATCCAGCAGAATCTGCGGCACCCCAACATCCTCCGTTTGTACGGCTACTTCCACGACGAGAAGCGCATATTCCTGATGCTCGAGTTCGCCGGCAAGGGCGAGCTTTACAAGCAGCTCAGCAAAGTCGGTTGCTTTTCGGAGCGGCGCAGCGCGCGCTACATTGACCAGATGGCTGACGCATTAGGGTATCTTCATGGCAAGCATGTCATACACAGAGACATAAAGCCGGAAAATCTGCTACTAGGGATCAACGGTGAACTGAAGATCGGAGACTTTGGATGGTATGTACCTACCTTCGTTGCTGCCAAAATAACCTTTTCCCAGGTCCGTCCATGCTCCCGGCCTCCGTCGCATGACACTATGCGGGACTCTCGACTACCTTCCCCCCGAAATGGTGGAAGGGAAAGAGCACAACGAAAAGGTCGACTACTGGGCATTGGGCGTGCTCATGTACGAATTCTTGAACGGGTCACCTCCGTTTGAGGACCGCGCCAGCGTGAAAAGTATGTTCTCGACCAGGTCAGCTTTTTTATAACTTCTCTACAGATACGTACCGACGAATCGCCAAAGTCGACCTGCGTTTCCCTCCCACAATCCCAGCGGACGCACGCGACTTGATTGCCAAAGTTCGGGTCGTTTGTTCTGTCCGATGCGCATTCCTCACTCGAGTTTCCAGCTTCTCAGGTACAATCCCAACGACCGATTACCGCTTGCAAACGTCCGTCGACATCCATGGATTCTCAAGTTCAAATCTGAAGCGGAAGCTGCTTAAAAACTCCATCATCGCACACTTAATTTTTGCATGCTACACATCATTGTAACAACAAGTATTGTATCAGAATTTGAGCATAAGAGAAGCAAATTATTTACTTGAAAGTGAGTAAAGTAAATCAGAAAATAGGCGGTAAGGGATTTATGCAAAAGATAGGCACGAATTAGTAAGGATTATGAGGCAAATCAAAAACCGTCGAGATCCTCAATGTTTAAAGTCGGCTTAGGCTTTGCCGCTGCTTGCACAAATGTCTTGGGTTGGACTATGCCGCGATACGCACACTTGAGCTGGTCTGCCGGCTCATCTGGCATCTTGAACGGCAAGTTACTGAGCAGAGTTGCAGCTTGAGAAACGTGGCGTTTCAGTGCACCCAAATCTCGGGCGCGATGCGTTGACGCGGACGGCGCGAGTGTCTTCTGCAGTTGAATAAGCTGCTTCAAAATTTTGCTACAGCGAAAATGTCACAAAAGAGCGCAAAGAAAAAGGCAATGGCTGCACACCTGAGATCTGTCAGCTGTTTGTCAACCGCGTCCAGCTTTTCATGTTTGGCATCAAGCAAATCCTTCTTTGCTTGGATCTTGTGCTGTTGCGTCACCTGCTGCATCGTACCGAGGCAGAACAGCAGATGCGGCAGAGGCCCCAGGAAACGAAGGCGATATAATCTCGCACTCGCATCCACCGTTGGGGGCCACTTGTGTTCTTCAGCCTGGCAAGAAATGTAAAGCTCAGCAATGCCCGCAAAGGAGGCGGACTGTTCTTTTCGACATTCGACACGCCAACAGACGTGCCGCCAGATTCGTTGGATTGTAATAGCGGCATTGACTTCTTCGTCCGTCCGCTCAACAGCCTCGAGGGCTGGGGGCATTTCGATTGGTCCAGACTCGATGACTGGCGGGGCCTCAGCTTCAGCTTCGCCAATATCAACGAAGTCTGCGACATCTTCCTCTTCGGTTATAATTGGCACACTATCTGTGGTGTCCTGTTCAGCCTCGATGTCGGTCGAGGCCAGATTCTCCATGATCGCACGTGAAGCAGAACCCAACAAGTGAGGGATGGCTTCGAGTGAGCTGTAAACGATTTGCCGCACATTGGACCTCCCACGAATGGGTGGTCTTTCTGGATGGATAAGCTGAACAAGCTCATCCATGGCTGACCCTTGCGTAGATTTGCACAGCGCAGGCACAATTTCAGACCAGCGTCGAGCAGTCACAAATCTGACGGGAACGCAGTTAGAATGGGGGGGGATCGAGATGGATGAACTGACTGGTAAGACAGAGAAACTTTATGGGGGCTGGAACGGTGCGGTGCCGTGATCATACGATGGATTCTGTTACGCAAATTCATGTCGCGCATTGACGAGTTGTAACCCACTGAAAACCATAAGCTTCATCAATAACAATCAAAATGACACACTGAGAGCGATACACCGACAACTAGTAAGCATGATCAGCACTACTTCAGCAGCCAGAGTTACAAGACTTACACTCGGACAAGGAACACGTCACGAATCATCCCCGGTAGCTGATGTAAATTGGAGTCTTGGAAAAGGAGGTGCCCTACAAGACTCATGAGAAATCGATAAGAGGAGGATGGTACCTCGTACCTGCGTCGACTCCAGAGTATAGCCTTTCGATAAGTTTTTCAAGTGCCTGCAAAAATAGCTGGAAGACAGGGGACGTGAATCTTTCTCCTTCGCCGACGACGCTGCTCCAGTTCGTCAACCAGCTCAATGGCATAGTCAATCCATGGAATGAAAGATGTTTTTCCTGCCGAACAGCAACGAGCATGCAGGCGCAAAGATGCTCGACAATATCGCACATCATGCTTGCATTGATATCGAGCCTTTCCGTCACGACGTGACGGACAAACAAGACTCCCGCACAGATGCACGTAGGGGTTTTGGCCTCGAGAGACTGAAGGAACTCTCCGACGATGTAGGATTCGCTCGAGCGCATATATATCGGAGGTTGCAGCAACATATATGGCCCTTGCTTGAGGAATGACATGGCATCGCGGCGATCAAACTGGAAACTGAGTTTCGTGATTTGGGCAAGGTTGGATAAGAACATGGGCATCGGTAAGAATTCGCAGTCGTAGACGAGACTGCGGACCCATTGTCGGGCTACTTGAAGCCCCGCCTCGGCTTCTGGAATCGAGCCCAAGTCAAGGGCTGCCGCAGATCCCAACCGGTAGTACGGGGGGTATAAAACAGAATATAGTCGAGATATCCAGTATCTGTGGTTCGTTTAGTGGGGAGGAAGTCATGGCATGACTGGCGATGCTTACTTTCTCTTTTCGAGGAAGTCGGTGTCGATATACTGTACATTGTCCAAGATCAGAATTTGGAGTAGATGGATGCGGACACGAGTGTTGTAGTGACGAGAATCGATTTTGCCGGAATGGACATGTTCATGGAGACATTGCGGACGATTGCAGTTGCCTCCGAATACGGTGTACATTAGACAGGGCGAGAACGCCTTGGTTTGTTTACACAACTCGTTTTCTTGTTGCACTTGAGTTCGAAGATAAGTTTTCAAAGTCACGTGATAGAATTCCCGCAGCTCGAAGCTATTGAGAACGAAGTCGCCTTGCGCAGATGCAGATACTGGATTGTTTCGAGAGCGCAGGGATGAATGAAGGAAGGTCCCTTCTCGGAGAACGAACTCGTTGTCGCCGAGACGAATTAATCCAAAAAGCCTCACTGCCAAGGATTGAGAGCACGGATCCACCCAGACGAACGCATTCAGCAGCTTGACGTATCGATAGAATAATTTGAGCTGTTGGGCGATGGATTCCACATCAAGCACCTGCATTCGGGGAATACGCTTGAAGTAGTGACCAACGCAAAGAAGGGCGGCGGCTGGATCGTTGGAGTCGAAATATTCCGAAAGGGATGCAAGTGCATTCAAATCAATCTTGCGCTGATGGAGTGCCTTGAACATAGACAGCTGCGTATGACATGAGTTGATGAAAATAGCAGTAGAGCAAAACAAACTTCATTGCGGTGCCTTTCAGACAATTGAGCAATGTCTGCTTGGGATGCGAAGCCAAGCAAAGTTTCCATCTCATGGTTGTCCTCCGAAGGAATGACGTTGAACGATGTGAGTTTCCACAAGGCTAGAAGAACACATTCAATGCCTCGACGAGTAGACGTCGGATTTGTGCGATCGCGGAGGAAAAGCTTAATGGCTTCAAAAGACCTGCCCTCCTCGAGATGAACTTCCGCTGCGTCCGAGTATCGACCCAAAGATTCGAGTAAGGTGGCTCGGGCAACGTCCAAACCACGATCTTCGAGGTACTCTAGTTGCTCTTCAAAAGACTCGAAAAGGTCTTGAGCCTTTCTGCACCACAAGTATCAATAGACATTTGCAGAGACTTGGTAAAGGGTTCTCACTCTGGCTTTTGCTCTTTGAAATAGTACAACCTCGCGACGTTGGTAACGCTGGTGAGCACTTCAGACTTGATGTCGCTCTTGTAGTTTTTGATGTTGTAGACAGCTTCGTCGAAGTTTCCGAGTTTGCGATATAGCTCAGTTGATCTGGTGAAATCCTTGGCTTGACGATAAACTTGTGCGGCGGCCAATTCATCACCCGCCTCCTCCAAGCATTGAGCGGCAATCCGAAAATAACCAACGTTCCCATCTTCCCGTGCACAATCCATAAATGCGTCGGCAACGCGACGAAATTCCGCCTTGCGGGCCTCTAAAGCACGACGATTAGGACCGTCGGGAAGCTTTCTGGCTTCCTGTCGTGCATAATATGCTCCAGCCATTGCCGCAAGACGAGGCATTTGTGCGCGTTCGAAGCAATGTTTTGATTGGCGATACCGTTTGTTGGCAAATAGTTTTCTTCCTTGGTCTTCCCACTCCTCCGCTACATGAAAATAAGAGGCTCATCGAAATGAACGAAACACCCGATAGACATACGCGTTGAAGACATGGCCAATCTAGGAGTGTCTTGGCCAGGCTGGAGGGTCTGTACTTGATCTCGACTTGACCATACGGTCTAATACTTGGTTGAGACCACTGCTTGACAAGTTCGAAATTAATGAAACTCACCCGCATCGGCTCGCCTTTGTCTGAGGTATCGGCAATCCAAACATTATTGCGCGCTCGCGTGATCGCAACGTAGAGGAATTTGAGCTATAAAATCCGCTCAGAAGACGCATAAATAGATAGTAATGTTGTAACCTCTACGCAAACACCAGCATGCTTGGCTTGATCGAAGGTTGGGGCAGCCTCGGCACGTTGTTCCTCGTCAATGGCGTTGAGGACCACTCGCCATTGGGCTTCTCCGACAGTAGAATCCTCAAAGAAGTTGTAAAGAAGGACATCATTAAACTCCAAGCCCTTGCTTTCGTAGAGTGTCCTGTGGTTGTGGATGAGAAAGTTTGATGACAAAGCTGGTCACATGACTGACATAATAAGCCCGATATCGCCAACCTGCTCCCGGAGTCTTTCCCTCGCGGCTTCGTCTCGCACTAGAATGCATTGTTGGGCCCCAAACTCGATGTAGCTCCCCCTGTAACCAGGTGAGCAGAGAAGTCACGCAGAAGTCTGATTTTGGACCAACTCTTTATCACCAAATAAGAACTGCTCATACTCGACATTGGATGAGTCAAAGCCTGTGAAAAAGACAGGTCGAAGACCATCAACAGTACCACGCTCTCTATCAAGAATATCGATAGCATATGGCCAAAACATGGTCATGATTTCGATGACGCTATGTGCACAATTGACGATCCCTGCGTGCGACCGATAGTTGACAGTAAGCTGGAATGTACGCGGTTGGAGCTCCGGCTGGTTGAATTGTTCCAGCTTATTTTGTGTCTTCCGGCGTCGTTTCTGATATGTGATGAGTGGAAGCTTAGGATCGCTAAAAGGAGCAGCTTACCTCAATGCGAAAGAGGAAGGCTTTCAGCTCGTTGAAACGGAAGGAACTGCCGACCGAGATCGTCTGAGCAGTATCTCCAGCCCAGAATAACCCGTTTGGGTTATGACAGATAGAGCGCAAAACTGTTTTGGAGTAAAAACATGAGCTCGAGCCTGTCAAATGGACGTACAGAGTGTGTCGATGAGGAGATTGTCTTGACTCTCGTCCACGTATAGGTAGTCAATCTTCTTTCCCGGAACACCACATTTATCAAGGTATCGAAGGATGGTATGAGTGCTACGATTTCATGAGCTCAAGTCCGGACTCTTTGAATTCGACCTACCGATCCGCTGCATCGAGGTCGCCGGTGGACTTTTTCAAGGTGCGATAGGATTCGAAGAGAGTGTAAATTAGCTCTCGTTGATCGGCGAAAGTTGATTGAGCACGTTCGCTCAAGGCAAGGTATGCTTCGCGTGTTAAAGCCATTGATTCACCTGACAGCGTTTCCTCCGAGCCCATAATGACACCTACCCACTGATTGAGTCTTGCGATGGCCAAGAGAGGAAGAAAAATTGTTACCTAAAAATTCACTGTAGACCATCGCCGGGTCTTAGAACGGGTAAGAAGGATATATGTTATAGCTTCAGGTGCTTACCGATTCCCTTGGTCAAAGATTGAGTAAAATGAGGCCAGTAACGCTGCAAAAATCGGTCGAAGGTGAGCCGATTTCCCAGCGGAGATGCGACTGAGACGGCGGAATCAGGTTTATTGTCCATGTCATTCTCGACCATCGAGGAAAGCTGAAATAGTATCAGCGCCACCCTTTTGCGAATCGGGGAGAAACCTTTAACAGACCTTTTCATAGGTCAAGAATAGCGGGAAATGTTCGTCCTTCAATTCACTGAAACGATCAGGCAAATCGTTGCGCCAACTGGGATCGTCATCGGCATCCATGAGGTCTCCGATATGATTGCCGCTATCGCTGCCTTTGGAAGACGGCAGAACCTGATACCCCACAGACAACTTCCTGTAATGTTCCTCCACCTTTTCCGCAAGGATGCGAGATTGGGTAACAAACAGTTGTCGTGGTTTAGATGTCGGAGCAGGCTCGTCTAGGGTATTGAGCTCTTCGTTGGATCTCTCATAATTTGCCTCGACAAGCACCATCTTGTAAAGCATCGTTGTCGTTTTACCAGTCCCACTGCGCCCGAGAACGTAACAGGAGTGGGGATGTTCAATGATATCCTGCTCCGTTGGTCTGAGAGAATGATTAGTGAAGTGATAACAGGAGGTAAAACGATCATGACACGCACGATACTTGAAGGATAAAAGCCGCGTCACGGTTCTTGAGAATTGAGTCAAGAAGTGGCTGAGAGAAGTGGACAGATTTCCTATGAAAAAAATTGTCAATGATAGGCCGTTCGCCAAGCGATAAACTCGCAATAGGAGTGCTTGTATCTATACAATGGACAAGGTGAATTAAGTACAAATAGAAATTGATGGGCAATACCTGCTCCAAATCGTCGGGAGGAAGGTCAGGAGCACAGCCTGTGGACACGGTCCGAGCTTCTTCTGGAGCAGGAAATATCCCCGGGGCAAAGACGTGGTCTCCAGCGTGGAAAGGTCGCTGTCGAAAAGCGCATCTTCCTTCAAATAAGTTCGAATCCTTTGAAAGCTGTGTGCCAACCTACCGCTCCCGATATTCCCTTCCCTTCTTGGCTAGTTCACGTCCCATCGTGTCCCAGAAGGTTACACGGCCAATTTGAGCGTGGGTATATATGCCGAAGATTTTGATAGCTGCAAACAATTAGAGGCCGTTGTAGAGAAGGAAATATCGTTTTACCCTGCCTTTCACTCTAAAGGAATATCAGAGTAATTCTATGTATATGAAAACACGTTGCATACCGAGGATTCATAAGCCGGGATGCAGTCGATTTGATACTGGTAAAAGTTACAGTACAGATATAAACCGGAAGACAACACTCACCACAAGCCTCAAGTCACCAGTCATCTTTGCCTCGTAAACAGGTACGTCAACTTGTTTGTGGTTGAGACGCTTCTGGTTGTCCGGAGAAAAGTGCCCGTTTGAAAGTTCTCTGCAGGTTACCGTTAGGAATGCATGTTTTCGGAATCGAGAGAAGACGAACTTGATCTTCTTGAGAATGATTTTAAATATTTTATGGTCGCGTCTTCTGTGGTCACGAAGGTCGCGTTCTGCTCGGGGAGAGAGGTTCATAGTCCACTCTCCGAGGCCTTTAGCGTTGTTGTTGTAGAAAGTGGTCCTTCGTGTCGCTGAGTATGAATGAAGAGTTGCCAGAGACAGGTACTCACAGCTTCATGGGCTGAGCAACGGGATACGACTCCTCCAATGGCTTGACATCGACCACGATTTCTTCCACTACCACGACTGGCTCCATGTTTTGTGTCAGTGATGGGACTACATCAACTGGTCGATCGAGCAAGCAAGCAGCGACCAATGATTGAGACAGTTCCGGACTCTGAAGTGCGGTCAAGTAAGTCTGCAGCAGGGTGGTCAGTGGCGAGTGCATGGTTCAACTTCAGATACTTGCATTCAAGATATTCTTTTGGCAGTCCAAAACCGCCCTAATAGCCACATAGACCTCTTCCGTCGTCGAGGGTGAAGCAACTCCAAGTCGATCGAGTGGCGAAAGGTCAATGACCACGCTTGCCTTTGCCGCCGCCTGCCTAGCCCTCTTCATCTGCTTTTGACTCTGCCTGATTGGCATGGTGCCAAATGATTCTTCTTCCGAGTTCCTGAGCGAAATCGACGACATCTTGTTCTTTAATGCCATGAGCAGCGCCGGAGCATCTTGAACCAGCTGTCTGTACTCTAAGCGTAATTGGTCACGCCGCTCGCCGACAACCCACTCTCCGTCAGGGAGGTCCAACACTGCACTTGGTGTGAACTGGAAGTAGGTCGCAAGGGTGGATAGGATGAGCCGGGGACACGATTCTGCAAAGGCATCTGGAGTCACTGGAAAATCGACTGCGTTCACGATCCACGCTTTGTCAACGCCTGTGAACTGCGTTGGTAAATGATGGTCAAATATAAAAAAGCCACACACGGGACAGAACTAGTCGTGCAACTGGGGGACGTTCAATGAGCACCACCGCTCGTATAGCGTCAAGCGCAGCCGAGGGCTTAGCGAAGAGAATCTCGTGGAAATCGTGCAAGATGCGGTCAACATCGCAGTCCGAAGAGGCCAACGGCTCAAAGAGTTGTTCAGGATAGTAGCGCTGAGGTGAGAACATGGGAGATAAAGAGGATGTGGCCTCGTGTGCGCCACGGAAGCATAAATATTGGCCAGCCTGCGGCGCAGACAAAGAGGCTTGTAAGAAGGGACGACTTATGAGGAGACCATGTTTCGGATGTGACAAGTCATCAAAGACATTGAAGACAGTCAAAAGATATTCGAATCTAACCTTCACTTCCTCCCTACTCAATAGTGGTACAGTCCAAGTACATATATGAAAGCGATACAAAAGCAAGAAATCAAAGCAATAACAGTCCGCTGAAATCCTAGTTCCAGTTGCCGCCCCACCACCGTTTTATCCTTTCGCCTCCAAACTCCTCGTATTCCGCCAGGCTTATGGCGCTTTGTGAAAAGTCCGGCTGCTGGGAAAACCTGGCCATCCCTCGCCATGCGTCAGAACTAACATCTTTGGCGCTAAATATTTGAATCGGCATCTCTGGAGGTAGAATTGGTCGCAAGGCAGTTTGCAACCGAGGCACAAGACCAGTGAATTGTGCTGGCCCACCAGTCAGGAAGACATTCTAGTTCCATGAACAGTCAGGATGGTGTGTGGTGAGGGTTATAAAATTGTACCTTGACAAGCTTTCCTTTCTCTTCGTCGCTAAATCGAGCAAGGATATTCTGGATGACTTCTCCCAGTCCAGCGGAGTCGACACCAGCCATACCTGGGGAAAAGTAGGTCTCGCAAACTCGCCAGCGCTCCGTGTTCAGATGAACTCTACAGGAGCCCGGAACATCGCCTTCCTCGTAGACTGGCCGGAGGGTGGAGATGAGTTCGGAACGCTTTGAGGTAATTGACGCATGTGTGTGGTGGAGCGTGAATGTGGGGTCATGAGTGAGGAGTTTCGATTCGACCATTTGTAATTGTAACATATCCTCTTCTTCGTCGTCCGAAGGAGCAGCTATGTTCTGCATGGAATTAGTATCATTCAAATTAGCAGGTTCAACGTACGATCTTCCGATAAATGGCCCAGTCTGCATCGTTTGCTCCGAAGGTGTCCTCTGTAGTCGGTTAGTGTCATGGATTAACGTAATTGGACATTAACCTCCTCCAGCTTTCCGTTTCTTCTTTGGCATCCGCTCATCAGCCGCTAGACTAGCGATATTTTTCATGCGTGCTTGAGCAGCGGCACTTTTCCTGTCACTGAGAGCCGCTTTTCTGCGCTCTCTATCTTTGATTTTCGTCATCAAGTTCTAGACCAAAGGTTAATGGCTGTTTCGGATATGAGGTAGTAACGAACTTCTTGCTCTGTGCGCATTTTGCGTACCCATCTGTCCAGATCGTCTTGTCGCTCCTCCTCCTCCATTCTATCAACCCGCTCACGTTCTTCGCGCTCCTTTTCCTTCTCCTTTCTGGCTCGAGCTCGAGCTTCCGATCCAGCCTTCAAGAGTTTTTGCTTCTTTTTTTCTTTCAGACCCTCTTCGTCCAGCTGAAAAAAGAACATTATAAAATTGACAACACGCTCATAAGGCAACCTCACCTGATCATCTGGAACGTCTAGTAGAGGATACGTGGGCTCTTCAATCTCTTCTACTTCCCCGACTGCTTCCTTTCTGCGAGCTTTCTTCACATCGTTCTCGAGTTTCTTGATTGCTTCGTCCAGGGCCGCATCGTCATCGAAGCCCTCTGTTTGTAATTTGTACTGTTGAAATATCATTTACGGGCATTGAAAGAAAAAAGAGAAAAAAATCATACCGCCCATTCCCTTTTGGTATCGTCTGCCTTACCCTCACGCAGATTCACAAGATACTCAAGGTCGTTCTCCTTCTGCGCCAACTTCTCCGTGCGCATCTTCGCAGCCATCTCCTGCAACTTTTTCCCTTGCTCTCGCCTCCGCTCTGCGGCTTTCTCCAACTCTTCCGGCGACTTTTCTTCGGTCAGATGTAGGGCGAAAGGGAACTGAATAATTCGGTCTGCCCGTTGGAGGGCTGTGATGGAATTGAGCGAGCGGATCAACGCAGGGTAATCCGGCGCGAACTCGCAGAAGGTGTGTAACATCCACTGGGATTGCGAGGGAGTTACTCGGGTTGGAAAGTTGTTGTATTTCAGTTGTATCAGTTTGAGGAGGTAGTCTGCGGACTGAGACGCGCCCCATGGGATACGTTTGGCGTGGCTTAAGATTCCTTTGCCTCCAAGAACGGGAATGACCGACGTAGACGCGTTGTTGAATGAAAGGACCAGGCCGTCTTGATTGAGCCCGTTGTTGTGGTAGAAGGACATGACCGCATCAACACAGTAGGTAACAGACTGCGCTCGGTATTGCTCAAAAAGCAGTTCTGAGGTTACTGAGGGCGTATTAACCCCGATGAGAAATATAACGCGAGGAGTTAACTTACATGACCGAGAATGTATGGGGGAGCAGAGACGCTCAGACATTATAATCGGGTGGTCCACTGTGGCCGTATTAACGCCGAGTTGAATGAAGACACAGTCTAATGCGTTTTCCTGCGTCGTTTAGACCATATGCAGGAGAACATAACGACCCACCAAAGCATCAGAATTGAGCAGTATGTCACCCTCCCATGGTGTCCTTGCCTGAATCTTTGCCCCACCCTCAACATCTACTCCGTCTCCAAAGAGTAAAAGAGGCTTGTTCGTTCGACGTTCTTTATATTTTGCTATTACATTCAGGGTTGAGCGAGGGTTTGGCGAGGTACAGAAGCCATATCGCAGCGTTGTCGCGCCATTGTCAATGGCTATCGGGGTCTGTGCATCGCGGTAGTCGTCGTAGGAGTCAGGAGCAGGTAGAGTTGGCGGTGAGGGTGAAGGGACGCGTGTAATGAATGGCTCAGAGTCGACGTCCATGTCGTCACAGCGTGACATGGATGACTTCAACCACCAGGTCGCCATAAAGCTTTCCCGAGCCCTCAACACACTAAATCCCAACGACTTGCTTGCTCAAAGAGTAGCGGACATTGCAAAGAGCAATTCTGTTGCTGACTTTATTACAGGTGGGCAGTTCTGAACCACGACCTGGCAGGTAGCTCACTCACCTTATCATAGCCGCTCGCAGCTTTGGGAAATTCGAGGATTCCTTTCTTAGTGAACTCCACGGAGAAATTATCCTGCATGAAAAGGGTATCGCCCCCAAACCCGTCGAGGGAATAACCGTGCATGACTCGGATGTTCTTGAGCCACCTCCAGCTCGACCAGGTGGACTTATGAGGCCAGATACAGTGCGTGCATCGTCCCAAAGTGATATTTGCTCTAACTTTATTCAGCGGCACACCTTCAAGCAACCTGCAAAACCACTCGAGCCACCAACTCCTCGCGCGTCTATCCTTGGTCTCGACCGACTTGCTCAAGAAAAACGTGCAGCTGCAGCTGATGGTAACTCGGAAGGGAGCCGCAAGCGGCCCCGTCTCGATAATGGCCCGGAGCCTGTTTTCAAAAGTGCGTCAAGCAAGCACTGTTCCAATTTAACAAATTTAGTCTCATGGGTTATATAGTTCCCAATCTGCCGATTCGCAACGATAATCAGCGTCAACGAGGACCAGAAACACCTTCTCATTCTGGAGGCTTATCAGACACGGCACGAAAACGACTGAATGAACACAGGCGAGAGAAACAGCGAGGTACGGTAAATGTTAAAATCAAAAGTAACCTAATAGTTCATCAATGTAGAGGGTATAACTGCTGCCAACGAACGCAGAGAAGACGCCCAGAAAGGACTTGGAGACTTCCAGAGACGGTCAAATCGTGACCGAGATCGAGGCTGGGGTCGACGACAGTCTGAAAATTGGCAACAACAACCACAAAATCGTGGATGGGACTCCACACCTCGTTCTGTGCGGGGAAATGGTGATGCACCAAGTGTTCGCGTTCCAAATGTTGGCTGGGATTCCACACCACGTCGTTCAGGGGATGATGGGTCAGGCTGGGGTAGTGCAGCCAATCGACGTTGGGATGCAACACCGCGAAATGTTCGCGAAGGAAGTCCCGACAATGCTATTGGGCTAGATGCACGCGAATGGGAGGAGGAGCAAATCCGACTGGACCGCGACTGGTATTCTGGTGCTGAGGAGGGTGGGATTGCTGGAGACGAGGAGCACAATCCTTTGGCCCAATATGAGGATCTGAGTGCGTTGAAGAATGCAGAGATTGCCACCAAACAAGTGGTGAGCTTAAATAGCACGATTGGTTCATGCAAGCTTAACCCTTCTCCAGAAACGAATATCTGCAAAACAAGCGCAATATGTTGGTCCCCCTCATTGTATTTACCAATAATCTCACCAATCGTTAGAATGCGGACAACGACCTTTGGGAGGCCAATCGTATGGTTACCTCTGGCATTGCCACCCGGAAGGGTGTCGACGAAGATTTTGAGGACGAATCTGAATCTACTGTGCATGTGATGGTACACGACATCAAGCCACCATTCCTCGATGGCCGTACCGTTTACACCAAGCAACTTGCGCCAATTAACCCTATCCGCGACCCGACCAGTGATCTAGCTGTCTTTTCTCGCAAAGGCAGTGCGCTGGTCAAAGAAAAGCGGGAACAAGCCGAACGAGCAAAGGCGGCCGCCAAAATTGCTGCGATTGGTGGGACAGCACTGGGAAATATTATGGGTGTTAAGGACGAGGAGGCGGAGGCTGTTGGTGAGTCAATCCTTACCAGATCTTTCGGAGTCTGGACATTCACGAAGTTTTCTTTGTTTTTTACCTTCAGCGGAAGAGGAACGGAAGGAGCAAGAGGCAAAAGCAAATGGCGAGAGCGTCAGCTACCGTGGCGAATCAAAGTTCGCCAGTCATTTGAAGGCGTCTTCCGGCATTAGCTCCTTCGCCAAAACTCGTACTTTGAAGGAACAACGGGAGTATCTTCCCGCATTTGCCAGTCGCGAGGAGCTACTGAAATGCATCCGGGAAAACCAAGGTGTGTCTGTTTTGTCCTCCAGAAAAATAGGGTCTAATGAGTCAACAGTGGTTGTTGTCATCGGCGAGACTGGCTCGGGTAAAACGACCCAGTTATCCCAGTTCTTATACGAGGACGGATATTGCCAATACGGTTTAGTTGGATGCACTCAACCTAGACGTGTTGCAGCTATGTCTGTTGCGAAGCGGGTGAGTGAAGAGATGGAGGTATGTCCATCATACGACTATCTAATTTGGTTGCTAACTCTGGCTAGTGCAAATTGGGTACTACTGTGGGTTACGCAATTCGTTTCGAAGACTGCACAACAGCAGAGACGAAGATCAAATGTTGGTTGATTTTTCGTGTTGTGCCATCTGATCTGATGATTCTGATCGCAGACATGACCGATGGTGTACTTCTTCGCGAGTCTCTCAATGAAGGCGACCTCGACCGATACAGCGTCATCATCCTCGACGAGGCACACGAGCGATCCTTGAACACAGATGTTTTAATGGGCTTGCTTCGTAAAAGTGCGGTATCACATGCCCAATCTTGTCGCTCTAACTTGCTCTCAAGTTCTGTCCCGACGACGAGATCTCAAACTCATTGTCACATCTGCTACGATGAATGCAGAAAAGGTCATCTCGCTGAACCATCCATTTTCTCGTCGCTGAAACAAATGCAGTTCTCTGACTTTTATGGGAAGGCGCCTTGTTTTACAATTCCCGGACGAACATTCCCCGTGGAGTTGTTCCATTCTAAGTCGCCTTGCGAGGACTATGTCGACAGTGCCGTCAAACAAGTTCTCCAAATCCACCTGTCCAATCCCCCAGGCGATATTCTCGTGTTCATGACCGGACAAGAGGATATCGAGATCACGTGTCAAGTCGTGAACGGTAACCACCTTCCCCTCCCTTTTGGACCTGGATATTATACTGACTCCGGTTGCAGAACGTCTGTCGCAAATGAAGGAACCTATTCCGCTGGCGGTCCTGCCCATCTACTCTCAGATGCCGGCAGATCTTCAAGCCAAGATTTTTGACCCGACACCGGATGGACGAAGAAAAGTTATCGTCGCAACCAACATTGCCGAGACTTCGTTAACAGGCATGGAGCACATCCACTTACTTTCAGTTTCTCATATTTACTTTTAGTCGACGGTATCCTCTATGTCGTCGATGCGGGTTATTCAAAACTCAAGGTGTACAACCCGAAAGTGGGTATGGATGCCCTGCAGATCACACCCATTAGCCAGGCCAATGCCAATCAGCGCAAAGGACGTGCAGGGCGGACGGGTCCGGGGTTCGTATGGTTTTCATTTTTTCAGATGGACGTTGATGGTAGCTTTAGATATTGTTATCGGTTATACACCGAGATGGCTTTCATGCATGAGCTGTTTGAGAGCACGATTCCCGAGATTCAGCGGACGAACTTGGCCAATACTGTACTCCTTCTCAAAGGCCTTGGTGTCAAGAACTTATTAGAGTTTGACTTCATGGACCCGCCACCCCAGGTAAGCTGTTTCATCGGCTTGCCACGATTACTGACGCAGTTTTGGTAGTCCAATATCTTGAACTCCATGTACCAACTATGGGTACTCGGCGCCCTCGACAATGTTGGCGACCTGACACCTGTGGGCCGGAAGATGAACGACTTTCCGATGGACCCTTCCATGGCCAAGATGCTCATTGCTTCTGTGGAGTACCAATGCTCTGCGGAAATGCTGACCATCGTCTCGATGCTGTCTGTTCCCAGTGTGTTCTATCGACCTAAGGAGCGAATGGAGGAGGCCGATGCTGCGCGCGAGAAGTTCAATGTTCCCGAGAGCGATCATCTCACCTTGTTGAACGTGTTCAATCAGTGGAAGAGCCATGGGTGCGTTGTTTGTCATACTGAGAGGACCTGCTTATTTAGTTGATATAGGTACCGAGACGAGTGGTCTATGCGCCACTTCCTGCACCCAAAGCTTTTGCGCAAGGCGCGGGAAGTCCGGACCCAGCTGGAGGACATTATGAACTTCCAAAAGATGGCGTTGATCTCGGCTGGGACGGATTTTGATGTCCTGCGCAAGGCGATTGCGGCTGGCTATTTCCATCAAGCGGCACGGGCGAAAGGCATTGGCGAGTTTGTCAACATCCGGTCTGGATTACCGTGTCATCTCCATCCTACAAGCGCGCTGTATGGGCTTGGTTGTAAGTTTGGGGCGTCTCGTTGTCTGTCGATGTGCTAATATAATCTAGACACACCACCATATGTCGTATACCACGAGCTCATCCTAACATCAAAGGAGTACATGACGCAGGTAACCTCGATTGACCCATACTGGCTAGGTTCGTTTGACTGATACCGTCCCTTGCCTTTTTACTGATGTGCTCCAGCTGAACTTGGCTCTGTATTCTACTCCGTCAAAGAGAAGAACTTCGACGAGCGGGGAAACCGGCGTCATGCAGACCGCGAGTTCTCGCGCAGAGCCGAGCTCGAAACTGAAATGGCGCGGCAGCGGCAAGAGTGCGCACCTGCTCTTGCTTTCGTGATTCGTTGCTTATAGTTTCCAGGAATGCTCGCAAGGAGGCGGAAGCTATTGAGGCAGCTGTCCAAGCAAGCAGCAGCCGCTCGCAGATCATCGTCCCCGGGACACCAAGACATACCGGCATCGGCGCTGGACAACGCGTGACGCAAACGCCGCGAAGGAAACTGGGTGGATTCTGAAGCACCTTTATATAACCAAGGCACACAAAATAGAAACCTATTACGTGCCTTTTTTTCCTTGAAACAAACCATGTTTTTGCACTCGCGGCGAGCTTATATACGGAGGATTGACAAGGGAAATATGTCACAGCGATGGAGCATGGCATGGGAAGGCCTTTGACTTGTCCGAACGCGCTTGAACGCGTTCAAAGGCGAGGCGCGTCAATCTGTTGCTAACCACGTGCAATTACCCTCCCCATCAAATTGCCTGATCCATTCTTGTTGGTGTCGCATCTCCGCTGTTGGCGTGTGCCGTGGGCATGCTGTCATCCTCTCGGCATTGCACCAAGCCTGCTTATCGAGCACATCACGACAAGTACATTCTGGCTGGCTGGAACGGTCACTGGCACTTGTCGTTACCTCTAGAACTTGACCCTCCTACTTACGACCATGACAGACTCGACGACATCTAGTAAAATCTCCATAACCATCAACTTCGTTCCTCCCTCCACCGCAGACTCCGACCCCGCATTAGTAACACGTGTAACCGAAATTATCAACGCAGCATACGCAACGGAAGCAGACTTATTCATCGAAGGCTACCGCCGCGTCGACGAGGAGGGTGTACGCCAGATTATTCGCGCGGGGGAGCTCATCGTTGCGTACGGGGAGAATTCTCTGCCTGTTGGCTGTATCCGCCTATCGCACGTGCCCAAGGTCTCGGAAAGCGACATCGACGCATACGAGCTGGGTTACTTGTCGGCCGACCCATCGATGAGAGGCGCAGGAATCGGCAAGGTGCTTGTTACCTTCGTAGAAGGGCACTGTCGGCGCAAGGGAATGCAGGAGATGCAACTAGCGCTGCTGGTCCCGCTGTGGTTTGGCGAGGGTGGGCATCCCTTCAAGAAACGCTTACACGAGTGGTATCTGCGATTAGGCTACCGGGTAGTGAGGGCGGAGTCCCTCACAAAGAGTTACCCAGCTCTGGCGGCGCAGTTGAGGGGCGAATGTGAATATAAAACTTATAGGAAGACATTGTAATCCGCCTTCAAGTTGGATGTTGCAAATAAGTCTTTTATTTGAACACAATAAATAGTGGGTTCAAGACAATGCTATGTCAACTTCTCGCTGTTTCCTTCAACTGCATGATCATCTGAGCATGATCTGAGGGATCCAGTTCAAACGTTTACGGGACGCGGCTGGCTAAAGGAGAAGACGGATGGCATTTATGGAAACACTATTGGGGTTCAGTATTTCGAGAACACTAACATTGACCCTGAATACTAACCTTGACCAACTGCTCCATGTCTGTGACCGCTCACCGACGTTTGAGGCACGAGCGCAGCGGCAACGGCCCCTCCCGCATCACAGCATGGCAACGAGCCACCGGAGGAGGTATTGGTGTGCGTTTACGACGGAGCGGGATGTACGAGTTTTCGACCTTCACGTCAAGCGCTAACTGCGACAACAGGGCGGCGAAGGTGGGGAGGTGGGTCATGCATTCATCGCGTTCGGGCATAGCGGGGTAGGTAACGACTCTCGTGTTATAGTAGATGAGGTTGTCGTCGTTGAGACCGCGGTAAGTAGGCATGACTGATGATTTGAGTGGTTTGTATGTGTGGATGATGGTGGTTTGGGTGAGAAAGGGTGTCCAAGAGGTGGGTGGATTTTATAGACGAATAGGTATGTCTCGCGGATGCATTGCGGCTTGTATCTCAGCATTGCCATCACACCCCAGACTTGCCCCCACAGCCGCGGAGGTTTAAGACACCCCTATGTCTCATCGCGCGGGATCAGCATCCGATTCGTCGAGGAGATAGCTGATGAGTTCTTGAACCACACGAACATTGACGCTGTTGCCGATCAGGCGATACTTGGTCTTGCGCGAGATCGTTGACGGCCAAACAAACTTGGGCGGAGTATGAAGAGGAGAGAACGCAAAGAGACGGAGTAATTCGTTGGGGGAAAAGTATCTCAGTCGAAGTGGATCAAGTGTTCGAACAGTTTCGTTATGGGTAGACTTTTGTGCGAGGAATGCGTCGAATACGGTCGTTGTCTGCAATGAAAATCAGAACGAATCAGGACACCAAAAGAGCCGCATACATCGAGTTCTTCGTTCAATTGTAATATAGAGCCAGCCCTTTCGACAAGTTGTGTGTAGCCCCGAGTAAAGCAGCACGTCCGCTGAGAAGAGGGGAGGACAATGTCAAATAGCCTCCCCCACTTGAGTAAGACCTTGTCGGGAATAGCACAGTCCTCATCGATTTCTCCGTCCAGATACTCTCGAATTTCGCCCACATCCACCCAAGGCTCCTCTTGCCCTCGACCAGGGATGAAGCGCAATGGCTTTGATCCAAATTGATTCGAATGGCTAAAAGCGTATGGTGATCGTTTGGCTAGTAGATAGTATCTGAGACGGGAGTTGGGAATGCCGAATTGTAAGGGGGTCAAAAGGAATTCGGCTGTTGTATAGCCCAGTTGCTGCAGGGTGGAGACGAGCACCTGACGCGTAGTGGAGGTCTGTAATCTGTCAGGCATGTAGACAGAATGGTGAGGGATTCTCACCTCGAACCCAGCAACGTTTTCGACCAGGAAATGTGTCGGATGCGCGTTCCGAGTGGCCAGTTCCGGAAGAATGTTTCTCACAAGATGCAAGAACGACTGCGCTCGTGGGTCGAGCTCCCCCTTTGCTTGTGGGTTGAGGACAGTATACGGTTGGCATGCGGGAGAAAGAAGCCATAAAGAGGCATTCAGTGAAGCAAGGTAGTCCGCAGACAGAGTCGATATGTCTGTCTGCATCGTTTTAAGTGAGCTCAAGATGCCATGCTATAAGATCACTCACCTTGCGGGCAATTCCAAGCCCGAAGTTGGCTGAGTACACCTCGCAGGCAGTCCTATCCCAATCGAATGCATGAACAACATTCGCGTCGACTTTACTCCGCTCCAGCGCTAGGTGAAGCCCACCTGAGAAGATTGAGTGTGTATTCTGGGAAGAAGCGGATATACCCGACCTATTCCACTGTAAAATTCGAGTCCTCTCATGAGAACATAGTGGTATCAGTTCATGATATGATTGTCGTCACATCAACATTTCCGAGACTCAAGTTGCTCAAAACTGTCATGGTTTCCTATTTGCGCAGTTGTGAAGCTCTCGTGGGGGGGATTCTTACAATGCTCAGGCTCTCGCTACCTTGCAACTCAAACGCGAAGACATGTGTTGCTGCTATAATCCGTCGCGAAATATGGCATGAGAAATTCATACTCCCTTGACCTCCTACTCTCATCTCTATTGCCCTGTTTTCCATGATTCTGCCGGGCCGCGCCGTCTTCAAGCGTCAAATAGTTCAAGGACTTCTTTCAGCAAAAAACCAGGTCCAGCCGTGCGGTATAGACCTCTCGCTGAAACGCGTCCTGGCGTGGACATCCGCTGGTGTCGTCGATTTTGACAACAAGCACCGAAAGACTGCGATTACGAGGGAGATTCCGTTTGAGCAAGCCCTCGACTCATCGGAGTTGCGCGTCCACCTTGTCCCCGGTGCATATCTCGTCGAGTTCAACGAAACCATCGACGTGCCGTTGGATGTGATGGGCTCGCTCTTTGTCCGCAGCTCACTGTTCCGGTCCGGGGCACTGGTCACTGCGGGGGTCATGGATTCTGGGTACAAGGGAGCTATCGGCGAGTTCACGAGTTTGGAGATAGTTTCTTGGTGTCCTGATGACGTTGCTTTAGGCGGGATGTTACAAGTCGCAAACCCGCACGGTATTACGCTCTTCAAAGACGCAAAGCTTGCGCAGTTTGTATTTCACCAGATGAAGGAGAAGGTGCGCTCTCCTTTCTAAGCTTTAGCAGAGACCAACTTTTGATAATTTGAAGGTCGAGGGTTACTCTGGAGTATACCAAAACAAGGCCGCCATGTAGACTCTTTCCCGTGGATGTAATCACCGAGCTGCATGAAACATTTGTCGCCGTTGTCAGTGGGGCATATTGAATATCTCATTGACCGACCTCTCCAAGTGCCATGGCAAAAGCATTATCCTCAAGGCATGCGTCACAATGGTACTTCTTCCGGTGGTCGTCTTTCGCGTTGTGGGTGGGGCAGTAACGTGGACAATGCGGACCCACACCCGCTTGCCGTCCATGACCACCGTTCGGGGCGTCATCAACCGCCATACCAGCAAAAGAACGCGGCTGTAGTTACTAGTTTTATACGGTCGTTGTTTTTAATGAAGTTCACAAGAAATTGAAGCAACACGAAGAGTTTCTCACATCAACTTCTTCGTGTATTTCCAGTTTGTAGGATAAGACCAAATGAACTACAGCAACAGTTGAGTACTGGGCCAAAAGTACGCCTCGGTCCCAGTTGACGCCAAATTGAAATTTGAATGACCCGGAACTTGAACCAGAACAGTTGCATAATAATAATAATAATAATAATAGGCTTTAAGTTCGCTGGGTGAAGTCCACCTGAGAAAGCTATGATAACTCCCCACTCTCGAAGATGAGGAGAGTACTCATTGCCCACCGATTACGCTGTACTAGCAGAATTCAGGTGCTCATGGCAAATTCGAACACGATGGTTCAGCTTACTACTAGTATCGTCACATCAATATTTTTTGCTGTCCCCCACGATGGTCTCCGATGCTGACCGTCTACGCATCGCGATAGTGAGGCTACCACTCGTTGTGGAATAATGCTTACATATCCTAGGCTCTCACTGCATTGAAATACAAACCAAAAGACGTGTCTTGCGCGTGTAATGGGCCACCGACAAGCTGCCTCGTTTTCTGACTTCGGCTATAGCTTACGTTCTGCAACTGCGAACGGTCTTCCCGGCGTCCCAACCTGCTCCTCCAACATCGGATGGGTCGTGGCGGACACATGCATTGTCGCTGGAGAAAGAGATGGTCGACTTGAAGCAAAAGTATGACGCGGAGCGAATCAGTGAGTGGCAAATCGAGATAGAAAGCTTGCTCAATCCATTTCAGAGAGTGCTGGTATACTGTCTCAACCGTCCTCTTCAACAGAGCCACCAAGTAGCAATCCGTTAACAACCACTACCAAGAAAAGGCCGAAAAAGAAATCTCAGTCCGACAAGATGAATTCAGTTAGACCGAAGCTTGAAAGCATTCGTGAGTACTATCATTCTGGTAACTGGGACGCGTTTAATACGATTTCAGAGGTAGAAATAGCTACAATACCGGGTTCAGCATCGTTGTTCTCGAGCCTTTCCTCGTTCCAGCAGCTAACCACTTCTCTAAACGTCGACGAAACTACTCCGGCCCAACGGTCTCTGCTCTTGCGTACGACCCAACTTGTCATCTCAGGCATGGCCGACTTTCTCCAGCCGATTCTTACAAGCTCAACTTTGACTGTCGCCTCCCAATCCACAACGCTCCATCGTTTCTCTGATCTCATGTCCCAGTTGTTGTCGACTACCCTTCCTATTCTCATCCGTAGACCGACTACCGTCTCCACTCTAATGAACAAGCTGCTTGACTGTATGATATCGTCAATATTTACGCCAATAATCCAATCTTTCATTCCTCTCTGCGATCGTTTTCTGTCCGACCTCTTCCCCTTGAGGCCAACCGAGTCCATTCCAGCAGACCTCCGTCCCGCCGTGCTTCAACTCTTCCAAAGCTCGTTCACATCACTTGTTTCGACACCATCTGCATTCCAGCATAACCTTCGCAATTCCCTTGCGCTTACAACAGTGACCCAGCTGCAAACACTCTTTCCTGCCCCCGCTTCCGCCAAAACCCACATTAGTCGCGTCAGGAGTCTGGCGCGCAAAGACGCGGTCTCCTATCTCTGCACAACGCTACATCTTCTTTTCGCTTCCCCCGCTTGCTTCCCCGTGCCTGTAACAACTCCGGAGGAGGCACCAAACTCGTTTGAGCAGCGGATTACGGACGGTCTAACCAAGATCGTCCGCCAGTGTCGTGTGCCGGCGAATGAGGCGAATTCAGGCGCCGAAATTGTTGACGAAGTCGAGCATGGGATGGTCCTCGGCGTTCTGGAGGAGTATTGGAAGTATTCTTCTACTGTGCAATGACCTTTCTCGGCGCTTACAGTAGTCTGCTAAAAAACACGCCGTGACGTGGAATCGTGTTCCTGGAGACGACTCCTGCCTCAACGCTGTGATAGAGTCATGACGACACTTGCTTCAACTTGCGCAATTTCCCTGATTGAGCGTTCTAAGTCCACGGCAATTCTAACCACGCTCTGCTTCCCCTGACCTCGCTGACAGCGAAGCGCGCCAGTCGTGCGCCTACACGTAAAACACATCTTCCCAAAATCGTTGCTGTTCTCCCTGATCGTGACCAGGGACCATGCTTAACTGACTTGGAAGCTTCTCCCCGAGAATACCGTCGTCAGGAACTCACTAGCGAATCGGACTTGCTTCTCGACAAGCCCTTTGCGCTAGCTTCCAGGTGCCCGAAAGCGCTCGTGCCACTCAAGTTACAGCCCGATCTTCTTTCTCCATCGTACAATTCTAGCGCAATCGTTGTCAGTGAAGCTCACATCCGGGGAAGCGCAGTAAGTGGATTAGTTTGCCTCTGGCTTCGCGATGACCAGCGCATTCACAGGTTGTCCGCGTCGACGCGCTTGATGGAGTCGACTTCAGCGCATCACGATAGGCTGTGGCGATGAGACCAGAAGCTAACCGGGTCTACGAAGTGCCTCGCTACTAACATAAGTACTCAACATGCCAGCACCGTTGGACACGGGTGTACGCTCTTCCCCTGGCGCTGCGACCTCAGCGGCCCGCCGGCGGCGACATCCGCTCAATGCTATCTGAGCTCGGCGCACCTGCCAGTTAGCAGTTGTAACGGCAACTCAATTCCACTGCTCGGGCCTTCCCTTCTAGCTACCTTCTCGGGTATCCGACCACTATGCTCCCCTTTCCTTGCGCTAACGGAGGTGCGCCGCCAGACATGTCCGCTCCAATCGATTCGCCGCCGCCGCCGCCGCCACCCTCGCCTTTTGTGAATCCGCCGGCGCGCCCCGATTGCACAAAGCTTTCTGTCCAAAGTTCTGGCCATGAAGCGCTCATCTTGCGCTCAAGCGCAATTGCTGGCTAGTCAAATATACGGCCGCCGACTGACCTCGTCGTTCAATAAGTAACACAACAAGGATTACACTCAGCAAGCAAGCTAAACTAGGGATGTTTAAGTTGCTTTCATTGCAGTCCTTGCAGACCATCTGTTTAGCAAGGTTAACGTTATGCGCCGCTCCGAATGGTGGCGGCATCCTACGTACTTGCGGGCCGCCGCACGCCACGGGTTTCCCGCGGCTATGAGCGCCCTACCAGCCACACGACGGGTGCTACGAGCTCAAGTTGAAGTATGACTTTGCCCGTGCCATGATTGCACTGTCCTTTCTGCGGATTACTTGCCGCTTGGGTGTCATCTGTACCCTCTTGGGAAAATCTCCTCGGAATGCCGTAGCGACACACAGTGAACAACCGCAGATCGGGGGTGCTTCTCCAACACTCTAAATTCGACATCGGGCAACTTCAAGCTTAGAATTGCAGCCGTGCCGTCGTAAGAAGTAGCTAATTCTTACACTCAGGAGAAACGATGAATCAAGTACTCCAATCCGGGTACACCGTCCCAGCCACCCCGCAAGCCGAACTTCAGCACGTGCACTGCCCGCCGGGCTGGCATCGGATTTTCGTCGGACGCGCGCAATTCAGTGCCGGTCGCCGTTCGGCCGTAAGTAAGCGCACGCCGTCGGCCCGGCATGTGCGCGATGCGTACCGCGACGTCGGCTAAGTAATCTACACGAAACGCCCATGGGTGATGGTGATGCGGTGATGGCTCCCAAGGCCGCCAGCCCGGCACGCGAATCGGGGCGCGCGGATTGGCTGCGCGGACGGCGATGTTGGAGGGAGGTGACGGCAGCTGAGGGGCTGAAACGAACAGCAAGGCTGAATCAGGCTCAGCGGAGCCAAAAGGTAAGTACGTACTTACACGTACTTTACAGGTATTGCGGCTGGCCGCCGGGCCGCTCATCGGATGGATAGGTGCATTCGGCGAAGTCCTGGAGCATGACGCCAGCCTGACCGCATTATCAGCCTTTCGAGCGGTGTGTTCGTTCGTTTGTGTAGCCCGGCCGAAGCACTTCTTGCCCTCAGCCAAGGCGAACTCTCCAGCGGTTGTTCCCACGCGCGGCTAGCGGCTCGCGGGCATCAACCGTTCGACGACGTGACACTGCGCTAAGCGCTAAGCCACCATCGCTGTCGCCGTCGCCGTCGACGCTGCCTCCGTCCTTCCGCGCCGAGCCCGAGTCCGCGGGTGGCGCACGCGTGGGCACTCGCAACGGGTCGGCTCCACTCGGACGTTCGGCCGACGGCTGGTATGCACGTCTTCCTCCGGCCGACTGGCGATTGCTGGCTTGCTGGTGATCGCCCCCGGACGGAGCTGACCCCAGGCCCTTGCCCAAGCGCTGCTCCACTCCACCGCGTCTTCCCGCCCTGGCTCGCGATTTCTCCGGACTTCAGGCCGCGAAACGACTTGCGAAACTCTCCCTGCGAACGCCAAAACCAAACTGCCATACATATGCATGGCCATGGCCACGCGAGCGCCACTGACCGCATAACACATGCGCGCCTCCAGATCACCGCGTTTCTGATATGGACTGGCGCAGGGAGGACGAGCAGGGATCGATACGTATCGGCGGAGGTCGCCTCTTCAAGCCTGTGATTCCTTCGCTCTCAGTTGCTGCCTCACAGCCTGTTCCCTAGATTTGTTCTTTCACGGACTCATCACGCTTGGACCGTTGATTCCCTCCGTCGCTTTGCACCCGCGGCCGCAGCACATCGCGACTGCGACTCGCGATGGCGATGCTACTCCTGTGCCATGGATACGGCGTCGGCCGACGCGGCCGCGGCGGCGCATCACGGCCCGACGGAGCCATATCATATCTTGCCGGTCGTCGTCGTCAGGCAGATAATTCCGCGGAGGCGATAACGACGCCTGCAGCAAAGAGTCAGAGAACACAGGTAGATCAGGTCTTATTTTGGCGGCCTGCCAACTTGACTGCACTCGGACAGACGACATTCAGGCCCGCGGACACTGGGGCGGCCAGGACGAATACAGAGAATTAAATGGGAGAGATAGAGTTCGACTGACGCGTACGCAATTAAACTTTCAACTTCAACTCCATCTCTGACGGACACTGTACTCTATGACATGGGTCCGCGGAGACCTCAGGCTGTCGCTGCTGCCGCACACGTCCATCAGCAACTGCGCGCTAAACCGCGTCGGGCGGGCGGGGACATTCAGCCGCATTCAATGGTACACACTGCTGATCGTGATACGCCGTGTGCAGCCTGGGGCGGGACTAGTCCCAGTCGGGGCGGCTCCCTGGCAGGCGTCGGCGCCGCGGACCCCGATCGAGGGCGTTCTCCGCCGACCCGCCGACGAATTTTATCGTTCGTTCACTCGGGGAGCGTGACGGGGCGGCCGAATCCCGATGCGCTAGGCCGACTGGGGCAGCTGCAGCGCCCACACGCGACATTGCGCTCAAGAGCTCGCCGCGGCGGCAGGTTCCCGCGGTTGTTGCTTACTTATTGCGTTCATCACCTCTGGCAGGTCGATCACTGGCATGCGCGGAACCAGATTGCTTGCAATTGCGCGTTCTGCCTAGGATTCCCCGACGCGGCTTCGCGTCGACGACGCAGAGTGGAGCGCAAAGGGCTATAGCCCCCGCTTCCCCGCATCCCCGCAGAGCAGTGTCACTAGCAGTGCCCAGTGGAGTGGAAATGAATTCAAATTTCGAACATCGAGAGGTGGAAATAGAGCACACACCTGCCGCATCCGGGGCGGGGCGCCCCACCACAGAAAATAGCGCGATCGCCCGGAGCCCGGATCGCTGCCCGACTCGGTGCCTGCGTGCCCACGGCCCACGCCCCGGGTCAAGTGCGCATCTATTTCGAGGGCATTCGTCGGAGGCAGAGGCAGAGGCGCGGCGGGACCAGGAAATAGCGGTCGCACGGTCAATTCCCCGCTCGCGATCGCTCGCTCGCTTTTAGGCCTGCTTTAGGCGCTGCAGCTGCTTCCACTTCGCGGATCGGGGCTGCGGGGAAGCGTGCCCGCGCCGGGCTCCGGGCCCCGGCGATCCGAACCCGCGACGATTATCCGGCGCACTTGGCCCTCAGCCTCTTCCTTCGTGGGGGGCGCTGGGGAGACGCTGCTTCGTGCCAGGCACGCACCGCAGAAAATAGAATAGCCTGCGATACCAGCGCGCTGGCGCTGGCAAGCTCCGGGTGGCCATCGATGCCTCGTTTCGATTTCTTCTTCTCCTCCCGGGCCCATCCTCCGACGACAGATAGATAGATAGATAATCGCATCGACATCGCCATCGATGCCAGATTGCGCAGATCAAGCTCCTGCGCCGGCCCGGGCGCGGTAGGTCGCCGGCAAATCCGTTCCCGCTCCCGTTCCCGCACGCGGGTCTAAAACACGTCGCGTCGCAGCATCTCCGGGACAATCAGGCGCCATCAGGGCAGGCAGGCAGGCAGCGCTGCACGTGCGACGCTCCCCGGCGGCGGACCGGCGACCGCGGCCGCAACAACTGTCGCGCCGGGCGAACGCCGGGGCCGGGGCATCGGCCATCGATGCGGGCGGGGCGACGAAAGCGGTAAGGCGCGTCGACGTCTTGGGCTGCTCGTGCAATGTGTGTGCTGTCTGCGCTGCAACCTGTGTCGCCGTCGCCCGCCCACGCCCACGCCCACTCCCATGGCCACGCACCATCCCAGCAGCGCAGCGCAGCGCAGCTCGCCTCGGAATTTCACTGATCGGGCATCGCCCATCACGCATCGCGCATCAGCCATCACATCAGCGCATCGAGCCGATCGCCACCAGCCCGCAGCCGCGGTCGCGGCGGCGTGGGAGCCCGCGATCGTGCGGCCACCGCCACCGCCACGGGCACCGCTACGGCCCCCGGAGCAGCGGCGATGCGTGCGTGCGCAGGAGTCGTCCGGCGCCGGGGCTGGCGGGCGCGCCGGGTGGCGGTGGCGGTGGCAGCGGCAGCGTTTAGCGCAGTGGG